GTTCTAGTGGAAATGAACCTCTTAGCTCTTATCCTGATAAGAAGGGAACTATTCTTTAGGTATTCTTTAAAACAAAAACAAAAACAAAAACCCACAACTGTGAGGTTGTACAGGTAGTTTTATCTGTAGGTATATTTCTAACTTCAAAAACAAACAGTATCTTATGAAAAAAGCTTAATTTAGAAACCATTATGGTACTCTACCAACATAAGTATCTTAGTGAACCTGGGGGGATTTTTTTATTTGGCTCTGTATCCTGTGGTTTTAGCTCAGAGCAAACTGTTTCATAAACAGTGCAGGTGTCTCATCTTATTCAGCAGGGTGTGTCCATTTGTTTCAGACATATAGAGACATATGACACCACAGAACAGGAAGAAAAATGAAAGACAAACCTACCCACCTACATGTTAAGAGATGCAGAGACACAGGATCTAATGCTGAGAAATGGGCAGGTACTGAAGAAAAGCAGAGGGTAAGGGCTTCTGCTGAGGTTTTCAGCGAGTAAAATTTTGAAAGTTGTCTGTGAGGTTTTGAGGAATTTAAAATATTATGTCAAAATGAATTAACAAAATGAATTGGATTGTCATATGTTTTGAAATGAAGTGACTGTAATTGTATTGATGTTATTTTTATCCATTTTTCTATTATGCTGTAGGACATCTTGGGTATATTTATGTGGGAAAATGGTGAGCAAATTGAAGAAGAAGAAGAAGAAGAAGAAGAAGAAGAAGAAGAAGAAGAAGAAGAAGATTCTAGAGAACCTATTTAAAGGATTTCAGTTGCAGTGATGTTTTATGGTAAATTTCAAAGTGCAGCAGTTCATCATGACAGCCCCAATAGCAATTTCCCTTGGGAGAGTTAAAAATGCAGATGTATTGATCTAATATTTACACACAAACATGCAAACACAATAAAGACCAGTTCTATGTGGCATAATACTCCATTCATTAGAAAAAAGCATGACTGCCATCTTATGCATAGCCAGTCACCAAGGAGTAAGCGCCAATAAACTCAGTATTATGTATTTATGACTGTAGAGGAAGAAGAGGAGGAGGAGGAGGAGGAGGAGGAGTTTGAGGAGGAGTTTGGACTTGATATCCCACCTTTCACCCCCCTTAAGGAGTCTCAAAGCGGCTAACAATCTCCTTTCCCTTCCTCCCCCACAACAAACACTCTGTGAGGTGAGGCCGAGAGACTTCAGAGAAGTGTGCCTAGCCCAAGGTCACCCAGCAGCTGCATGTGGAGGAGCAGGGAATCGAACCCAGTTCACCAGATTATGAGTCCACTGCTCTTAACCACTACACCACACTGCACTCATTAATGCCAGTAGGGACTTCTGACAAGAGCTTCACAAGATCATTTTTGATAGCAAAGCCTACTCCATGTATTCAACGTTCTTGTTCATGTATTCCAGAAGAATGTGTAGCCTCCTTTTTCTTCCTTCAGCTGTCCCTCTCCTGCTCTTTGAGTTTTGCAATATCGATGTTAAAATGTCGCAACTCTCTTGCAATGATGGCAGTTCTGTGTTCGGGATGTTCATTATCTGTGTTATCCAACAAAGTCCGTATATTCCATCTTCCAAAGTTCAATTGTCTTACGACCACTGGGTGGTAACCCCACTGGGCGCGGTAATCCATTCAGGGGAAAAGGAGGGTAGACTATGTTTAGGGAACCTTTTCTAGCCCTTCCGCCTTTTGGGGGTGAGCAGAGTAGATCCTAAATAGGGCTGCTCAGTCATGGACACAGCTGCCGAGCTGCTCAACTGCCTCATTCCTTGGGTCAGAGTGACTGAATATGTATCCACTGCCCATGTGCTGGTTCATGACTAGGGGCTTCCAGATTTCACGGTCCTGCCCCCGTTACCATTTGCCAATCACCATGGGACTTTTTTGGGTTTGGGATGGGGTTTTGGAAGACACCAATGCACAATTTCCGATGGCATGAATATCACAAAGACTGGTAGATTCTTCTGCCTGTTCTGCCGTTGAGGAACTTCTTGGATCCTTCTTTGTCTAGCTCCTCCCCTTTGACTTTACTGCCTTGGGTGACCCTACTGGGAATACAAGACTCCCAGCAGCTTTGCTCACAAGGGTCATAGGAACATACAAGCCTACTCACCACGATGAGGTGATGATCCAGCAAGTGAGTCTGAAAATCACAATACCAGTGACTGCATAGGGTGAGAGGAATTGCAGATGATAGCTATAAGAATGAATGATATTGATCAATATGTCTAAAATAATGAAGAACATTTTTAATTATATGATTGATCTTGTATCTTTTATTTTTAAATAAACTACCAAGAATGAGGGATAGCTGGGACATGGACTGAATGGCATAAAAGGAATATTTGGGTATCCTTAACTGGGGCCCTTGTGCATTAAGGGGGAGATAGTGTGGGATCCTGTGCAAATAAATGATAGGCAGAGAGAAATGCCAGTTGTTGGGGAGGATGACATACAAATGTTATACATGGGTTAAAAGGGGAACAGAGTAGTGCTAGGTAATGGGTATGCATCCAATATATTGCTAGAGGCTGGTGAGGTAATGAAACTATGAAATGCCAAATGTTTTCTGTAGTACAGTGCCTGGGGTAGTGAACAGATATGTTTGCCAACAAGAATAGCACAAGGATCCTAAAAAGCCCTACAAAATATGAAATTACTGGCAAGAAAAGGGCTAGAAAGTTTTATGAATTCCTCTCAGGTAGCATCTCATAGAAGATGTTGAAATTGGTTTTTGTATTTCTTAAGACTGCAGTTTACTCCTCCAAGTTGGTCAGAATGTGCATTCATTTTACTGTAAATTGTTTTTCTCCGTGACACGAGCAATGACTCTGAAGCTCTCTCACATTATCTCTGCCAAGAATGAGCATTGCTAAGCAAGATTGAACAGAGCCATGTGTCAATCAAAGGTAAATATATGACCTAATGTAAGTTCAAGATTATTGTTATATGTTCTTGAGCAATTCAAAGACCAATGGGCTAAAAAAAGGTTAAAACTCCTTTTCATCCTTTCTGATAGGGGCTTTGTTTCATCACACTCTTCGGCTGGGAGTTTCATTTTCTCTTATTTGCTGTTTTTGTTATAACAGCACTATGAATTTTGTTTGCTCCTTGGATTTATGCTAATTCTTTTTATGTATATTCTTATATTTTAAGATTTTTGTCTTACTGTAATATTACTGCTCAGAGGCCTCTTGATGAAAAGGCACCCAGAGGAAAAATGGAAATCTAGATAAGCTTGCAAATCTGAACAACATAAAACACTGGCTGGACAGTTTGACTTCAAGGTCAGTTCTCTGACCGTGGACCAGCTGCTGTTTTTCTCCGTTTAGGTCACCTCGCAGAATACTTTTATGAGTTTGGTGCAGAGGAGTAGGCTGTATGCCAAGACCCAAGTGTTAAAATATAAACAAGGATTCAAATTCCTGGTGAGATGAAAGCCTAATTAATGGGCCATTAAGTGAACAAAAGAAGTGAATCTGTGCCAGACAATAAATGGGTTGAGCCCTTCCCTCAACTGGCTGGTAGTTAGAAGGACAAAGGCTAGAGAGTTGGGAGATGTGAGCTAGGAGCAGAAAGCAACAGGTTGGAAAGCCAGAGAGTTGTGTGATTTATGTTTAAATCCAAGGCTGTGGCTATGGGGGAAACAAAGCCCTCTTGGAGTGTTAATGCTGTGAACCCCTCCATCTAGTGCCAGGTGGCCTTTTAGGAGCCCCAGAACAATGGATCAAAATGGGTTTATTAGAATTATCGGTTGGTAAAATAAAAAACGTATTAGGAGATAATCTGCAACAGGGGCCTGGATATTTGGACTGCCTAGGGGCTTCCACAGGCTTTAATCTGGCACTGCCTCCATCGTTGTACAGTGGTACCTCAGGTTACAGACGCTTCAGGTTACAGACGCTTCAGGTTACAGACTCTTCTAACCAAGAAATAGTACCTCAGGTTAAGAACTTTGCTTCAGGGTGAGAACAGAAATTGTGTGGCAGCGACGCAGCAGCAGCAGCAGGAGCAGGAGGCCCCATTAGCTAAAGTGGTACCTCAGATTAAGAAGTTTCAGGTTAAGAACGGACCTCCGGAACGAATTAAGTTCTTAACCTGAGGCATCACTGTATATATGTGTGTAAATAAACCATATAACATAGAGATACCAGTCTCCGCTGTGCCTCATTCTTAAGGAAGTGATTGGAACCCATGGAATCTCACACCACTTGGAGACTGGGGTGGCATGCAACAATACTTTCTAGAGTTGCATATAAATGTGTGATGCAAACTTAATAAATGATAATAAACAAATATAAAATGGGCACAGTTTATGTAACACCCCACCACTTTTTAGGACTGATGGAGAAACTGTGTAGACAAGAAAAACAAAAGTGCATTGTGTTCAATGGGTCTGACTCCCTAGGATGTGTGTTTAGATTTGGGCTACAAGTGTAAGTACAAGTGTAAGTGCAGGAACCCATCAGGAGGTTTTAGTGTTTTAACTTTTGTATGTTTTAAAGTAGCGTTGCGGATTTTGCCCACCCCACCCAATTTAATTTTTTTATCTTTTTATAAACAGCTTGTGTGTGTGTATAAATTATATGAAATAAATAACTCTCCCCCTTCACCTGCAAGGAGCATAAGGTGGCCTCACAACAACTCTGCCAGGTAGGTTAGGTTGAGAGCAGGTAAAGACGACCAGGGAGGTCATTCCCCGCGGCTTGAACCCTGGTCTCCCAGGTCGCTCGAACCGCGTCTGCACCGCGCTGTAGCCTGTGATTTGGGGCAACATTTTGGCCAAGGGCGGCGGCATCTGAGCCAGCCATTCATTTTATACATCTTTTGCGTGTGTGATACAGAGAGAAAGGAAACTTAGTGGGGGTGGGGAGGGGGCACCTGGAGGACAACCAGTCGGGGGCGCGTGTGAGGCGTTGTTTTGAGGGGCGGCGGCAAAGGCAAAGGCAGGCGGAGAAAGAGGCGGCGGCAGCGGCTGTTTCGAGGGGTGGAGGCGGGCAAGCCGAGGCACCTGAGCGGCACCCGCCTCCTCTTTCTCCTCCCTCTCTCCGCCCTCTCAGTGGTTTCGTCTTTCTTTCTTTCCTCCGCCCGGAAACTCACAAGAGAAGCAGCCACGTTGCCTCAGCCCTACCGACCTGGGCCGGGTTCGGCGGCGGCAGCGGCAGTGGGTCTCCTGAGGAGAGCCGGGAGCCCGCGCTTTTCCTTGGCGCCTTTCCCGCCCTCCGGCGGGTCTGAGGAGCCCTCTCCCCCGCGCCTTACCTCCACCAGGTGAGTCCGCCTCCCTCCTCCTCCCTCCTCCTCCTTCTCCCGAGCTGCCGTGGGATTGAGACCGGGTCAAGCGCGGAGGGGGAGACGCGCCCAACATCGTTAATTCTTACCACAACACACACACAAAAACACCCGGCACGTTAGAGTTTAAAAGTTTCGTGGTTTGGATGGGAAGTGTTGCGGCTTCTTTCAGAGAGGATCGCCGAGTTTTCTCGCTCTCCTTTGACCACCTCAGGATGACTTCCGTGCCCTAAGAGGGGTGTGGAACCAATCATAATAGTAACAACAGCAGTAACAAGGCATAAAAAATGACTCATGTGGTCAGGAAGAGCTTCAAAATGTTACTTGGGTTGTGGTGAAGATGAGTTCTGTTCTGTGTTGTTGTTTTAACTATTCGCTGAGTTCTGTTTTGAGAAAAATCAACCAGGCGATTTGCAAAACTCCTCGGATTAAAACTTTGGGTTAGTGGGGGAGGTTAATTTGAATAGGGGGTTATGCTTGGGGGGATTATTATTTCCCTGATGTCTCCCCCCCCCCAATAATTCCCTTCATGATACATATGTTAATAATTGTATAGGTGAATTTATAGTTCAGAGCCCTGTGACGTGTTTGTCACCCTCAGTGTCTTTAGGTCGAGCTAAGAGTTAGCAATTGTCCCGTCTCACAGGGTGGTGGTTGTGAAGATAAATTGGGGAGAGAGGTTCCATCACTTATGTGGTCCTGATCCCCCATGGAGGTGGGGCAAGATAAAAATGCAAGTAGTCAGAATTGTTCAATAGGGTTTAGAAACTATGTCCTCAGTTCATGAGCAAACATGAATGGGAAGGGTGGAACTCAGTAGAGCTTCAGATGTATTTATAATACATATATATTATATTATTAATATTAATCTTATTGGAATGGTTGTGATCAACACAGAAACCAAACCATGTTTTGAACCACCCAGCAGCAGTGCAAGAGCAATTATTATGGATTAGTGACTTCTTAATAAGTTTTAGGTGCTCTTTTTGCCTTGTGACGTAAGAAGTGAGTTTATTCCATCGTTTGATGCAATAGCAATAGTTTAGATTGTACAGAGCAAGGAGGCCATAGGTGTAACAACTTGTGATCTCCCAAAACTGCAAGCAACCCCACCAGTCACTGGCGAGTTATTCTCTGTTTTTTTCTTACCTGCCTATTAAATACTGGGTGATGGGGATGGGTTTGTCAGGCTAAAATAAATACATACAGGCTGGTATGATCATATTTGGTGTTTCACAGTTTGTGCAGCCTAACCCATGGCTATCACAAACACTGATGAATGTGTTTGGTATATCCAGCTTTTTAAGACAAGCACTCATAAACATGTAAAAAAATTAGATTTAGAGCTAATTAGGCTTAACTAAGCGTTAGTCCCATTGAACTTCTGAGTTGGTATGCTGTTGCTATAGAACTAGGAGATAGCAGTTTTTAGTTATGCAGTGAGCGTTTCCGGAGAAGCAAATCACATCAAGGTCACTGGGATTTGTTTACCTTCTAGTAAGTGTTTAGTCTTTCATCCTATTTAGGAGTCATATGCAAGCCTACTCAGTGGTTTTTCCTGTTTAGAGAAATGCGTATAATATTGCAGTCTAAATCCTGATTAATTGTGATGTTATGTATTAAAATCTAACAGTTGCTTCTGAAAATGCAGTATCACAACACGCCCACCCCATGTGCTCTTCTGACTAACTACACGGTATATTTACTCCTGCCTAATTTACCATTTTCCCTTTTTTGTAGTGCCAAAAAAAGAAAAAAACCTAGATGCAAAGCAAATGTAGAATAAATAGTATTCTGAAATAATGTTGTGATTCACAATTGCCCTTTTCTATGTAAATCTTAGTTTGGACTTTGCCCTTTTTGATTAGGTAATCTTGTTTGCCTTCAGTTTCGTGAAACAGGTAATAATTGAATTGGCTCTCTTTTGTGGAGTTCTTTGGAGCCTCTGTACAAAACCTATTGCTATGTAAGCATTATTTCACTCCAGGTACAATCCAAAACCTGGCTGCTACCCAATGGGCTTTTTGAAGTGGCCTCTCCCTGCACCTCAAAATGCCATGTTTCAGGGCTATCCACTGCAAGCAGGCAGAAGAGACTATTCTGTGCCAGCAGAGTGATGTTGGTGTCATTCCACAAGTGCAGAAGAACAGGACTGTGCCTCCATTCAATCTAACCCTCTTCTAGCCTGGCAGAAAGGGAATTTGGCGGCTTGCACAGTTTGTCTTGATTTTTAAATGAGCAATTACACATTTGTGCAATAAACACAGTGATCCAATTCACACATCATGGTAAACCATAATTAATGGTTTGCTCTGTATGCTCCTTACTAGTGCTTGGGGGGAAACAAACAAGCATCCCTGGCACTGCATTACATCTGAACCAGGGATCATGATTTGCTTACTCTGTGCCCTCTTAGGCATGAGCATGGTAAGTCATTAACCATGATGTGATGTTCAAATGAGGCCAATTTCAATGGCCTTTGTTTTCGAAATACGCAAGTGAGAAAATAAATAGTGACACAATAACAAAAAGAACAATGTGTTTTGGCACCTTAATGACACACACATTTATTATGGCATTTGCTTTTGTATAATACAGCCATTTAATCAGATGTATGAGGTGTTATCCTGAGTTGCAGGTGTATATATATACCCATGGGGTGGCATGTTGGAATTATAAACAGTCAGATCAAGAGTTCAGGATAAAACTTCATGCATCTGATGTATTGTGGACCATGACAGCTTATGCCATAATAAATCTGTTAGTCATTAAAGTGCCACAAGACTCATTTTGTTGTTTTTGCTGCAACAGACGAACATGGTTATGTCTCTGGACAATGAATAACAAAGTGAAAGATGCATGAAAAATGTAAAGACAAGGAAGAAGAAATGTTTTTCTGATGCTGCTTTACTAGGGTAGGACTAATGAGATACATCCAGTCTCTAAAGTGTCATGTATTGCTTCCTTTCTTATGAACAGTTCATCAGTTTATTTTTCTGTGACCTGCTTGAAGTTGTGATGAATATGATATCTCCTGTCCAAAGTCTACTTTTGTAACTCATAGTCAAAAGATGAGAGACATAAATATGATTCTCTCATTTCAGCTTCCAGCTAGTGATAAATGAAAGAGAAGGATTGTAGAGCTCTACATATATTGCAGATAAAGATGGCTTTGTGCTTTCAAAGACCTCATCTTCCAAAAGCCCAAGTCTTACAGAGGAAATTGCTGGTTAAAACCCTGACTTTGCCTTTTGAGGCAATATAATAACTATGTTTCTTCACTGAAAAGGATGGTTGAGGAAGAAAATTAAATAGAGCCTTACCTACATATTATGTGGATTAACCACAGAGAAATATAGAATAATAGAATTGTAGAGTTGAAAGGAACCACAGGGGTCATCTAGTCCAGTACCCTGCAATATAGGAATCTTTTTGCCAAATGTGGGACTTGAACCCATGACCCTGAGATTAAGAGTCTCGTGCTGTACTGACTGAGCTATCCTGCGGGCATCGCAGGAGCAGAGTACTGTACATACCGTATTTTTCGCTGTATAAGATGCACCAGACCACAAGACGCACCTAGTTTTTGGAGGAGGAAAACAAGAAAAAAATATTCTGAATCTCAGAAGCCAGAACAGCAAGAGGGATCGCTGCGCAGTGAAAGCAGCAATCCCTCTTGCTGTTCTGGCTTCTGTGATAGCTGCGCAGCCTGCATTTGCTCCATAAGACGCACACACATTCACCCTTACTTTTTAGGAGGGAAAAAGTGAGTCTTATAGAGCAAAAAATACGGTAATTTTTTTAGTCACTTGGGAGGTGTCTTCTTGATGGTAACAAAGACCACTTTATATACTATCCATAGCATTTTTATTGAAATGTTAGCGTGATAGTTCTGGAGAGATAATGTTAAGGGGAGCAATAATGCTTGCTTTCCTAACTGTATAATTCTTGGTGCTCTTTGTGTATCCTAGAACAAATAAGGGAGTGCCTAATAATCCATTGTTTGTAGAGAGAAAAAGTGACTTTTGATGTATGGGATACCAAAGTCTGGTTTGTTGGTTGAACGTCATGCCAAGCAACAGTTTGCCCAAAGCCTCATTTAAGGTTTGGTTTAACAGCTGCTCTCAGCCCATTGTTTGTCAGATGTTGTCTGTTTGGTCAAGGTTGGCTCAATGAACAATGTCAGGACCATCTCAGTATATGGAACTATGGAGTGATCCAACATAGAACCTGAAAACTGTTGGGAGTATTACTACCTAAAAGCTCTAATATGTAGTCGCTTACACCAATGACATAGCCAAGTTTAGGACTGTGAAATTGTGGTGATTGCTGATATTTTTTCTTTTCTTCTGCTTACATGATGCCATGGCCTTTGGCTAGTGTAATGAAAGTTTACTGATTACTGAAATTGTATAAATCCAGTAATTTTTAATACCTCGGCTTAAACCTTAGACTGGGCCTTAGGAATTCTCTTGAAACTGCTGTGGCTGTTGCAGTCCACACAGTTTACCTATGTAGTGGTATCTCGGGTTAAGAACTTAATTCATTCTGGAGGTCTGTTCTTAACCTGAAACTGTTCTTAACCTGAGGTATCACTTTAGCTAATGGGGCCTCCCGCTGCTGCCTGGCCGCCACCCCACCATTTCTTTTCTCATCCTGAAGCAAAGTTCTTAACCCAAGGTACTATTTCTGGATTAGCGGAGTCTGTAACCTGAAGCGTCTGTAACCCGAGGTACCACTATATAACCATTTTTTAAGCATTTCAACCCATAATTTTGTTCTTACACATTTACATAAGAGCCACCCTGCTGGATCAGACCACTGGCCTATCTAGTCCAGTTATTGTTTCTCACAGCAGCCAATCAGATTCTTATGAGAAGTTAACAGCCGGACAGGGAGGCAAAAGTACTCTTCCAGAAAGTAACATATTGCTAATATGTCTAGTAGCCGTCAATCTGTCTTACTCTCTTTCGACACCATCTAAGTTGGTACCATCATCACCACATCTTATGGAACTAATGTCCATAGTACAGTGGAATGAAGACATATAATAGTGATTGTGTGAATGGTGTATGGAATTGTGCATGATAGTATAGCTGTGTATGGAGTTGTGTGGGGTGTTGAGACCTTGCCCAATTAACATGGAATTTGAGAAACTGTAAGGGGGAAGAAGAAAATTCACAGTATCATTCACAGTGTTATTTCTTCTCATTGTTCTGTTCCTGGCATGCACTATCTATTTCTGCTTTGTTACGTTAATGAATGTCTGGCTAGACGTTCTGATTAACATTTCCAAATTATATTAGATAAGGAACATTTCTTACTGTGCTGTCTTGAAGAAAGATAGGTGAGGGAAGTGTACAATTATGACTGTTTGGCTAGACATTCTGATTAACATTTTCAAATTGTGTTAGATAAGGAATATTTCTTACTAGGCAGTCGTCATGAATGACTAAATGTGATAGGTGACAAAAAGTGTGTGCCTGTGATCTGTTTAAATGGACAGTTTCCCAGTGCTGTTGGAAGTACATGTCTGAGGCTGCTGACGCTATCTAGTGTAGCATGATTGGACAGGAGTGAAAGAACATGCTAGAAATGTGGCTGTAGGCATTATAATTTGCTAAAGCTTCATAAGGTAAGGTAATTACTTAGCATTATCTCTCTTAAAATTAAGTAAAGTGGAATTTTCTGATAAACATATAGGATGATATGTGTTTTGAAGTGGGCTTTTCAAAGAAATTAGGTAGTAGACATACGGTCTCCATTTATTAACACTTTACCACATCCTTGGAAGGTAACCATTCTGTTGGCAACTGTTCTTTTAGCTGCAGTTACTTGGATAAATCCTAGGTTTTAACTTTTGCTTTTAGTTTGGATTTTGTATGTTAATTGCAGGAGACATTATTTGTTCAGTCTTGAGCCTTAAGTTTGGTTGCTTTCTTTGTGAAGTCACTAATATCAATAAAAAGAATGAAGAGTCTTGACGACACTTAATGAAGTATGATATATAAAAACAGCTTGTTAGTTCAAAGCACATTTGGCAATGGAGGACAATATTTTTCAAAAGGAAAAGTTGTTTAGTTTGGAAGACAGAGTTGAAACATTATTTAGCTGCTGATTGTGAAGTTTAATAGGGTCATTTTCTAATATATTCACTCAGGCTTCCATCCTATACATATTTACTGTATGTATACATACATACCCCCTTCGTGGATCACTGCCTTGCCGTGGCAAAGGGGCTTGAATAATTCAGAGAAGCTATGAACTATGCCGAGCAGGGCACCCAAGATGAACAGGTCATAGTGGAGAGTTTTGACCAAACGTGATCCACCTGGAGGAGGAACCGGCAAGCCACTCCAGTATCCCTGCCAAGAAAACTGCATGGACAAAGACAACAGGCATATAAAAGTTATGACGCTGGAAGATGAGCCCCTCAGGTCGGAAGGTGTCCAACATGCTACTGGGGAAGAGTGGAGGACAAGTACAAGTAGATCCAGAGCTGATGAAGCGGCTGGGCCAAAGCCGAAAGGACGCTCAGTTGCGGATATGCATGGAAGTGAAAGGAAAGTCCAATGCTGTAAAGAAAAATATTGCATAGGAACCTGGAATGTAAGAACCATGAACCTGGGTAAGTTGGATGTGGTCAAAAATGAGATGGCAAGAATAAATATTGACATCCTGGGCATCAGTGAACTAAAATGGACGGGAATGGGCGAATTCAGTTCGGATGACTATCATATCTACTACTGTGGGCAAGAAACCCGTAAAAGAAATGGAGTGGCCCTCATAGTCAACAAAAGAGTGGCGAAAGCTGTACTGGGATGCAATCTCAAAAATGATAGAATGATCTCGATACGAATCCAAGGCAGACCTTTTAACATCACAGTAATCCAAGTTTATGCACCAAACTACTGGTGCTGAAGAAACTGAAATTGACCAATTCTATGAAGACTTACAAGACCTTATAGAAGTGACACCAAAGAAGGATGTTCTTCTCATTATAGGGGATTGGAATGCCAAAGTAGGGAATCAAGAGATAAAAGGAACAACTGGCAAGTTTGGCCTTGGAGATCAAAACGAAGCAGGGCAAAGGCTAATAGAGTTCTGTCAAGAGAACAAGCTGGTCATCACAAACACACTTTTCCAACAACACAAGAGACGACTCTACACATGGACATCACCAGATGGGCAACATCAAAATCAGATTGATTATATTCTCTGCAGCCAAAGATGGAGAAGCTCTATACAGTCAGCAAAAACAAGACCTGGAGCTGACTGTGGCTCAGATCATCAGCTTCTTATAGCAAAATTCAAGCTTAAACTGAAGAAAGTAGGAAAAACCACTGGGCCGGTAAGATACAATCTAAACCAAATCCCTTATAAATACACAGTGGAAGTGAGGAACAGGTTTAAGGATTTAGATTTGCTGGACAGAGTGCCTGAAGAACTATGGGTGGAGGCTCACAACATTATACAGGAGGCAGCAACTAAAACCATCCCAATGAAAAAGAAATGCAAGAAAGCAAAGTGGCTGTCCAACTAGGCCTTACAAATAGCGGGGGAGAGAAGGCAAGCAAAATGCGAGGCAGATAGTGAAAGATACAGGAAATTGAATGCAGATTTCCAAAGAATAGCAAGGAGAGACAAGAAGGCCTTCTTAAACGAGCAATGCAAAGAAATAGAGGAAAACAACAGAATGGGAAGAACCAGAGATCTGTTCAAGAAAATCGGAAATATGAAAGGAACATTTCGTACAAAGATTACCATAATAAAGGACAAGAGTGGTAAGGACCTAACAGAAGCTGAAGACATCAAGAAGAGGTGGCAAGAATACACAGAGGAAGGAAACTACACTCTGAAAGGTGAGGAAGAAGTTCTCAGCAGAGAGGGGTGAAGAGAGAGGAGACGGGAGTTTAAATTAAACAAAACAAAAGCCTGGAAGTTCACAAAGCGGTGAGACCTTCTGTTCCAAGTTAAGCCTGCCTGCACTTTTCCTGGAGACCGAATAGGGGAGGGATGGGGGACTGGACCAAGATTTAAATTGAGAGCCCTTCCCTTGAACAATCTATCGTGAAGAGGGCTGAGCTGAGATGATCTACTCGAGCCCTCACCAGGGGTAAATCTTTATCGGAATTTGACTCTTATTATAGCTCTTGTATGAACTGCGGAGAAATCCCTGGAGTTAAATACTCAGCTGTATAGCCAAATCATTGACTGTGGTAGGAAGTCCCCTTCTTCTCTCCTGTATTATCTACATTATTTAGCTCATATCTACTGTGGCTATGGGCAAGAGGAAACGCCTCAGAGAAGCAGAGGAATTACTGCTCCTCCCTAGCCCCAAGCTACAAGCTAAAGAAAGAAGAGACCAGTCAAATTCTCAAGCAGCAGTTACCACATACAATAGACTTCTTCCACTAAGTGACTTGGATGTAGCTAATAACATTCCCAAGTCCCAAAATACCACCATACACAATTGTAATCTAACGAGCACTCCCGTCAAGGGTGGGCCCAATGTGGATGGGAAAAAGATCCGGGATAAAGAAAACCAGCTGGGAAATGAGTCCTCCCATTTACAACTAGTCATTAGGACACTGGACTGCATATTTAAAAAGATAGACTTTCTGACGTGCTCAATTTCCAAGCTAACGGAAAAGTGATGGATATGGACGCCAAAATTGCCCTCAATAATAACTACCAGAGGGGACCTCCAGTAATAGCCCCACCAAACTCTGGGGTAAAGGGGATGAGAAAATATAAACTAAACGATCTCATGTGTAAGCAAAATCTAACATTGCAACCTAAGAAGGTGTGCCTAACGATAAGGTCTGAGATATGGGACTGGTCAAGCTTGGAAGGAGCTAAAACTGCCCTAAGTAAAATCCTGAGAATAAGCATAGTTCATATTGATCTTCATGCTTTACTTCCGCTAACTCAATCAAATGGCCCTTATAAAGTTATTTTAGCCTTCCGTTCGCTGAGACTACCCTTATTAATAATAAGACAAAAATGGAAATTTATAAAAACAAAAATCATACCTACAAGGGTTTTTGCGGACAGCATAGTAAAACCACTACTTGTGGAAAACGAGACAGAGATATTAGATTCAGGAACAAGCTCTACAAAATCGCCAGACAAAGAGATGTTGCCTTCCCCACAGAGAACGGAGGAGATGGCCTGCAGTCCACAACCAGGAACGGACTTGGGTGGCTCCAGAATTTCTAATGATGAAAGCGCCCTTATGAATTCATTTGATGAATTACAGTCACAAGAAAAAGAAAAAATAATAAATAAATTAGATAAACTAAGAGAGAAGATGTCTCAGGCCAAAAGCAAAATAGGAAACAAAGAAATTCAAACCAACAGGGCCATTGGAGGCTCAGTGGACCTTCTCAAATTTAGCCCACAGCCTCAAAATAGGTCCATAAAATCCAAGGCAACGATACAGACAATTGTCTCGCCACCCCTATTAGTTAATCTGGAACCAGCCCTTCCTGCACCAGCCGGAATGGTTACACCTACTAAAGAACAGCAAAATGTAAACAAAATTTCGACACATTCCTCAATGCCTGACCTGGAGTCATCATTATCGGACGGAGAATCTCAAGCTGATGATTTAGAAGCTCAAACCGCTATCGATATGGACTGGACAGAAGACCCCTTGGGCCATATAAATAAGATGATACACCCACGGAAGGGAAATCTAATAATAGTTAAAACTTGTACCGACTTAATCTCTGCCCCCCTAGGTGATAAGCTCTCGGATAAAACAAGGGATTTCAGAGAGGAGACCAGATCAAACCAGGACACTACCCCTATAGGATCGGGCGAGCAAAGCATAATTACAAATAGCTCAAGAGGTACATCTGTGCCAAAAGGAGAGAAGTCATCTACTATTAGTCAAAGGAAAATTACTGACTTCTTTAAATTTGACAACCCACCAAGATCAGCGTTCCCCCCTTCCCCATTGTGACTACCCAAACCTCAGTCAAACCCTCCCCCCGTTCTCCCGTTTAAGCTGGAACATAGCAGGTTGGAAGGGGAAAAAATCTGACCCGGACTTTGTAAAACTAATAAACTCACACCAAGTAATTCTCTTGCAGGAAACATGGGAAGAGGGAGAGTAGATATTAATGGTTTTGATGTTACATCATTACCGGCATGCCCGTCTACTAAAGGAGGCCGGCCCAGTGGAGGATTAGTTATAGCAATTTCCTTGAAAATACAGGCAAAACTCACGCTTGTAAATGCTTCCATCTTTGCAATTACAGCCCTGATTACGGGAAAAACTTTGAACTTGTTATAACAAATGTTTATCTTCCTCCTGGAGGCAATATTGCAGACTTACACAATAAATGGGGAATCTTGGAGGAACATCTCACTCATTGTCACTCCAAATACCCCAATATACCCAATGTTATAGCAGGGGACTTCAATGCTCGCATTGCAACAAACTGGGAGTCTTTAATCAAAGCCAAATGGTGGATAACCCCAGAATTCATTAATGACCTCTCCCTCCATAATCAAAGACTTTCTAAAGACAAAAGGGTAAATGAAGCAGGAACCCTTCTTTACCAATTGGTACTACGTCTAAACTTAGTGATTCTAAACGGGAACTGCCCGCCAGACGTACCGGGTGAGTTTACACACATAAGCTCCTCTGCAAACAGTGTCCTGGATTATATGTTAGTATCTCATGACATATTCCCCAAATTTTCCCATTTTAAAGTCGAAAACTTTCAACTGAGCGACCACTTACCGTTGGTCGCCACAATGACTATAGACTGGACCCCAGATGGAGACAAGCACCCAACACATCTGACTACGAACTCAGCATTGCAAATCAAAAGTGTAAAATGGTCCGAACTACAGGCCCAAAAATACTCAGCATATTTCCAACAAGGGCTAAAACAAGCATATTCAGGCCTAATCGAGAATTATTATGATTATGACCAAACTTTAAGATTATTCTCGAATCTGTCAGAAGATCTAACGTCTTTTTTCTCTGTCCCGACGCATAAAATAAATAGAACACAAAGGAAGATAGGTGCCTTGTGGTTCAATAGTGCTTGTAAACAGGCTAGACAACTTCTTGGTAACATCTACAAAGAGTATAAAGCCTCCGGGGCAACGGTCTTGCCAAAAGAATACTTCCAAGCAAAATCAGCCTATAAGCAAATTCAAAAGGGAGCCAGACAGGAATGGCAAGCGAATCAATGGCGAGCAATCATAGAAGCCTCATCATCACGGAACTCCAGACAATTTTGGCTCCTGGTAAATAAAAGAACTAAAAGATACCCCTTGACTATTATTCCTGCCCCGGTTTGGGAATCCTACTTAAAAAACTACTTTGCCACAACTGACTGTATTGCTAACACAAGAGATGAATTTCAAGATCAGCTTCCCCTCTGGCCCCCCACCGACCCGGAAGACATCCTTGACTTGATCGTTAAACTCAAAACAGGGAAAGCGCCTGGGCCAGACCTGATCCCGGCAGAAGCTATAAAATACCACGCGGACTGGTGGGCTAAAGTTCTGGCGACCATCTTCGACGCTGTTAACAACTCTGGAAAGATCCCGGAAGTATGGAAGGACGCTGTTATCGTCCCAATCCACAAAAAGGGCTCACCAGATGACCCGGGGAATTACAGAAATATCAGTCTGCTCTCAATAGTGGGGAAACTGTATGCCCGCTTCTTGCTGAACAGACTTAACCAATGTGCCGAAGAGAAAATTAATTGGGCCCGAACAAGCTGGATTCCGCCCAAAACAGTCAACAATTAATCATATTCTAATTTTACAGCATCTTGCCTGGAAATATTCCACCCCAAAGGGTGGCCAACTCTGTGTGGCATTCATTGACCTAAAGGCAGCATTCGATAGTATCCCCAGGAGCATCCTCTGGGAAAACTCTCCGCTGGGGCATCGATAGAAGGCTTCTCTGGCTAATAATCAAACTCCATGAGAACTCAGCGGCTAGAGTGAGACTCACCCCGGAGGGTGATCTCACCAATCCAATTCCCATTAACAGAGGTGTCCGACAGGGTTGTATATTGGCTCCATTCCTGTTCAACTTATTCATAAGCGATATGAGGACTCCCCTAATAGAGGCTCAAGAAAGGATTCATGCACCCCGCCTAGCACTTTATCGCTGCCCTTTGTTACTGTATGCGGATGACGCAGTCATCCTTTCCTTTTCTAGAGTAGGTCTCAGGAGGGCCTTAAAAATTTTTGGATCGTACTGTAACGCAAATTTCCTTACAATTAATTATGGAAAATCTAAGATCCTAATTTTCTCAAAGAGCCGGAAACTCCATAATTGGAGAATTGATGGGAGAGTCATCGAACAAGTCTATAGATTCCAATACTTGGGAGTTTGGTTACAACATAACCTTAGATGGAAGGCCCATGTAGCCTATGTTACAAATAGAGCCAAAGCTATCTCCTTGGCGATCTTGCGATTCTTCTTCACCGATGGGGCTCTTCATATCCCATCGGCGTTGAAAGTCTTCAAGGCCAAGGTGATCCCGACAATTGCCTATGCCATCTCAATTTGGGGGACTTTTGTCAATCTATCTCACCTAGAGGTTATTCAAAATCAGTTTTTAAGAGGGATATTGAAACTGCCCAACTGTGTAAGTAATACAGCGTTACGCATGGAACTTAATACTGTATCCCTGGAAAACGCTCTGTGGAAGCACATACTTTGTCACTGGTTATCTCTATGGCACAATCTCCCAAACTTGTACTTGATACAATGTATGTGGAGAGATGATTCCAGAGCCCATGGGTAAAAAATTTACAGCTGAAAATAACGACAATGGGAATCTCCCCATCCAAATTACTAGAGCAGGACATAGTTCCAGCTAAAAGAACAGTAACCTGTAAACTAGAGGAGATGGACTTGCAGCAGAAAATGGTCTTGGGCAATGGTACCTGCTCACCTCTAAACCTTGGTTTATCACCCCTCTTAAGGCTCCCAAACTATTTGAATTCCTTAACTTCTTCGGCTCATAGATATGCCTTTGTAAAGGCAAGATTCAACACCTTCCCATCGAACATGCTGAGAAATAGATTCTCCAATGGACAGATATCGCTCTTATGTGATTGTAATTGTGGGGCACCGGAATCGTTGCATCACATAATTTTTGACTGTGCTTTTCACTCATCGGCTAGGAGCAAGTTTCTTGCCCAATATCTAAAGGGAATTGCCGATGATACGAATGAAGCCAAACTGAGATATCTATTAAATGATGATGACCCCCTAAGATCACTCACGGTTGCCAGATTCTTGATCAGTGTCCTATCCCTAAAGAAGAGAAACGGACTCCTGTGTGGCTCGGAAAATCCCTTTAAACCATGATCTATGTTTTAGGATGTAACTAGGTGAATCACCATTGATGTCTTTTATTGATTTGTGAGCAGATGGTGATGGTTATGTTACAAATTTATTGCAACATATGATGTTGGTCTTTTGTTTTTGTTCTGCTTTGGTTCTTGTCTGTTTTTTGTAAGTTTTGACGGTTTTAAATTTGGAGGTTCATGTACATTATGTTGGTATGGGAAACTGTCGTGTGACGGGCCAATGGCCGTAATAAAGATCAATCAATCAATCAATACACAGAGGAACTATACCAGAAAGATATGGATGTCTCGTACACCCCAGGTAGTGTGGTTGCTGACCTTGAGCCAGACATCCTGGAGAGTGAAGTCAAATGGGCCTTAGAAAGCTCTGCAAATAACAAGGCCAGTGGAAGTGATGGTATTCCAGCTGTACTATTTAAAATCTTAACAGATGATGCTGTTAAGGTTCTACACTCAATATGCCAGCAAGTTTGGAAAACTCAGCAGTGGCCAGAGGATTGGAGAAGATCAGTCTACATCCCAATCCCAAAGAAGGGAAGTGCCAAAGAATGCTCCAACTACCGCACAATTGCACTCATTTCACACGCTAGCAAGGTTATGCTTAAAATTCTACAAGGCAGGCTTAAGCAGTATGTGGACCAAGAACTCCCAGAAGTGCAAGCTAGATTTAGAAGAGGCAGAGGAACCAGAGATCAAATTGCAAACATGCGCTGGATTATGGAGAAAGCTAGAGAGTTCCAGAAAGACTTCTACTTCTGCTTCATTGACTATGCAAAAGCCTTTGACTGTGTTGACCACAGCAAACTATGGAAAGTTCTTAAAGAAATGGGAGTACCTGGTCACCTCATCTGACTCCTGAGAAATCTCTATGTGGGACAAGAAGCTACAGTTAGAACTGGATATGGAACAACTGATTGGTTCAAAATTGGGAAAGGAGTTCGACAAGGCTGTATATTGTCTCCCTGCTTATTTAACTTATATGCAGAATTCATCATGCGAAAGGCTGGGCTGGATGAATCCGAAGCCGGAATTAAGATTGCCGGTAGAAATATCAACAACCTCAGATATTCAGATGACACAACCTTGATGGCAGAAAGTGAGGAGGAATTAAAGAACCTTTTATTGAGGGTGAAAAAAGAGAGCGCAAAATATGGTCTGAAGCTCAACATCAAAAAAACGAAGATCATGGCCACTGGTCCCATCACCTCCTGGCAAATAGAAGGGGAAGAAATGGAGGCAGTAAGAGATTTTACTTTCTTGGGCTCCATGATCACTGCAGATGGTGACAGCAGTCATGAAATTAAAAGACGCCTGTTTCTTGGGAGAAAAGCAATGACAAACCTAGACAGCATCTTAAAAAGCAGAGACATCACCTTGCCAACAAAGGTCCGTATAGTAAAAGCCATGGTTTTCCCAGTAGTGATGTATGGAAGTGAGAGCTGGACCATAAAGAAGGCTGATCGCCGAAGAATGGATGCTTTTGAAATATGGTGCTGGAGGAGACTCTTGAGAGTCCCATGGACTGCAAGAAGATCAAACGTATCCATTCTTAAGGAAATCAGCCCTGAGTGCTCACTGGAAGGACAGATCGTGAAGCTGAGGCTCCAATACTTTGGCCACCTCATGAGAAGAGAAGACTCCTGGAAAAGACCCTCATGTTGGGAAAGATGGAGGGCACAAGGAGAAGGGGACGACAGAGGATGAGATGGTTGGATGGTGTTCTTGAAGCTACCAGCATGAGTTTGATCAAACTGCGGGAGGCAGGGAGGACAGAAGTGCCTCGCGTGCTCTGGTCCATGGGGTCACGAAGAGTCGGACACGACTAAACGACTAAGCAACAACATACATACATACTGTATACATACATCCTATATATACATACTGGAAAGAAGTTTCATTGAACATAGCTGTATACCTCACTCCTTAGTCTGAAGACATTCTGAGTGTTTTGCAGAATTCTTAAAAACACCATAAACAACAACATCTTTAACATTACAAAACCCAACAGTACAGTAAACGCAGCATAAAAGCCTAGAAGACTAAAAATCTGAAAGACTTGGGCAAATAAATAGTTCTTACCATGTATGCAAAAAATAAATCAGTGCTGCATACCTTCCCACATTAAGTGTTCCATAACTTTGGTACCTCTTCAGAAAAGGTCCTCTCATTGGCCATTGTCATCTTACTTTTGGAGGTGTAGGACCCAGAGAATGCTCCTTGAGGAAGACAGGTTTGTTCAGGAGAAGATTGTCCTTCACATATCTGGGTCCTAGCCTGGTAAGATGAGAACTAGCAATTTGAATTGCTCTTGGAAATGGACTGGGAATTGGTGCCAATATTTCACTGCTGCTGAGATGTGCTTCATATGCTAATCACAAATCTAGTTTCTTTGTTTTGTACCAACTGAGGTTTCCATGTTGTCTTAAAAGGCAGCCTTTGTACAATGCATTATATAGTACTCTTAAGTGAGCTTTTACCAGAGCATGTGTAAGCTAGTCACACTATCTCTTTCTGGGCATGTTTAGTATCATCATTAGTTAGTCAAATGTTTTTTTGGGGGGTTTTTTGCAAAAAATTTATTAGTTTTTACAATATCAATGACAAACAAAAACATAAAACAAACAAAACATAACAAACATAAATCATAACCTTATTGAAAATAACAGTTATTTACTTTGTAAAACAACTTCCTCATTTCCCCTTAGTTGAATTTCATTGCATATCCTTATAACGGTTTTCCAAATCCCAATTTTAATACCCTTTAAATTAAACATTAACATCTTTAAATCTTCTCCTTCTTGTATTAAACATATTATTTTATCAGTTAACATAGATACAATCCTAAGCCCTTTAAGTATCTGGACGCTATTTCCAGTTATTTTAGCTTAACAAATTTAACTAAATAATCATTAAATTTCTTCCATTGTTCGTGGTGTTCCTCCTCCTTCTGGTCGCGGACTCTTCCGGTTAGATTGGCTAGCTCCATGCAATCCATCATCTTCATCTGCCATTCTTCTACTGTTGGTAATTCTTGAGTTTTCCACTTTTTAGCTAACAAAATACGAGCCACAGTTGTGGCATACAAAAATAGATTAACATCTTTCTTGGGCAATTCCGAACCTGTTATTCCAAGAAGAAAGGCCTCTGGTTTCTTTATAAATGTATATTTCAACATTTTTTCAATTCATTATAAATCTTTTCCCAGAAGTCTTTCACCTTGGAGCAGGTCCACCACATATGAAAGAATGTTCCTTCCTTTTCTTTACATTTCCAACATGTATTATCACAATTATGATACATCTTTCTAATTTTACAGGGGTCAAATACCATATATACATCATTTTCATAATATTTTCCTTTAACAAAGTACATGCGGTGAACTTCACCCCTTTCTTCCACAATATTTCCCAGTCCTCAAACATTATGTTATGTCCTAAATCTCTTGCCCAATCTATCATCACCGATTTAACTTGTTCATCTTTCGTATGCCAGTCCAGCAAAAGCTTGTACATTTTAGATAAGTTTTTACCTTCAGTATCTAACAACTCCATCTCCAACTTAGATTTTTCCAAGGCAAAACCATTTTTCTTATCCAGTTTATACAATTCGTTAATCTGGTGGTAATGTAGCCAATTTAGCTTATCTTTAATTTGCTCAAATGGTCTTAATTTATAGCCTTCCTCTTCCTCTATTAATAAGTCATAATATCTCAACCATTTGGTATCCATATTTAATTTTTTCTGGGCCTTTGCCTCCATTGGTGAAGTCAAATGTTCTTTATGATACAGAAACTATTTGGGTCTCTAAATTTAAGGCTGGGTATAAGGGCAGCTCAACATCTGGTTCTGATTCATTAGGGAGAGAGCAGTCTATGTAGAAAGGGATCCACCTCTGAAGCGAGATGAACCACTCACCAGAACTTCCTCCATCTTAATCCAACTTCAGTTTATTGGTCCTCATCCAGTTCATTACCAACTCAGGGACCAGTTCAGCACTTTCACAGCTTCAATCTAAGAAAAAGCAAAATAGAGTTGTACATCTACATATTGATGACATCTCACCTCAGATATCTAGATGAGCTTGTTCAGTGGTTTCACATAGTTCAGAGAAGGAGAACCTATTGCCCTCAAATATTACTGGATTACAACTCCCATCAGTCCCAACCAACATGGTCAGAGGTAGGGATCATGGAAATTGTTGTCTAATCGCAATTGTAGGCCACAGGATTGATCCTCACCCCCAGTGCAGATATTAAATAGGCTAGGCAACAGTATCAGAATTTGCATGTTATATAGGAAGAATGGGAATTATAAGAAGCATATGAAAAAGAAAGTTCTTAATAAGGGTGAACTCATAAAGAATATGGGAGACATTTTGACCTTCAGGGAACCATTTCTCCATAGACTCATCTTCCAAGGAAACACTTAAACATTTCAGAGCACTCTAGGTCATGATTCAGGGTAGACAGTAAATTCACAGGTAAGTTTCCCTGGGTGTCCTCATTGTACTGTATGAAGTGTGCATGCTAGAACATGTCCACAGCTTGACACAAATATTAGTAATGGTGGGCAATCTGTCTCTCAAGAGAGCTTGTGCATTATTACTTCACACCGAGGAACTCCTCATAGACTTCCAAGGTTTTCTTGGAATAAATTCTCATAGAGTCAAAGGTTTTCTTGTAACAAATGTGCAAATCACCAGTATATGAGCAATTGTGTGCCATCTTCAGGGTGATGGCCATAGCTTGGTTGTAGAGCAGATGCAAAAAATCCCAGGCATCTCCAGATGGGTGAATAAAGCTTCCTGTCTGAAATGCTAATCAGGGTAGACAAAACTTAACGTAGGACAAATGGTCTGACTTTATAAGGCAGCTTCCATTGTGGATAGCTACTATTCTTCCTAAATTTACTCTGCTTATTATCTATTGGCTTTTTATACGCTTCCACCCACAATATGTCAGATAAGCACATGCTGAACTGCTTTAGTTCTTCCCTTTGACCTCTTTCTAAACTTATGCCATGACTACATTCCTGTGTAACCTGACTCACAAAATTCCTGTTTAGATCTTTAGGGTAGATAAATTTAGGTGGCTAGGCAGAAATTTATTTATAGACATTAATAACTGGGAAGGGAGAAAATCCACAATAACTTTAATTTATTTCTAGGCTCAAATAACTCCTTGCTGGGAAAAGTAGAAGATCGAGACTGGGCAGATTGTTTACCTGGTTAGTAGACCGTTAAAGGTTACATGATTGTGTTCTTGTGTCCTCCTATATGTGCGGTAACAAAATGTGGGTGGTTAAAACCACCTCATTTCTCAATTTGAAGCTGTACATACCTGAACAGTATTTGTCGGTACTGACATCTATTTGACCATGATTGTGCAGAACAGCATTAGAGTATCTTGTTGAATCTTTCTTACTTCGAGGAAAAGTCTTCTGTAGAAATGGAGAGGCAACAAGGGACAAGAGGAACACTTACATTACTATCATTAAAGTGAATTTCCTATGTTCAGAGTGCCCTGTGAGAGGCTGCTCAGCTCCCTGAGAATGTAGAGACTGAAGCAGCTTGGTTCAAGCTAGGCAAGAGGGGAGCCAGAAGGAGCCAACTGGTTGGTAAGCTGCCACTTGACTACCCCTTTAATAAATCGGGTAGCCAACATGGTGACCTCCAGATGTTGTTGACCATTAACCCTGACCATTGGCTCTTATGACTGGTTGGTTATTCCTGCCATGAGGTATGCTGGACCCTTGCAGTTTGAGGCTTTGAAGATAAATGCCAAGAAAATGATAATATGTGAAGCTGAAAAAATACAAGTGTTTCCTTTCGTCTTTCCTGACTCATCCAATATTATTCTTCCTTGGATGACCCTGCGTTCTAGTATTATGACAGTGGGCAGCAAAGCCTCTCTTCATCCACACCATGTATATTTTTATACCCTGGTGTTTTGTCCAGAAAAAGGTTGAGCAAGACTTATTTTTCTTTTTACTTGATAAATTTATTATTCCCTTGAACAGATGTTAATATAACTGGCCTGTAATTTCTTGGATCCTCTCTGAATGCCTTTTTAAGAGCTGATGTTACACTGACCACTTTCTCGTTCTTGGGTATGGAGGCTGATCTTATGGATACTTTGCATAATTTTGTTAGAAGATCTGCACTTTCACATGTCAGTTGGGTCAGTTGGGTAGAGTTAGGCAAGTGCTGGCCTAAGGGATCTCCTGTCATTATGCTTTGCCCCGGCTTCCAAGACTCTCTAGGTCTAGGACTTCCAGATAAGTTAGCTCATGCACAAGGATCTCCCCTACATCTTCCACAGTGAAGAGAAAAACAAAAGATTTCAGCTTCTTGCCAATCTCCTTTTACTCTTTTAACATTTTAAGTCCCTTCTATACCAAAAGTTCAACCACCTCCTTAGCTGGTTTCCTACTCCTAGTATATTTAAAGAATTGGTGGTGGTGTTAATTGTGGGATTTGTGAAGGCATGCATATGGAAGAGAGGAAAATAACAGGAGGCTATAGTGAAGACTGCTTCATATGTTGCTGTAACACCTGAAACAGTGCTTCATGAATATAGTTAGACCAGGAAACTGCTTTGAAAAGTTCTGGAAAGAAAACCCTTTGAAAATAGCAGAAGAGATGGCAATGCCTTTGTTTAAAGACCCCAACACCTTGGGAGAGGTTGATTTATCAACTTGTAACACAACTTAATAGTGAAAACAATCCAGCATGAGAGCAGTTGACAGGAAATGCCCTTTCTTGTACCTTCATAGGACCGCATGTTTATGTCCTTTCACAATGTAGCCATTCTGAGATAGCTAAAGTCTATGTCCTATTTTGTTTCCAAAAGAAGACTGTAAGAACTAGAGTGCTGCTTCTGTTGAGGCAGGCTGGGTGACAAATTCGTACTGGAAGTTGTTAGTCTTTTCTTGCCCCACCCCCACCCCACCCCACTGTGTTCCTGGTGAGCACCCACATTTCAGGAGAGAACTGAATAGTTGTTACTCTGGTATTGATTCATCTCTTAACCCACCAAAAGAAAGAGCAGAGAAATATGATTGTGTTGGGGATGGGAAATAGAATTTCTGGGAGCTAAACTCTCAGAACTGGTCGCACAAGTATTGTGGCTGAGAAACAAATTTGATTGCTGGCAGGCAAGGTTTTGCTACCCAGGAGCAAGGTAGCAGGGATGTTGTATCAAAGGGTTTTGACACCACTTAGTGTTTTAAGGCTGTGAAATGGGGCAAATACCTTATGCTTCCTCCAAATTTCATGGGTATTAAAAGACTCTTGGAGAGTTTGTCTGTTTTAAATGACAGTGATCAAGAAAATAGCATCTTTCCTCCACATTAACACTCCATATAAAATCTCCTTTGTTCTTGACCTAAGGGCCTCAGCCTCAAAAAGTGTTTGGCTGGGGGGAGACTAGAGGTTGGGAAGAGTCAGCTGCACACATATGAACCATAGTTGCTGCATTCCCTCGATCATTTTGGTTGCCCTTTTCTGAACGTTTTCAGTTTGGAGAAGTCCCTTTAGAGCGCTTCACAATTTTGGGCAAAAGATTCCTGAATTGCAGGAGGCTAGCCTAGATAATCCTTGTGGTCCCTTCCAACTCTGCAATTCTATGGTTCTATGATTCTTTTGTTTTAATGACTCTGAACACCATCAGCAGACCTGGCTGCCTCACTACTTGCACCTCATTTTAGATAGTTTATGAACAAGTCACTTTTTAAATATTGATATTACATTGACAACTTTCCAGTCCTGAAGTATGGAGGCTGATTTGAGGGGCAAGTTACATATTTTTGTTTAGAAGATCAGCAATCTCACATTTGAGTTCTTTGAGAAAACTAAGGTGGGTACCATCTGGACCTGGCTATTTGTCAGTTTTTATTCTATCTAGGAAGATTAACAAATTCGGTGTTGTACTTAACAAGGTAGTGCTAGTCATGAGCAACCAAGAATTTCATGCAGGTGGATATGTATGAAAGTTGATGGCAGAAGGATCATACTCACATACTTCTTTACAAGACTGAACAAATGTATTATGGTGTAAGCTTTCACAGACTAGAGTCAACCTCATCAGATACAAGAAATGTTATCCTAGGTTGGCAAGTATATATATACAGTGGTACCTCGGGTTAAGTACTTAATTTGTTCCGGAGGTCCATTCTTAACTTAAAACTGTTCTTAACCTGAAGCACCACTTTAGCTAATGGGGCCTCCTGCTGCCGCCGCACTGCTGCCAGAGCACAATTTCTGTTCTCATCCTGAAGCAAAGTTCTTAACCCAAGGTACTATTTCTGGGTTAGCTAAGTCTGTAACCTAAAGCATATGTAACCTGAGGTACCACTGTATATTCATATGGGTATGCATTGAAAAGCTTAAACCAAATAGTAATGAAACTGTTTTAGTAAATATTTTGCTTAACACTTTATCAGAATTCAGATAATCCTCCAAACCAAGTCTCTCAAGTCCTAGTTTTGATGATGAGGCATGATCCACAGACTTAAGTTCTCCATCTTTCCAACCCTAGGGTTCCAAAATTTTGACTACAAATAACCAAGCTGACGTAAATAGTGACAGTGACAGTCTTGGCCTTTTGTCTGACTGTCAAAGATAGGAGTTGGCAGGTTGGCTGGAATACATTTTTTATTACTGGTAGTTAGCAATATCTGTAGGCTGGTTTTGCAAGATTGCGTGATCATGGATAGGAAAAAGTGATGGCAGAATAGTGCAGTGGTTTACTCTTTTGGGATGATGCTGATTACATTATACGCATACTTCCACTGGTTTTTCTAGTTCCTATAGGACACTGGGTTTGTTGCACATAAATTCTGTTGCCATGTCTAATCTGTTTGTCAATATTTTTGCCACCTGGACTGTGAAAAGGCTCAAGACATATGACCTTCTCATGTTCTTACCAACTAGTTAACCCTTAACACTGGGCTTATCTTTTGATCTACTCACAAAAGCACACAAGGACTGCTACACTTGTTTATTTGCTAGGCAAGGAACTGGAATGTTGCATATCCTGTCTTCTAGGATGAGGTCCATGCAGCTTATGCAATGTACTATTCTATTATACAGTTGACTTAATTGAGGAATTAACTATGTGCAAATCTTGAAAGTTTGAGGATTCCACTTTTAGCATTTGGTGAAATTTTAGCAGGATTAACTAAAATTCTTTTATTGAATGAGTGTTTTAGTTAATTTCAAAAGTGCATGTTAACTAGTCTAATATATGTTCAGAGTTTTTCTTACCCGATTCCTGTATTAGCAACAGCATAAAAAGGAATAAATTCCAGGGTCTAAAAATGAGTCTATTGAAATTCATCTTGTTAGTTTTTGTCCACTTCTCCAATCTGTTATAAAGTCATATTGAATCCTGTCTTCTGCAGTATAAGCTACCCCTCCCTGTTTTGTGCCATCTTCAGATTTGTTGAGTATCCCCTCCGTTCCTTCATCTAAGTCATTCAGAACCTATGACACTGCACTTGCTTTTTTTCTGGGCAGGTGAGAAATTGTTAGTGAGCCATCTTGGGTTTGGTCGGCTACAACCAGCTACAAATCCACCTAAGTTACATTGTTAGTTCCATGGTTCCCTAAGCATTTATTTCAAGTATAAAAAATGAGCTGCCCATTATACATGTTCCTACTAAACAGGCTTATTCTGCTTTGTAGCAGCCTAGTACTAACACCTCCCACCTTGAAATTTCTGGTTTGTTTGTTTGTTTTTACTCCCTGAGGCCAGGATTCTATTTTACTTTTCCTTGAGGTATATTATTTTGTTTGATAGGAAGAACAGAATATGATTTTGCCTGTAGGATCTTAATAGCTAGGTGTTTTACAGTTGAGCCAGCAAAAGTTGAAAAACACTGCTTTAGTCAGCATTTCATTCCTTGGATTTCTTCCTAGATTTGAAGATTAAATAAAATGCAAAATGAACTGAAAGACTCATCGTTGTCTTTATATTTGGCATAACTAAGTTATTAGTATTCTTTAATGCCATAGATGTGTAAATACAAAGAGAATATGTGTGATTCAGCAAATGGTGAAAGCACTGTAATTTGACATGATTAGAGGCAAGAGCACACAACTTGCTGCTATTGTAGGGAATAATTTTAAATTAGCAAGACTATAAAGCATAATGGGTGCCTCATTTGGCTTTTTATAGCTAGAAACCAGCAGCATGCAATTGTTCTTTTATTTCAGGCATCAGGGGTTATTAGAACAGTGGTAATGATAATGTAAACTGGCCCCTGGAGTGGGGAGAGAACCCTGCTGCTTGAAAGTAACAATATGGCTAAGGACTGAGAAGGTAAAAATGCCTGGAGTCTGCACACGGCACTCTCCACCACTGATGCATGCTTAGGGGCATCCTTTAATTCCTACCACCACCCTTAAGCTCTGACTGTTGTTGGTCAGGGCTCACTGTTTAAATTTATTACAATGCTGTGGAACTCTACTACATCAAGGTTATTGTGGAAAGTGATGCCTAGTGCTTATCATGGCACTTCTGCCTGCCAGACAGCCTCTGCAACCACCACCAGGTAAGCCCTCTATGGAAAATCCATATAGGAGTAGCCCCAAGGGACAGGACTTTGCTGAGGAATCCTTCAAGCCTTTAACTGGTCAGGTTGGCTTCTGTAGCAGCCTTCGTATAGCCACTGTTAATGCTACTTAAAAATTTCTCTTTGCTTTTGATGTTATAGCGCAGCATGGGCAGGTTTTCAAAGGTTCTTCCATCAGGAATCCATTCCATATTGACTGGGAATCCTCAAGTGTCTGCTGTGGAATTCATGATACTGAAACAAATCCGTGAGTGTAGGTAGCTCACATGGAACACTGGCCAGTCCTGCTGGGTCTCATCAGTGTATCCTAGGATGCATCCAACACACTCTAGCTGCTGCACATTGCTTGGGAAGAACAAGTAGTGGACGAGCTTTTAGAGGTATTTCCCCCTTGTTACCAATCTTGTTACCAAACACTCAAGCTTGCATAGAATGCCCAGCTCTCTTGGAATACAGCTTGAAAACCAGTGAGCTGAATAAAGCCTCATTTCCTCTATCAGTAATCAGGGGACTTTTAAAAGCTGAGTTTCTTTAAACTTTAGAGCAGGGTCTCCCAAACCAGTTGTTGGGACTACAACTTCCATCATCCCTAGCTAGCAGGACCAGTGGTCAAATATGATGGGAATTTTAGCCCAAAAACAACTGGAGACCCAAGTTTGGGAAACCCTGGTTTAGAGTAATAAAGTACTGCAAATACTTAAGTTCTAGCCTGATAACTGCAGCATATATAATTTATATAGTTCTTCACATTTTTAAAAGAAACACCTAAGCAGTTCACAAATATTACAAGCAAAGTACAAAAAATGCTATAAAATATTAGAGATAAAAATCAAAAATTATAAATACATTGCAGAACTTCCATCATTTAAAATACATTAACACAGCCAGTAACAGAACAGTTTAACTCTTCTAAACATTAAAGAACACAATGTGTGAAACATTAAGTAGATGGGGCTTCGGGAATCTCTTTTAAGAGGCTGCTCCAGAGGGTTGTTGAAGCAGCTTAAAAAGCTTGCCATGGAATTTCATGCACACTGGTGAAGGAGAGACAGGGTGCTGCATCTCTTACCTGTGCCCAGCATAGGGCTACTCACTTTTGTAGAACCAGAACAAGATGCTTTTTATTGATTATCAGCTTTATGCAACTGCATAGGAAAATGAAAGTAACCACAAGAACACTAATGGGTGGAGTCTTGGCTCCAACCTATAATACCTGGAGACAATGTTTAACTTGTATCATTACCCATTACTACAGAAACCAGTTGGGCTGCCAGAGGAGGCAAAGCCCTTCCTCATTCGTCATAGAAATTGCAGGTAGCTGCTAAAGGAGAATCATAACTCTTTTTAGCCTAAGAAGCATTTTTTGTGAGGCAATAACTTTTGTGGGTTCATTTATAAGCCTAAAATAATGCCCAGTTTTACACATATGGTAGTAAAGAACCAATTCAGAAACTGTTATTGAATAACACCACATGGAACATCTGCTTTCTGATTCAGTCACTGAGGACTCAACAGACTAGTTCCAGCTTGCCATACTTAGGAGGGCTTTTCACTTTACCATCGTGCAGACAGGTGTGGATTGTCTTTCATCGCTAAGGTCAGGTCTGAGTTTTTAACAGTCTGAGCAGCTTCCTTTTATGGACTTAAGAGAAGTAATGAGGTACATTCAACACTTTCTTGGATGTTAGAAATCTGAGCCTCGGTGGTTAAGAGCTACCTTGATTTGATCTCCAAGAATTTTGTGTAAAACTTGGGCAGTAATGGAGTAAAACATCAGTATTTGAAAGAAAGTTTATTTTACTCTATTTTTTTTCCTGTCAGGACTTCAAGGTGGCTGACAACAATGAAGAATTTAAACAGAAGCTGAAATTGTATGTTGGGCAGCTTACGGTCCTTCCCCCTTTTTTCTGTACATTATGATGAGCCAGCATAATTTTTACCCCATTGAATGCAGACCTTGGCCAATCTAGATGGGTTGCTTGAAGTGGTAGTAAGTTGTGATTGGCTTGATGGGTCACAAGGTGTTCAGGGCTGTGTTAAATATGTAGAAATCTGAGGGCATAAAGCAGGGATGGGGAACATGTGGCCTTCCAGAGATCCTCCAGATTACAACTCCCTGGCATAGAGACTGGCCTTCCATTACTCTGATATTTCATTTTGTTGTGTTGGGGAAATACTGGGGTTCCAGACCGATACCCTGGGCTGCCTGGAATAGCCAATAGAATTCATACACTAATTATCAGTCAAACAGGAGGTCATTATTTAGCATTGCAAGGGACACTAATTAGGCCGAGAGGAAAGCGCCTCATTGGATAGAAGATACAGCAATATTTATACTTTAAGAATTCCTAAACAACAGCTATGTGTCCGGCTAAGTCATGTGGCATATCAACTGACATAGCAACAGACTTCAGCCTTACCTCCTCCTTCCAGCAGTTTCTCCAGCAAACACAATATTCACATTCATTTCCTCAACCCTTCTCTCACACATTTCAATTCTATAATGTCAGTTTCTCCCACAACATATTTTTAGTCCTTTTTCATTACATCTCTGCCCTGTTGACCAGTCTCTTTCCTCTTAAATTGTTATGAGTCTCTATCATAACAAATATTAAAAACAGATGTAAAATATATCTTTATTATGTGATTATGAAATGGGCTAGGTTGGAAATGTAAAATAAAGTTACATAAATACACTAGTTAGATATTTTACTGAGGGTTTGTACTTTGTTTATAATTACCATCTGCAAGGGTCACAATGAATATTTGCTGAATATGACTTTAGTTACTTAATGAAGGGTGTTAACTGCTTGCAAAGTTAATAATCTTCTTGAATGTGTATTATAAGATGCTTGGGTGATAACAAAAATATTCTCTTCTAAGTTTGTATTAAAATTGTCTAAGGAAGTGACACAAATATCTGTATCTGTTTATAGTTGCAAAACTGCTCAGCTTAAAAGCATCTCTTCTCAGACAGCTTTGTCAATGTCAAGCAATAAATCTGTCAGCAGACTGAAAATGAGTTTTGAATTGGATCATAAGTTGCAAAAGTAGCATTAATGTACCCAATGACATCAGTCTTAACTGGGTGGGTGGAGAGTGGATCAATTGCAGGTAATTTTAAATGGCCTTACAAACAAATGTCTTCAGTTATCTAAAGTACATTACTTATATGTAAATATTGTATCTTTTACTACATGAAATTTGTATACATTGCAGAGTAAAGTAGTGATCTCATCTTTTTAATTAAAAATTCATTTGATGGTTTGAAATATTACCTAATTTTAAATTTTTCCTTTCTACCTTATCAAGTAGGAAGGGGCAGAATTTGTTCTGTAAAGATCCTTTGCAGCACCTCCCGTAGTTGGAAATATTGGGATAATTTGTTGACATTTCACACAACTCCTGCCACTGTTGCTGAACAGTGGTTCATAGTTCTTATTCACATCAGTAAAGGTTTACCAACCCAAGCCACAAGGCAGAGAATGTAAAGTCAGACTAATTAGTGACCTCACGTGAAGTGCACATTGCAGGGGAAGATCTCTAACCATAGAAAAGCACTATCGTTTGCCCTCAATCATTTTCTTATTGAGGCTGCCCTGGTGAGAATTTCATGGATAAAATTTGAAAGATACTGTCTACCATACCACTTTTTTTGTTAAAGAATATTGGCCCTTATTTCATCAAAGATAAACTTTTAAAAGTGTACTTAAACAAAACAGGCAAGGAAAAGAGTGACCTGTGACATCACAGCTTTCTCCCAGAAAACCAGACTTGGATCAGTCTGCTGGTGTAACATTCTGATAAGCATTTGTTTCTTCATTTTAGGTATCTTCTCTTCACTACCACCAAAAGACCTGCCTTGCCCCCTAATTGTAAACACGCCAGATGTTGGGTGCCATGGCTGAGACTGCAGGAGAAGAGCCGGTCTTCAAACTTGGAGAACGGTGCCATGAGTGTGGGCAGCTCCACTTGTTGCTAGACAATCATCTTTATAACTTCCAGGATGAAGTGGATGATGAGCTCACTTGCCATATTTGCCTTCAGCCTTTGCTGCAGCCTATGGACACACCTTGTGGACACACATACTGTTTTAAGTGCCTTGAGAACTTCATGCAGGAGTATGACTTCTGCCCTATGGATCGGAAAAAGCTGTCCTTCCATCAGTGCCGGAAGTCTTCCCTTTTAGTGCGGAATTTACTTGATAAGCTCATTGTCCTCTGCCCCTTTCAAGAAGATTGTAAGCACACTATGCAACGGTATGAGTTAGAGGCTCACTTGCAAAACAGGTGTGTATATGGTTCAGTAGTGCCATTAACTATACTTGCATCTTATCCTCTCTGGCTCCTTCACCTTTATTAGTAACTTCTAATTTCTGTTTATTTTTGGCCTGAATATTGCATATATTAACAATAGAGGGCAACTGGGCAGCATTCTTGGTTAAGAAATAGATCGCTTGACTGCTAAAATATGTTAATGGGCTAGTTCCCATTTTTCAAATGTATGTATTCGTGTGGAAGTTTTCTGTTTCTTTTTTTATAATAATATTTATTAAATTTTCTATTTTAACAATCCAATAAAAAACAAATTAATAACATTCCAAATTATACAATAATCAAACAATCAAAATTTTATTCCAAATTATAAGTCTTGGGTTGGCTTCCCATGCCCTGAGGTTCGGGGGGTGATGATGATCTCACATTTATGCTGCTTCTCTTAATTAGTCCAGGTAGTTCCAATAAAACAATCCGATGTTAATCCTTCATTTATTTTTAACAGCCTCTGAGTTCGTCTGACAGGCAGGTTAGACCAATATAGTATGTTTCTTTGTGGGTGTTTTAAATAGCGGGCCAGTCTTATGAAAGTGCCATCCTTCCTCTTTCTGGAGTAATTTTAATTCCCCTTTCCTTTCCTGACATAATCATAGTCTTATGTGTATGTGCTAATGTAAGCCATCTTTCTCTAGATTAAAATTTTGACTAGTGAAGAAAGCTATATGGATAGTTTCAACAAAAATGTTTTTACATTGTCAAACATAGGAAGTTTTTTACTACAATCTTAGCCTCACTTCTGAGTAGACAAGGTTAGGATTGTACTGTTAAGTTGCAAAGCTGCTGATGGCTCTCACAAGCACCTGCATGTGAAGAGCTGCTGGTCTAATTGGACTTTAATTGTTCATTTGGCAAGTATTCACACAACAAGTTGATAATTTCTATTATTTCCTATGGGAACATTTCTAATCCATGAGATATCTCTTCTCTATCCCTCCCTGGTTTCTGCCTGAGATCGCTGCAGCCAATCAGGAAAGACCAAACAAAGGGAAAACAGCTCTCCTCCCTGATTCTCCAATCTCGATCCCTGCCCCTTTGAAATAGTTTCCACCAACCAGCAAAACACAAGAAAGAAGTGGCAAACTCTAGCTGATTGGTTATTTGAATTCTTTGTGTTCAGATAACTGAGATTTCAGATACCGAGCTTTCCAGTAGTGGCACCTGCATGTATTACAGCCTTTCCACTGTAGGTTGTGGTGTGCCTATTACATTTATTTCAGTACTAGACTGTAAACAGAACCTATCTTGTGTTTGACATATATATCATACATATCATGAGCTAATAAAAAGAGCAAACATGTTTCAGTAATTTGAAGGCTACGTGTTTGTTTCTATCAGAACAACACACTTTTTTTCTGTAGCAGTAAATATCTTTGCTCCTACTTAACTACTGTTGATAATGGATCTGAAGACAAATCATCCTATAAATTAGCCATTAAGGTGTAACATAGCAGACTGGTGCTGATACAGACTGACTGAAGACTGTCCAGATGGCAATTGAGTTAGAATTTGGGTATGTCTGAATGTTACTTTTTAAAAAAGTTATTTTTTCTGATATAGTGCACACTAAAAAAAAGATATTTTTTAAAAAATACCAAAACAATTCATAATTTGTAAAACAGCATTGCAAACAAAGTCCAAAAATTTAAAATATTCTAATATTTTGTCCTCAATCTCTTAATTTTATAAAGAACAGATAATGTTTTGGCGAACTAAGACCTTATTAACTATTTCTAATTAGGCTATGTATTTAATGAGCCCTGTATCACTCCTTAACTGATCCAAAAATGATTAAGTTGTCTCCAACTAAGTTTTACTCAGAGTAGACCTAATGGACCTAAATTAGTCACGTTAATTATTTTGAGTGAGTCTACTCTGAGTAGGATGTGCATTAGGTACAACTCACCCTTCCTCAAGCTGGTGTGTGGACAGCTTGTTATTCTGAAAAAACATTTTTTAGATGTTTTCATTTATTGTTTGTTTGGCTACCACCCTAGGCACCTTTGAAAGGATGAGCAGGATATACATCTAATAAACTAATAAACAGAAACAGTAGTTCAAGTCAGACTATCCTGGAAATGGGCCATGGATTTGTGACTTCCCTCCTTCCTTCTCAGTTGGCTTGACTCTTATCTTATTCAACACAAACAGTAGTTTGAACATTTGCCATCTCTGCAAGCTGAAAGTGAAGCCAAGAGAGAGTGGGATGGAAGAAAATATGTGAGACTTCTGCTAATTTGGCTTTTCAGTTGAGCCAATGGGTTATAAATGGATAATCTATTTACATTTAAGATTTAAACCCACCTGGTAACACCTGGTACAGAGTCTCAAATAAACATGAATAGTTACGCTTCCTCTGAAACATGGTTCTCCTAACTAAATGAGTGTAGTTCTAATGTTCTTCTGAATCAGTATCATTGAGGAGTATTTCCGAAGTATATGGCTTGAGGATTTTGGTCATAGTGCTTTGGTGGGCTGCATGGAAACTTTTGAGTTGAGGAATATGGATGCCGAGTCAAATATAAAGCTACACTGGAGATATAGAAGATGAGATGCTTCCTAGTTAATTTTTGCCCTAATTGTCAAAACTTAAATACACACTAATGATAATGCTTGGCAGCATCACTGATAAACCAAAGAAAAAAGGGGGATCCTTATTAACATAATTCCGAACTTAGTGCCAACAAGTCCTCATTTTGACTCATCAATGTGCCCCCCCCCCATATACCCCTAAGCTCTAATGCATCTGGGAGTCTAAATTTGCTGTCTTGTTCATTCCTTGGCAGCCCTAGAGAGAGCTTAACAGTTGAAAAAAATTCTTTGAGCTAAGCAAACTTAAAAAAAATGAATCACTGTAACCTGTTATATAATTGACTTGACAGAAATCATTAGAAAATATATGGGACGTACAAAGCACCTCTTGAAAACTAAAGGTGTGGACTACCAATATGCTTAATTCACAGCAATTCTTTTGCTCTTCTTCAGTCCCAAATATTTGCTTATGCATTAAAAGATGCTTATATTGTAACATACAGTGCTTGATTAGCAAACAAGGGAGCAAATGAGAGTTACTCCATAGCAAATGAAAGTAACGCCTTTCTCTCCTCTCTGATTTCTTAAACTTACTGATTTATTTAAGCTGACAATGACATCTGCATATTGGATAGGAAAACTACGTGAAAGCAGCCACCCCACCCATCCTGTTGGTGGAAACTGTGTGGTTGTCAAAACTTGTGTTGCTTTGTGAAGTACTTGTATGTCCCTATCATAATGGTGTGTAATGAAAGATAGATCTCCTTTCATAGATGTTTGCTTTCTCGTGCAGGTGTCCTGGGTTCAAGAAGTTCAAAGCTCATCTTGAAAGGAAAAAGAATCCTCGCTTCAGGTTGAAGGGAGATTCTCTTTCCAGACAGGAAGCGAGTACTGTAAAGGAGCCTGAGATATTGAACGCAGTGCCGTCCCTTGTTTCTGGAAGTTCAATAGCTGCAGTGGTTTCCCTGGAGACACCGGAGCCTGGATTGATTAATCCAGCCTTTGATGGGAGTGAAGAAGGTATGCATTCATCTCTCAGAATGAATTCTATGGTCAGAGAAAGCAAATCTGCCTTTGCAAAAATTATTTTGAGTTTTCATTCCATCTGATAAGTTTACAAAAATTCATTAGTTTGTGGTAAAAGAGTTGAAAGCTACAGTTTTATAAGCAAGGCTGCTCAAATTGTGGTACAGTCAAACCTCAGTTGTCGAACAATCAGTTCCAAAAGCCTGTTTGGCTTCCGAAATGTTCGACAATGAAGGCGCAACTTGCGATTGGTTGCAAGAGCTTCCAGCACTCAAGCGGAAGCTGTGTTGGACGTTCGGCTTCCGAAAATCATTCAAAAACCGGAACATTTACTTCTGGGTTTTCAGCGTTCGGGAGCCGAAAGCTCCAAAATGGAGGTGTTCAGGAGCTGAGGTTTTGCTGTACTGAGGGCAGAACTCAACTTTCTAAGAATCTTGACTTTATTTTTTTATTTTTTTTGAAGGTAAGTTGCAAAGATACATGTTTGAAAATTTGTGGACAATGCATTTGAAATCTCAGAAGCCAAATAAGTAGCTTTGTAGGATTTCTAGTAGTTTGTAAGCAGGGATTCAGTGTCTTGCATAGATTTTTTACTCTCCTATGAATAATAAAACCTAAATAAGAGGAAATAGTCAAATAGTCATTTGCATTGTTTATATAGATTGCATAGTGCAGATTTTCTCAGTGCAGGAGTTCCATTGGAGCAGTATTTAAGTTTTTAAGAAGTGTAGAATGCATAGCCCTGTTTATTTAAGTTTCTATTTCAGTTTATTTATTTCTGTCCATAATAAGCACAGGTGCTGTTGATTGTACTGTAGTTGTACAATACATATCCACAGATGAACCAAGGAGAGGGGACAAAAGTGCTCTTTTGAAAACATCCTGTATAGTTCACTTTTGTTTCTGTTTTGCTAGGAATAAAGGAAAATTAAGTCTTAGGAAATGGAAAGTTATACTTATTTTGCATACTGGGCTGTTCAGAATCAGTGAAATAGGTCACCAGTATTTAAAATTTCTAGATTTGATCTGCAAGTGTGTCTCCTTTGTCTTCCCTCTCCCATCTCTGATTCTCACTTTCAGATTTACCCCAAAGAGCCAGTCTTTTAGCAGAGACAACTACAATTGAAATTCACCGAGAAGACCCTGAGGAAGAACTTGGGATGCGGATAGTTGGGGGTAAAGACACCCCACTAGGCAACATTGTTGTCCAAGAAGTTCTTCGGGATTCAGTTGTTGCTGCAGATGGAAAAATAGCACCTGGAGACCATATCCTGGAAGTAGGTTTGATATAATTAAAAGGCTTCAGAGTAAAATTACAAATCAATTCCAGGACACTAAAATGCAAAATCATGTTTGAAAATTAGTTTGCAAGGGGAGGAGATATATGGGAGCATTTTGAAAGTATTTAAACTGGTGTAAAGATTTGGAAGAAAAGAATATCCACTATAATAAGAATCTATTCATTTAAGTGGATATCAAACTATCCTTAAAATGACAAGTGACAAAACACTAGGATTGGATGGATTCCCCACTGAATGTTATAAGACATATATAGATATATTGGCACCAAAACTTCATCAATTATATGATGAGATACTTCATGAAGGTATTTTGTCAACAATATTTAATCAAGCTTACATTACAGTTATTCCCAAACCAGATAAATACTATACACAGTGCGCAAACTATTGCTCTATATCCTTGATCAATGTTGATACAAAGATCCTAACTGTGATTCTAGCAAATAGAATTCAGCAGGTAATAGCAGCAATTATCAAGAGTGACCAGACTGGCTTTATAAAAACAAGATAAGCTGCAGCTGATATTAAATTAGTGGTGGATTTGGTAGCTCTAAATAAAAATAAAGACCATTTGTAATCACATCGCTAGATGCTGAAAAGGCTTTTGACAAAAATCTATAAACAGTATATGGAAGTAAAGGTAAAGGTACCCCGGACCGTTAGGTCCAGTCACGGACGACTCTGGGGTTGCAGCGCTCATCTTGCTCTATAGGCCGAGGGAGCTGGCTTTTGTCCACAGACAGCTTCCGGGTCATGTGGCCAGCGTGACTAAGCCACTTCTGATGAACCAGAGCAGCGCATGGAAATGCCGTTTACCTATTTATCTACTTGCACTTGATGTGCTTTCGAACTGCTAGGTGGGCAGGAGCAGGGACCGAACAATGGGAGCTCACCCTGTTGCGGGGATTCGAACCACCAACCTTCTGATCGGCAAGCCATAGGCTCTGTGGTTTAGACCACAGCAATACCCGCATTAAGTAGCTTTACTTAAATTTGGATTTTCATTGGATTTCATAAAATGGATTAAAGTAACGTATGAAGCACCTGCATCAAGAGTCAAAGTGAATGGTATTATGTCTGCCACTTTTCCTCAGGCCCAAGGAACCAGACAAGGATTTCCACACTCACCATTGCTTTTTAACATTTGCATTGTGATATTTACAGTGTAGTTCATAATACATTCAAATATAAATTAGTTTTATTTGCTGACAATATTTTATTGTTTATTTTGAAACCTCAGACTAGCATTCCCATTTTGATGCAAATGATTGATGCTTTTGGTAAAATATATGGTTATTCTATTAATTGGTCCATTTGGAATTGATGCCAGTAGGTCAAAATCTGATTACACATTCTTTCAAGTACAGTAATACCTCCGTGAATGTCTGCCTTGTCTAGCGTCCATTCTGGCGAACATCCACGGCAAACCCAGAAGTACTGGAACGGGTTACTTCCGGGTTTGACGCATGCGCAGAAGCACTAAATTACACATGCGCAGAAGCACAAACCGCTCTGTGTGCGTGCGCAGATGTGGTGCTTTGCCCTGCGTCCTTTTTGGCTAGTGGCCGGGGCTCCGGAATGGATGCCAGACGCAAAACAAGGTACGACTTATCAGTTCTGGATTTGTTCTGAATATATTAAATATCTAGGCATTCTAATACCAAGAGATATAACACAGATAATTAAACTTAATATAAATAAATTAATAAAAGAGGTTTCTTCAGATATAGATAAATGGAAGTCATTGAACCTTACCCTTTGGGGAAGGGTTAATGCTCTCAAAATGAGTACAGTGGTACCTCGGGTTAAGTACTTAATTCGTTCCGGAGGTCCGTTCTTAACCTGAAACTGTTCTTAACCTCAAGCACCACTTTAGCTAATGGGGCCTCCCGCTGCCACCATGCCGCTGGAGCACGATTTCTGTTCTCATCCTGAAGCAAAGTTCTTAACCCGAGGTACTATTTCTGGGTTAGCGGAGTCTGTAACCTGAAGCGTCTGTAATCTGAAGCGTATGTAACCTGAGGTACCACTGTATTATTCCCATACCAGATTAATATATATTTTGAGAGGACTTCCAGTTTTTATGTCAGGATCATATTTCCAAAAGATAAACTTCCTGTTTAGGAAAGCTGATAGATGAGGAAGATGAGTTTTACAGTTATATTGTTTTAAGACAAAAATATCATCTACCAGATGGGGCCCAGCGGCAGTACCTTCAGTTACAACATCTCCTAACTAGTTTGTATGGCCCAGCAGCTTTCTGAGTCTTAATCTTATATTAAGACTAATACAGCAGAAAATAATATTTAGAAGCTATTGGACTCCTTCATGTCTGTATTTAAAAAAGGATTTGCCAAGATTGCAAGATGCTGAAGATGTGGTTCCCCCTAAAAAGTTTCCCTCCACATTTTATAGAAAATGTGCTAATTTAAAAATAATATGTACTATAAAATAACAGTTGTAACAATATATTAAGGCAAACATTTATCAGTTTTAGACCTTTAAGTTGTAGAGGCAGTTGCCAGGACTTTGCCCTGTTTGCCTCTACATAGTTCCATCCTCCGAAGGCCTTCTGGTGGTTCCCTCACTGCAAGAAGCAAAGTTACAGGGAACCAGGCAGAAGGCCTTCTTGGTAGTGGAGCCCTCCCTGTGGAACACCCACCCTTCAGATGTCAAGGAGATGATGAACTACATAACTTTTAGAAGACACCTGAAGTTAGCCCTGTATTGGGAAGTTTTTAATGTTTGATATTTTACTATGTTTTATATATGCTGTAAGCCGCCCAGAGTGGCTGGGGAAACCCAGCCAGATGGCTGGGGTATAAATAATAAATTATTATTATTAATTTTTAGGCATTGTGATATATTTGTATATCATGATGTTTAGCTGGTGATATATCGTGCTTTTGAAAACCAGACATCACCCAGCCCTATCACCCAAAGAGCTTTTGTTTTAGCAGGATTCAGTCCGTGTGCTTCTTTGCCCTCATCCAGCCTATGGCTGCGTCCAAGCTCCAGTTTAAAACATGCACAGCCTCTCCTGATTAAGATATAATAGAGAAATAAAAATTGCTGAGAAAATTGGAGAGGCAGGAACGGACTGGTTGCAGTATCATCAGATAAATGATTTGTTTAGATAGGACAGGTGGAGGGGTTTTATGACCCAAAGCTCACATTTTGAAAGAAAGATTATTGAGAGTAAAGGAAAAGTGCTTTTCAAAATGTACAAGTTATTATTAGAATGGGAAACAAAAGATGAACTGGTAAAATCAGCTATGATTCACTGGGCAAGAGATATAGGTCATAATATAGATATGAGTGCATGGGAGAAACTATGGAATTTTTTTTAAAAAAATTTACAGCATGTTACACATTGAGGGTGAACTTTATGAAAATGATTTACAGGTGGTATCTGACATTGAGTTAATTACCGTATTTTTTGTTCTATAAGACTCACTTTTTCCCTCCTAAAAAGTAAGGGGAAATGTATGTGCGTCTTATGGAGCGAATGCAGGCTGCGCATCTATCCCAGAAGCCAGAACAGCAAGAGGGATTGCTGCTTTCACTGCGCAGCGATTCCTCTTGCTGTTCTGGCTTCTGAGATTCAGGATATTCTTTTTCTTGTTTTCCTCCTCCAAAAACTAGGTGCGTCTTGTGGTCCGGTGCGTCTTATAGAGCGAAAAATACGGTAGCTAAGATGTATAAATCTGAATCACATATCTGTTGGAAATGTAAAGAAAAAGAAGGTACATTTTATCATCTGTGGTAGACATGCAAAAAGTTAAGACTTACTGGGATATTATATATAATGAACTGGGAGAAAATGTTTCAAAAGACATTTGTTAAAAGCCCAGAAACGTTTCTTTTAGGTATAATAGACATAAGTGTATTTAAAGACCAGAAATCACTTTTTATGTATACAACAGCAGCAGCATGTATGGTATATGCTCTGAAGTGGAAAGAAGATACAATACTAACAAAGGAAGAATGGCAGATGAAGTTAATAGAGTATATAGATATGGCAAGATTGACAAACAGAATAAGAGACCAGGATGAAAAAGTATTTAAAGAAGAATAGAAATGTTTTGTAGACTATTTGAAAAATTAATGTAAACATATTAAAAAGTTAACAGTAGAAGAGTAAATTCAGCAGTAAGAATTATTGAGATATAAAATTGAGAAAAAGAAAATGTTGGGAAAATTAGAATATGTAATGGAAAAGAAATTAATAAAATGAACCATGGAAGGGGGGAAGGGAAGTTGAAAATAATTGTGTGTTTTATATTTGGATTATTCTTATTGCTTCAGTTGTAAAAAGAGAAATGATTTAAAAAATGAAAGAAATTCTTGAGGAAATGAACTGCTCCTGTGAAGGGTGATCGATCTCCCTTCATTGCTCTTATTCTATATTTTCTTTTTCTTTTTTCCTGGAAGAAGGGAGGGACAGGGTATCATAGTACAAGGCTCTGTACCAGGTAGTATAGTGATCAACTCTTTGTTTTTATTTTCTTCCAAGGTGAACGGCGTCAACATCAGCAGTGTGACCCATGCTCAAGCTATCTCCTTACTGCGTCAGCGCTGTGCTGTGTTTCACTTCATAGTACTGCAAGAGAAAGGGTTTACCACCAGAACTGGGCAACTGGATTCCAGCCGTTCAGTAAACCAGGAAGTGATCCATGTTACCCTTGTAAAGAGAGACCGATCTGAACCTCTTGGCATCAAATTGATCAGAAAAACAGATGAGCCTGGGATTTTCATTCTGGACCTTCTAGATGGAGGCTTGGCAGCCAAAAATGGGAAACTTAGTCGGAATGATAAAGTTCTCTCTATAAATGGCCAGGATCTAAGACAGGGAACTCCTGAAGCAGCTGCACAGATAATCCAGGTAACTAAGTCACAGGTGGGGAATTTTGGGCCTGTGGTTGAATTTGGCTCTCCAGATTGCTTTACAAAGGTAAGTGTTGTATTTGTTGCCATGGGCACTTTTTGCCTTTGGCCCCCAAAATGTTAGCCATGAGGGAATTCAGCACTCTGGCTGAAAAAGATTCCCCACCACTTGCTTTAAGGAGTGCCACAGTCAACACTCTAATTAAACTTATTTGAATTTTCAAATGTTGCAAGAGGGAAGCCTTGGTAATATGAAGAGTTCTCTTTCCCAGACCTGCAAGTGGGATCTTTTTATTGATGATAATTGAACCTGGTTTATTTACTATTTATTTTTAACTCGCACAACAAAGCAGTGATCTGTCTCTTCCTTTTGCAAACTTGGAAGTTCAGTCTTCAGCTCGTTGTCTTTGCATATATACTCTATGTATAGACACACAAACAAAAATAAATTGATTTCACAGTTTGCCCCTCTTATTTCTGTTTTAATGCAATATGCCTGTAAGCTATACAAGTGAAGAGTTTAAATTAGTGCTTCCTGTTGAATATTTAAATCAATCCACTCTGTTTGCCCACTTCGTTTCAGTGCTGTCCTGTGCTTGATATGTCAAGTTTTAGAATTAGATAGGCATTGATTGAAATATGAGTAAGAAAGGGTTGTCTCCTGGTTTGTAAGCCATAATTTGGAGGGAGGCAGTCTTGTATCTGCACTGGAACTTTAAAAGAACCTGGCAGCCAAGTGCTGAACTAACTTCAGCATTCATATTATAATTATATTATAATATTGTTGGCATCTTTCTCAAGAGACAGTGGAAGTGTGTGCCATCGGGGGTAAAGTCAAACCGTTGGAGAGTTACAGCTCCTGTTGTGGCTGTAGAGACCAGCATGGAAGAGACATGTTTTATTTCAGCTGGGGCAGATGAAGGTGTCTGGTTTTGCTGGGGCAGATACACCATGATGTTTCTTCTCTCTGCGCTCCTCCCAGCAGTCATTTCTCCTTTGGTTTTTGCTGTCGTCTCCAGGCACTACGGTCATCTGCAAGGGATTCCCATATGGTGGGATTAATGTTGCCAGCCTTCATGTCAGATCGCGTTTAGCCAGTGCTTCCCGCCCCCCCGGGGGGGCACTCAAGCGTACGCAGTACCAGCACTTCTATTTTTGTTGTTAAAAAGTGGCACTTATGTAACTACTTAATGTACTGGCACCTCTTTTTGGGGGAGGGGGTGTTAAAAAGTGTGACACTTAGAGTAACAATTTCATGATGAGTACCGGCAACTAGTTTTCTAGAGAAAAAGCACTGAGCATACCATTGGAGATCCTGCCATCTTCCATTCTATGTACATGACCAAGCCAGTGTAGATCTGGGAATGTGGGCTTAGAAAAGCACTTATTTGTTTGAGACTCTGTCTCAATATATATAATTTAATATAATATGTACATTATAATATACAAATCACCTATTATAATTTTTCTAGTGACACACTGGAGAGATCCTGCAAATTGCATGCTTGAACATTATCATTTTAAGCTTCCTTCCTTTTTGGCTTTCTTGACAGACTTGTGAAGCGAGAGTAAACTTTGTTGTTCTCCATCAGTCTGGTGTGCAACTCCCAGAAACTGTTGAAGATGGCAGCGCATCAAACACCAGCAGTAGTAGCAGTGGAGGAAGCCCAGTGCATCGTCGCAGAAGACCTGAACAGAATCATTATCGATGGAAGTCCAATTACCAGAAGGTATTGGTGATTTTAAGTTCTGGTTTTGGGTAGGGATTGGCTTGATTCCTTTCCTCCTTGAGTACTGGGTATTATGCAAATAGCACCACCAGATATGAAAAAAGGCCAGACAGTGAGTAATAAAATATGGGTTTATATTAAAAACAACTCCACATTCATTATCTCCTGAGCAAATGATGTAGATTTTGCTTACAGGTCGAATATTTTTTACAGGAAAAGAAACTGTCTTCTGAACAGGGTCTCTCTCCCCCCGGCTTTCTACACTCAAGAAATCCTTTAAACAACAACAACCCATAGACTCATTATTGATGAAACCGCTGTGTGTTTGCCATGGCATCTCAGTGTTCCATTGCAGAAAATTCAAGAGCATATTTTAGACGACATGCTTGGTTCATGAAGGTCACATGGCTTGTTGGGCCATGCTGCTGTTCAGTTTTAACTGAGAGTATGGTCTTCAACACTAGTAAAATGGGTCAATAAAATTTTATCAGGGTTCCTGACCAATACAGAAAGGTTATGTATAAATCACCTTGAGATGGTGGTTTAGAAGGTGATTAATAAATTAATTGTAATAATAAAAATAATTAATAATAAAGTATTGAACATAGGAATGGGATGTTGGGGGTGGGACTGGCACATGCGCCCCTACCTCTTCCCCAAGCACACCTGAATAGTGTTTAGATTTGGTTAGATGACAACCACCAGTCAGGGGGAGTGTGAAGGCACCCCCAAACTTGGCCCCCCAACTGTTTTGGGACTACAACTCCCATCATCCCTGCCCACTGGTCCTGTTAGCTAGGGATGATGGGAGCTGCAGTCTGAAAACAGCTGGAGGGCCAAGTTTGGGGGTGCCTGTTCTTTACCGAAATGAAGTTTCTCCATCGGGATGGATGTGGAGCAAATGAAGATTCTTCTTCAGTTAAAAGCTAGTGGAAGGTGTCTGGAATTGGTGACGGTAGGGGAGAGAAGAGATCCTGATGGGAAAATGGCTTCTTCCTCTAAAGTAGCCTATGTAGGTAGTCAGTTTTGGAATAATAAGTGAGAATAGGTTTCAATAGCATAAGTAGGACTAGAACAGGTTGTGTTTATTATCACCTGTTTAATATCATGTAGCTGTTGGCCTCAATACCTTCATTAATTTTGGAGTGTGTAAAAAAAGATCTGTTACATTTACTGTATTTTTGTTGTTGGTTAACTGTTGTAAATACCCACAAAATAAATTGGTAAACCCCTGATTATTCAATCTTTTAAATGTGGAAATCCAGATTGTAAAAACCTCTAATGCTATTCCACATTGCTAAAATGCATTCTAAGAAGGATTTTCAAGATGTTTTAGTTGTTCCAAAGAGCAAAGTAAATTTCTAAAAGGAAGTAATGCTAAATTTCATTGCTCTCTATAGGTTTCAGGCTCCCCACACCACAAGAATTGTACTTTGTGATTATGCTTTGAGAGTAGAAGATTAATACATTAATCTTGAAACCTGCCATCCTGACAACCTTTATAGAAACATAACCAGATGCTCTCCCCTCCTCTTTTAGGGGAACTTGAACAGAGTGTCATTCTGATGCCAGTCCCTTGCAGATTGTTGTTTGTTTAAATTGCCTTATGTGTGAAAAAAATCTTATTGAACTGGTTGAGAACCTTTCATGTGGTGTTTTAATTTTCAGTCAAGTGCTTTATAGTTTGATGCTGTCATAAAGCTGTTTGTGCAAGAAATTTATCTCTCCTATATTCATTTTATTACATTCCTTCCTCATAGCCTGACAAGATGACTGGACTTTTAAAAACACTTTTTTCTTGAGTTTTATAGGGTGATGGTGGTTAATTTGGGGTTAGAGGTAAGATTTTCAATTGTGCTCCATACTGACCTGCCCTCACATTGGTTATAACGATCATTACCATTAGAACCATTGGAGGGACACGGGTGGCGCTGCGGGTTAAACCACAGAGCCTAGGACTTGCTGATCAGAAGGTGGCGGTTCAAATCCCCGCGACAGGGTGAGCTCCCGTTGCTCGGTCCCTGCTCCTGCCAACCTAGCAGTTCGAAAGCACCTCAAAGTGCAAGTAGATAAATAGGTACCACTCCGGCAGGAAGGTAAACGGCATTTCCGTGCGCTGCTCTGGTTCTCCAGAAGCAGCTTAGTCATGCTGGCCACATGATCTGGAAGCTGTACGCCGGCTCCCTTGGCCAATAAAGCGAGATGAACGCCGCAACCCCAGAGTCGGCCACGACTGGACCTAATGGTCAGGGGTCCCTTTACCTTTATGTTGAGAAAGGTGAACTGAAAATGTTAATTGGAACTTGGTAGTAATTGGGTTTGTTCACACAGCAGTAGTTTAGTGCTGTGTGCGCAAGCAGGAACAAAACCATGAAAAGCCTTGAGTTCATACTAGCATTTAGTTTCATTTTCACAGAATCCCAATTAACGAACCAAAGCTTTTGGTTTAAAAACAAGCTGGTCAGCTTCTTAACAAGCCAACTTCAAAACATGGCTAAATGCCAGCCAAGTGCTTTCCACTGCATGGGAGAGTAAGTGGGAGGGCTTCACTGTTAGGCAGAAAGGCACTAATTGCTTTTGTAATTTGAAATTATTAGTAGGAATCTACAGACTTCCCTGTAGAATGTGAGCCAAAAGCAGTTGCAGTTTAATCACTATGTGATTGATATAGTTGTCATATTCTATTGCTTTTCATATATATATCAATTTCCCAAATTTTGATTATGATTATTGTTCATTCATGTTGGATCCACACTGCCTGACTGCTAAAACTCTTATAACTTGAAGCATATATCCATTAAATAACACCACAAAAATCATGTGTATGCTGCGGAAATACTATAGCCAGTTACTACTCCATGCTGTGCACGCAACAAGGGCAAATATGATCTAGTCATTCAGTGTATTAAAATATTGAGTAACCATATGTAGTATCATCTGGGTCACATGGGGTCCTTTTGCAATTCAAACAAGCCTGGCTTCTGTGAAAGAGGTGCTAAAGTTGGAAACAAAGTGTGCATCCCCAATGGTTTCTTCCCATCCATTTCCCATTCTCTATAGCCATTTCTAAATAGATGATCATCACACAGCCCTTAATCCCTTAAGGGCGGGGGGCGGGGAGAGAGAGAGGGAGAGAGATAGAGCAGAAATAGCTAAAAGTGGTGATTCCTTATCTTAAAATATCAGGGTTTTAAAACACTAGCTTCATGGAGTTATTTCCCCCCACATCCTGTTTTTTGCTGCCTTATTAATATACATGCTGTTATTTCTCTCCATTCTCTTTCAGGCACTCCCTCAAGGTTACCTCAGCCAGGAGAAGTTAGTTAACATAAAGAAGGAGCCAAAAGAATCTCTGGGAATAACTATTGGAGGTGGAAGAGACAGTAAAAATAAACTCCCTATTTATGTAACTAGCGTACAGCCTGTTGGATGCCTCTTCAGAGATGGTAGAATTAAGAGAGGTAAGATGCTTCGGAGTGCCTGCTTTTTAAATTTGATACATGGGCTAGCATTAAGAGAACAAAGTACCATGTCATTTTGTACTAAGGAAATTGCAAAGGTTTAAATAGCTATACAGTGGAACCTCGTGTTACAGACGGGATCTGTTCCAGAGGCCCGCCCGTAACATGGAACTGACACAAACTGAAGTGCCGCATCTGCACACACGCATGGTGCGATTTAGTGCTTCTGCGCATGCGTGAGTGGCGAAACCCGGAAGTAACTCATTCCGGTACTTTCAGGTTGCCGCAGGACGCAACATAAAAACACGTAACCTGAAGTGGACACAACATTGTACAAAGGTATGACTGTACAAAGAAATGGTGTTTATATATATATTTATATATATCCCCGCGGGGTGAGCTCCTGTTGCTCTGTCCCAGCTTCTGCCAATCTAGCAGTTCAAAAGCACACCAGTGAAAGTAGATAAATTGGTGCCACTGCGGTGGGAAGGTAAACGGCATTTCTGTGCGCTCTGGTTTCTGTCAGTGTTTTGTTGCGCCAGAAGCAGTTTAGTCATGCTGGCCACATGACCCGGAAAGCTGTCTGTGGAGAAATGCCATCTGCCTTGGCCAGAAAGCGAGATGAGCACCACAACCCCATAGTCGCCTTTGACTGGACTTAACCATCCAGGGGTCCTTTACCTTTTTACCTATAAATATAATGTTATATATTATAACTCGTCCTTTTTTCTTTTCTTTTTTTAACAAAACAGGAGATGTACTGTTGAGTATAAACAATGTTGATCTGACTCATCTTAACTACAGTGAAGCAGTCTCTGCACTGAAATCAAATGCAGCACTGCACACAGTGACATTGAAAGCCTTGGAAATTGTGGTAACGGAAAAGACATCTGAATTTACTGAGGCACCAGATACCAGGGAAAGTGGGTTTAGTTGGGCTAGCTGGGCTCCTCTCTGGATCATGTGGCTTGGATTGCCTAGGTAAGTCTTTCTGCTTGATGTTACTGTGGGAAATTTTACCAATAATGGTATGTTAGTTACATTTTGAGTTGATCTATTTTGGTTAAAATATTGTAAACGAAAGTATCACTTGCTTTGATCAATTAGTCTTGCCTATGAAACTAAAGCACATAAGAAAACCAAAGTTTTCAGTACTCCCAGTCATGCCTTTGGAAAGTGATGCTTGAAAGTATTTTTAAAAGAAAAGAATTGTAAAATGTACTGAGAAATCAGTGACTAAGAGATTGAACCAAAATTAGCTTCTCTGGTTTGGCCTGATGTCTGAATTAACAAACCATGATTAGGGCCATTGCCCTGCTTTTTCCCAGAAACTGCAGGCAAGAGTAAATTTATAAAATTTAGAGCACAGAATGCAAAGGAAGACAAACAAGTCAGTCCATCCCCCAGTTAAGGGATTCAACTGATGTAAAGCAAATCACCTCCCTTTGTTCATTTAAATGGGCCTTAAATATCCATTTTCTTACCATGGCTTTGGGAGGCTTAATTTGTGTTGCCAAGTGCTAGCTTTTCTAATGCGCTAGATGGGCTTTTTGTTGGTACACTGACTTGCATATTCGTGGGATGGAATTGGATATTACTTTTAACTGGTTTAACAATTGAAGTTTAGGGATTTATATTAGTATGTAGCTGCAAACCTGTTTGAGTGGCATCTTTGCTAAAAAAAATGGTCAAAAAGCCTTTTAAATATGTCTTTTTAAAAGTTATTAAAATAAACCATATTTTCCTACCTCTCAGATGTTTTGAAACCATGGTTTGAGTTCTAACCTATGTTTACCAATGATTAGAACGTATTTTTCGCTCTATAAGACGCACCAGAAGATAAGACGCACCTAGTTTTTGGAGGAAAACAAGAAAAAAGATATTCCAGAAGCCAGAACAGCAAGAGGGATCTGGCTTCTGGGATAGCTGCGCGAAGCCTCTCCCGGGCAGCGGGATGAAGGCTCCCCCTGCCCGGAAGTGGCTGCGCATGGCTAAGCTGCCCTCTGTCCCTCCTTGGGGAAAAGCCCACAAGAGCCGCACTCCCTTTAAAGAGCACGCGGAGCGTGTTTGCGGCTCTTGGGGGCTTTTCCTCAAGGAGGGAGAAAAGACTGACGGGCCGCGTCAGTCCCTTCTCCCACCTCAGGGAAAAGCCCACAAGAGCTGCACACACTCTAGGCGCGCTCTTTAAAAAACAGGCGGCTCTTGCTGGCTTTTGCAGGAGGTGGGGGGAAGCGCCATAGCCGTGCCCTCTGTCCCTTCCCCCACCTCCCGCAAAAGCCAGGGATAGCCGCGCAAAGCCTCCGCAGGGCAGCGGGATGAAGGCTTCCTGCTGCCCTGCGGAGGCTTCGCGCGGCTAAGCCAGAAGCTAGAACAGCAAGAGTGAACGCTGCGCAGCACTCCCTCCCACTGTTCTGGCTTCTGGGATAGCCCGTGAAGTCTCCGCAGGGCAGCAGGATGAAGGCACCCCGCTGCTTTGCGCAGCTAAGCCAGAAGCTAGAACAGCGGGAGGGAGCGCTGCGCACCACTCCCTCTCGCTGTTCTGGTTTCTTGGATAGCCGCGCAGCCTGCATTCGCTCCATAAGACGCACACACATTTCCCCTTTCTTTTTAGGAGGGAAAAAGTGTGTCTTATAGAGCGAAAAATACGGTAATAGCTTGATTGAACTAAGTCACTCTGTCTTAGAAGGCAGAATCAACATCAAGTTGATGCGGCCTTTGTGGATTCAGGCTATAAAATATACTCCAGGAAGATGCTGCTAGAAGTGAAGACAAACGTGAGTTTGCCGTCGAAGACTCCTGCATCAAGTTCTCTCTCCTTTGTCCATAATATGTGATACCGCTCCATTGTAGAGTGGGGCTTCAAAAATACACAGCATAGTTGCAGCAGAAGAGCTAGTGGAGGCATGATTGACAGAAGGGGAATGGAGTGTTGGGTGGCATTAGAACGAGTGACTGTAGAGAGTGTTGATTTGGAAACAATAGCCAGCCTCTCTTTGACTGATTTGAGGACTGTTTATGCCTTTTCTATCTTAGAAGGCATAAACAACAAGCAAGTCGTTCATATGATGTGGGGGCAAGGCTTTCAACCCATTTTGAAGAATTCACCAATAATTTTTTTGGGTAGTTCCAAAACGTTTAGAAAAAATGACCTCTCCTTTTGGATTGGCCCCAACTTTTTTACAATATTTTTTAAAATCTTATATGGAGAAAAGAATGGACAAGTTCTTTTCCAACTAAGGTCACAATTAAGCATTTTACAGGCATAGCACTGCATAACATATTTTTCAAAGCTAGAGCAGGCTTCCTGGATGTGTGTTCCTTTCTTACCTCCTTTCTAGCCATTAACCATAGATTCATGTAACATGGGCACTGACACAAACTATAGTGCTCCTATAAACCAGTGACTATAGCTGTTGTTTGAGATGTGTTTGCAAACCATTACACTCAGGCATCACTTTCCAAACACAATGTGTTGCCAGTCAATTGTTTGTTATGTGAGCATTCGCATAGCAAGCTATTTCCATTATACCCTATGAGAACATTTCTAATCCATGATTTGTCTGTTCTGCCTCCCTCCCTCCCTGGTTTCTGCATGAAATGGCTGCTGCCAACCAGCACAATTAAGGAAGTGGACAAACTCCAACTTTTTGGCTATCTGAATCAGCTGTTTGTGTAGTGAGGTTTGGGTATAATTCTTTGTGTTCAGATAACTGAGATTTCAGATGAGCATTCTGATAGTGGGACCTGCATGTATTATGACGGAACTAAGGTATGGGGAAATTGCTTCAAAAGAGGGGAGGAGGGAGCATTTGTTTAGAAAGCACAGTTTGTAGGTCAGTGTTACATCTTCACTTGTCACAGTATATTGTGACAGTGAAAGGGATCCAAAATTTATTCTCAAATGCTGGGAATTTTGTGACTTTGGAGGGCATTTTAATTCTGAAAATCCACCCCAGCCCATATTGTTACACATATACTATATACATTTAAAGTCTAGTACAAAACTCCATTTCAAAGAAAGGTCCTGATTTGGGTGTTTGATCAAGGTGGCCTTTTCCAACATCGTATTTGCTTTCGATCAAAGAACCTGTAAGCTGAATGCAGTCTTTGTTTCTGGTGCATGATCCACCAGAAGCCAGATATTGATTCTCAAGCAGCAGTGCTGCTACTGACAATGATCTCATAATTGTATTGATTTCCATAAAAAATGAAAGTGGGAATTCTATGTGGAAGCCAAAGAGTGTTCTCTGTTTTCTATTTCAGTCACCTCCATTGCTGTCAAGACATTATCCTGCGTAAAAGCAACTCTGAGAGCTGGGGATTCAGCATAGTTGGTGGGTTTGAAGAAAACAAAGGGAACCATCCATTCTTCATTAAAACCATTGTGCCTGGAACACCTGCTTTCTGGGACAGAAGACTGAAGTATGTACATACACTGTTGTTTCTATTACTTTTGCATTCTTTATGAAATATCTGGTGTTGCAAGGTAATGACTCTTTTTGATAAAACAACTGCCCCGGTTACTCAGAGTGAGATGGGTTTTTCATAAGAGTGACTGGTGAGGGCATTTTATCCCATAACACCTGTTGCAGAAACAGAGAAATTTCCAATTTTTAGCAGAAGTATACAAAGCCAGAGAAATAAATCTCTCTGAGGTTTGGTAACACTGTTGTGTTCCTGTACTGCGTTGAATTATCTAATTTCTCCCTAATTACTGTAATGAAGGCTGCTTAGAGGTATGGACAGATTTCTGAATTATGCAGTGGGACAGCTACCGCACAATGGGCAAGTTCTTTGGGCTCATGAGCATTTCTAATTATTTAAAAAGGTTAACTAGCAAGTCTGTCATTTTTTGCTAAGCAATGTACTTGATGTTTTAACACAATCAGTGCAGACAAATTGCTGCTGTACCAATAGGGACATATATCAAGAGCATTACTAACAGTACTTTTGCCTTTTTCTTTGACTAGATGTGGAGATGAAATTGTGGCTGTAAATGGAGTGTCTGCCATGGGAATGAGCAATGCTGAATTGATTCCCATGCTGAAGGAACAACGGAATAAAGTAACTCTTACTGTGGTGTCCTGGCCTGGAAGCCTTGTTTAAGACGTAAACTCAGTATAATTTTGGGACTACTTTGGTACCAGATTTCAAGGCTTTGAGTGATGAACCAACCAAAGAAACAGTGAACTGATTTAAGATGGCTTTTCTCAAGGCTGTCACCTGGAATCCTATTCCTATGCCAAAGGCAAACTGCTTATTTTATTTTTTATTTTATTTTTTTACCCAGCTTCCTGGCAGACAGAAGCCATGCTTCAGTGATCAGTTAACGTTTTTGTTATGTAACTAGAAGAAGAAGAAGAAGAGTTTGGATTTGATATCCCGCCTTTCACTCCCTTTAAGGAGTCTCAAAGCGGCTAACATTCTCCTTTCCCTTCCTCCCCCACAACAAACACTCTGTGAGGTGAGTGGGGCTGAGAGACTTCAGAGAAGTGTGACTGGCCCAAGGTCACCCAGCAGCTGCATGTGGAGGAGCGGAGACTCAAACCCGGTTCCCCAGATTACGAGACTACCGCTCTTAACCACTACACCACACTGGCTCTCAACTATTGGATGTTGAACATATGAAATCTAAACTGCAGCCTGTTTCTCCTCAACTCACATTTTAATCCCCCGATAAACTGCTTTGGAGTTTATTTTTACAATCAAGGGGTATATAAATTTTATGAAATAAAAATAATATATATATATATGAGTACAAGAGAAACCTGTAAAAATGGTTTTCATGATTACTTATGGCTCCTGGTAAATTCAGTAAACATTGGCTAATGACGTGGGTGGCGCTGAGGGTTAAACCACAGAGCCTAGGACTTGCCGATCAGAAGGTCGGTGGTTCGAATCCCCGCGACAGGGTGAGCTCCCATTGCTCGGTCCCTGCTCCTGCCAACCTAACAGTTCGAAAGCACGTCAAAGTGCAAGTAGATAAATAGGTACCACTCCGGCGGGAAGGTAAACAGCATTTCCGTGTGCTGCTCTGGTTCGTCAGAAGTGGCTTAGTCATGCTGGCCACATGACCCGGAAGCTGTACGCCGGCTCCCTCAGCCAATAAAGCGAGATGAGTGCCACAACCCCAGAGTTGACCACGACTGGACCTAATGGTCAGGGGTGCCTTTACCTTTTAACTTTGGTAGCTTTAAAGATGTTGATAAATAAATCCTCCAAGTCATCGTTAAGGTCTGCCTTACTAAAACTACCATCCCCTTTTCATGCTTGGTAGAAAGGATATGTGAATGCCATCTTTTGGGTAAGAATCACAAGATGTTCTTCGTCCTTTTTTTCTGCTCTTCTGTGCCTTGTTGAACTTGAGACCATTTGCAATGTAAAGCTTGTCTCTGAGCATTTGTGTTTTCTGTGTGAGGACGTAATGCACTAGTGTGATGCCTACAGCACCAGCCTTCTTCTGCTTGAAGACAGGATCTTTATTGCTGATGAGAATGAACTGAAGGACCAATGGAATAATGTTCCTGTTGATGCATTAGCAAGTAGAGATCTCTCAACATTTATTTGTGTTACTACTGCTTGTTGCAGTTCAGGTGCTAGGTGGCAAGTTGCATCTCATTCCCACTGTCTCTCTGAAAGAGTTGGGGATTGGCATCTAAAGCCAGTGATGGGAAAATTCTGCAACTTGAAGAAAGTTGAATGGATGGCCCCTGTACCAAGAACAGAGACTGTGTGCAAAGACTGAATGTAAGAGAAGTCTGACAGGACTTTCAGTGAACATATCATAGAACCAAAATAAATGTAATGGCAGCAGACCCATGTGCAGAATTAAGCCTGCTGCAGAACTGTAAAATACTGTATGTGTAAATTTAAACCCTAACACCCCTTCTCACAACATACTTTTTCAAAAAAATTATGGCCATGCTTATACTTCTGGTCACATAACTAGCAGGGCCAAAATGGCTTAAAAATAATAATAATATGGAGGGAAATGTATGGTTGCTGGAAAGCATGCAGATCCATTCAGAAATGCTGTGTTTTAAATTGTCTCCTCTGCATCCCCCACTCCCAACTTTGTAGGGGATCTTGCCACTGTACTATCTAGTTGTGCCCTTGTGGAAGGGGAGACAAATAGCTGTTATGGCAATTTTGTGTAGCTTAGGGGGGAAACCCCATCAAAGCCTATCCATTCCACTATTGTCCTTTTCCCACCCCACAATGTGATGATTTTTTAAATGGCATTACTTCTTTCAGTATTGGGGCTCTCCTGCTTCAATGTTTTAGTGTTTAAGATCCAAGTACGAAGGAACATTGGAAGCAGCATTCTACCAAGTCAGAACATTGGTCCATCTGGCTTATTATTGTCTACACTGACTGGCAGCAGTTCTCCAGGGTTTCAGGGAGGAGTCGCTCCCAAACATAAAATGCTGGGGATTGAACTTGGAGACTTCTGCCTGCAAGACAGATGCTCTAGCACTAAGCCGTAGCCCTTCCCTGCAATTAGGTATAACATTTTTTTGCCAGAGGCCTGCTGTTAAAAGTTGGATGGCATGTAGAAATTGCTGGGCCAGACAGTTGATACAGAAGTATGGCATCTGCAGGTAAATTTCAGCTACGCAGTTACCAAGTACACCTTGCGGGGTGGGTGGGAATGGAACTCCTAATGTTGACAGGACTGTGGATTTCAAACTTAGTAAAGATATACTATTCTTCCCTGGGCAACCACAGTTCCAAGCTGGTCTCCAAGTGTAGCCTCATTTCCATGATTCTATTAGCTTGATTGTAGACTAGAGACAGCAAGTTTGAGGGAAATTCCATAAGGATGGCAGTGTGGGGTGCTCCTTTGTTGTTCTAAGATTGTGGTTTGCTTAATGTGAGTCTCTGACCCTGTGAAAACTGCTTGCTTTACCTGCATTCTATAGGGCAAGTGTAATGCTTAAAATAACTTTTGGTCCAGCATTTCTGTATACAGTGGTACCTCGGGTTAAGAACTTAACCTGAAACTGTTCTTAACCTGAGGTACCACTTTAGCTAATGGGGCCTCCCACTGCTGCCACGTCACCGCTGCGTGATTTCTGTTCTCATCCTGAAGCAAAGTTCTTAACCCGAGGTACTATTTCTGGGGTAGCAGAGTCTGTAACCTGAGGTACCACTGCACTAGTATATGTAACTTGTATAAAATTAGATTGAAATCAGACTAACAGCTATGCGTGAAATACAAGTTCAGTGGTCAATTTTCAGGAGGAGCAGTCCATCAAATCTACATGTTTAAAGAATCCAAAAGGACCCGAGGAATGATTCAAATTGCCATCTCTGATTTAAATGTCTTCACTGCCTCATTTGGATGTTGCAAGCTGTTATTGCCATGTGTGAGAGGACATTGATCTAACGGGGCATGCAATTTTCATGTGGGTGAGGTGTTCCTGCAAGTCACAGCATCAATACTGAGTGTAAATGTGGTTTTAAAAGGAATCGCCATTTACATCTCCTTGCAAGGGGTGATTACAGAATCCACAAGACCCAAGGCGGAAGCCAGGAGTAATATTTGTCTCTTGCAATGACTGTAGAGAGGAAATTGTATGCTTTTTCCAAATGAAGGGTATGTGCTGCCTCAGCAGCACTATTTCACTATGTTGTCTTATTTCAAGGTGCCTTTAACAATCACCGGTAAATCTACATTGTTTTGCACCAAAGAGATTGTGGTACATTGTTAACAACTGTTATTATTTTGATGCATTTATAAATTATTCTGAAGTTATTGAAGCTGTTTTGATGATGTGTTATTCTGATCATATTGGCTCTCCTAGCACGCAGCATCCCTACAACTAGCTTCTAGCTTTTGGAAGTCAGACTCTAAGCTAGCTATCAGCTAGCTTATTGTGATAATTTAGTCATAATACTTGCCTTTTTTGAACAAAGCTTCATGTGGCTGTTACTGTTCTAAAAAATAAAAGAAGTCAATGATTTGCCAAGTATTGTCCTATATTCTAAATGCATTAGTTTGCACGGAAGCTATTTCCTATAAGAAGCCATGGGATCTCACATGTAGGTAAATAACTGCCTTTTTTTGCTGCCAGTTTTCTCTCTCCAAAAATCTGTGAATGTGATCTTCTTTCAAAAAGTGGAAGCTTGTGTGCATGTTTGGTTGCTAATCATTTCAGCCGTTTAATGTCTCAGGGGAAGAAAGTCGCTACAGACAATCTGGCTGTAAAAGTGTCACTATTCTTTTTGGACCACAGATTTGCTCCTTCATGAATCCTGTCCATTTCTCTCCAGTATACCTTCCTCATGACTTCTCTTTCTTCTTGCGCTTGTGATGCTTGTGGCTTTCACATTCTTTGCTCTCATGCTGCTTACTAGGATTGGACAAAAATACAAGAAGAATTAATGCTTTGCTCCTTATCATAGAAATACAACAGAATCCTTGGTGGCTTTTAAGCAAAACTCTAAACTTATCTGTCAGATTTTCTAATATTGTACTGCCAACATCTCAATGCAAGAGAGAATATTATAGTGAAAAAGTAGTTTAAAAATGGAGAGGCAGGTGATTGGATGCAAAGCAATGTTATGCATCAGCTCTGGACTACAGCCATCCTTTTACAGAAAAACTGGTCTTAGAGCTCTAACATCAAGAGGCCTTTTCCACATGCTGGGGAAATGTTCCAGTAGGAACCTGAAACACATGGTATTTCAGGAGGATCAATCAATAAGAGACTGACATAACACTGATCAGTGAATTTCTACCTCAAGGGGGAAACTGATGGGAATGCAACACACACATACCCAAGTCAATTTTATCACAGCTGTGGGGCTCTCACAACCATTGCTGCACTTGAATGATGCAGTAGCTGTCAGGTATGCTCCACATCTTTGTATTCCCAAGGCTAGGCTACAGTTAACAACCTCTATGGGGCTGTCCTCTAGTGCCTGGAAACTTCAGCTAGTGCAGGAAGGAGACTGAAAAAATATATATTAGTATGAATCAGACTGGACCACAGTTTAACCCTACATAATTTAATGCTATTTGGCCTGATCCCAGCTAGAGGCTCCAAACTACCAATGGGAAACCCCTTGCCACCATGATTTGTGTTTGCCTGCTTCCTCTTTGTCTCTGTGCCTTTGCTCCCGATGATGGTCTTCTTGCTCTCTACTGTGAAAGCCCCACACAAAATCATAACTACATTCTTGGCTATAGTAACCATCCCTTTCATCTTCACTGAAAGGAAAGAATGAGGAATAGTCACTTGGAGAAGAGACTTATTCTAACAAGAAAAAGGTTTAAAACACTGTTCTCTCTGCAGTTTCATAAATAGGTCACAATATTTACCTACTGGAACCTCATCATAAACCCAGTTGTTTCAAGAAATGTAAACAGTTGGAAAGTTGATCACAAACCATGTGAAAACACCAGAACCAACAATTTTAAAATTTCTTCCATTGTTTTAGCAGGTATGGGCATTCCAATGATAGGAAGGGTATACAAAAAGAGCTCCTGCCCCAACCCTCCCCCAAAGATGGATGGCCAACGGCTGAACCAAGTCAGAACAAACCTAAGTCAGGAAAGGTGAAGCCAAGGAGGGCTTCCAGAAATGTCCATGCAAGCCTGGCAGGCAAAGCCTATTCCTTTACAGAAGCATAGTCAATAAATCTTGCCCTAGTATAAAATTTGTCTGTAAACATTCAGTTAAAACCAAATTGATATTATAGTTGTCCATTCTAACATGAAATTCCTAGATAGTGACCTCTAATGTTTTACTATCATAAGTTTAGCCACTGACAAGAGAAATAGGCTTAAGTCTTAGGGTGTTAAAACCTCAGTGTCCATTTCTGAAATATACAGCAGGACCAATCTGGGGTTGGGAGTCAATAACTGATTCTATAACCAACCAATATCTTTAATTATTTTGGTCTATAAGGACCTTTGGGCAGGTCTACCACATGTGGTAGAGAGATCCAGCCATCCCTCCTACACCTATTACAGCCTTTGTCCATTCTAAATAATTATAGATAGAAAGGCCAGATTGGAACACAGTTTACCCCTACATAATTTAATGTTCCTTGGCCTGATCCCAGCTAGAAGCTCCAACCTACCATTGGGAAAAGCCTTACCACCATGATTTGTGTTTGCCTGCTTCCTCTTTGTCTCTGTGCCTTTGCTCCCAATGATGATATTCTCGCTCCCAACTATTATCTCTACTGTGATAGTCCTGCTCAAAATTGTAGCTGCCTTCTCTGCTATAGTAATGATCCCTTTCATCATCACTGAAAGGAAATAATAGTGAGTTAGAGAAGAGGCTTTGTCTAACAAGAAGAAAATTTCAAACACTGTTCTCTTTTCAGAGTTTCATAAGTAGGTCACAAGATTTACCTACTGGAACCTCATCATACACAAACTTGCTTCAAGAAATGTAACAAGAAATGAAAACACATGGAAAGTTGATCACAAACCATGTGGAAACCCCAAAACCCACCTTTTTAAAAACTGCTTTACTGTTTTAACAGATACGGGCAATTCCAGTGATAGGGTTTACAAAAAGAGCTTTTGCCCCGAGCTTCCCCTCCCCTCCCCCAAAAATGGAAGGACACAGGAAAAAAACCCATGTGATAAAATGGCTAAACCAAAACAAACCCAAGTCAGAAAGGTGAAGCCAATAAATTCTTCCAGAAATGTTCACGTGAGCCTGGCAGGCAAAACCCACAGTCCTTCACAGGAACATGGTCAATAAGTCTTGCCTGAGTAGTGTAGTTGTAGTTCTAATGTAGTTCCTGCCTAGGGTGAAACTGTCACTGAGGGAGCTGAGGTGGTTTCGCCTCATGGGGCCAGTGCAACCCCTCTAGCTGATCCAGAAGGATACCATGGTCAGTGGTACCGAAAGCCACTGAGAAATCCAGCAGAACTAGGAAAAAGCTTTTACCTTTGTCCCGATGACCAGTGCGAGATCGACCAGTGCGACCAAGGCAGTTTCAGTCCCATGATGAGGCCTGAATCCCGATTGGAAGGGATCCAAATGGTCCGCATCCTCCAGGCGTGCCTGGAGTTTTTCAGCAACTGCCCGCTCAATCACCTTGCCCAAAAATGGAAGATTTGAGACTGGGCGATATTTCACCATAGTGACTGGGGTCTACATATGCTTTTTTGAGAAGTGGTTTAAAAACCACTTCTTTCAGCGAGTCTGAGAAGACTCCCTCACAGAGGGAAGCATTCACCATCCCACAGAGCTTTTATGAGCTAGGATAGGCAGGGATCAAGGAGACAGGTGGTCGGTTTCACTCATCCAAGCAGCCTGTCCACATCCTCGGAGGTAAAAGACCAATCCCATGCAACTTGACTAGACTGGACTCTAGTCCAGCACTCTCCCGCCCCGGCCCTGCTCCCACGGTGGAGTCCACCTTTTTCCCAATCTGAGTGACTTTATCTGCAAAAAACTGCAAAATCATTGCAGGAGATTTTAGGGTCCTTACCAGGCTCTGATGGCATTAGATTGTGAACCACCTGAAAGAATCTCCTGCTGCTGTTTTCTGCAGATGCAACTGAGGCGGTGAAAAGCTCCTCTTCGTGGTTGCTATTGCCACTTGGTAGCGTCGACGTTGAGCTCTTACCCATGTCTGGTCAGATTCAGAATGAGTTTTCCACCACAGGCGCTTTAGCCGTCTCAGTGATTGTTTCATCACCCTCAGCTCTGGGGAAAACCACGGGGCTGTCCGGGCTCCATGCAATCAGAGAGGGCGTTTCGGAGTCAGACAGTCTTCTGGGTGTTGAGTTTTGTGCCCAGTTTCATGCTTCATAAGTCTGCTGTACCTGTAGCTCCGGTTCCATTCCAACATAAGAAACACCAGCACTTACTTGTATTCACTGGTGGCAGATGTCCAGTCACAATCTCTTTCCCCTCTTGAGCCAGAATGTTCCCAGTGAGTGCTCTTAGAAATATTGGAGGCTGTAGTCATCCATGGCATGTGAGATGTAGAAATGGGAGGGTAGCTGATAAAACCCGAAGCTGTGGAGAAGGAAACAGTCTTTCATCACCCAATTCAAACAACTGTATGATGGAGCTGGCATGTGCCCTGGTCCTCCACAACATCCATAATGGAACTTGCAACAAACTCTCCACATAGATATAGCCAAGAGAAAGTCCTTCCTTCCTTGCTTTCTGTCTATCTCTTGAAAGAGAACTAGGCACAACTGTGTAAGCTGTCCAAGTCATATCTATTGCAGAAGTTAACTGGTGCTTCAGTGGAGTAGCTGACGAACAATGCTGATTGGAAACTCTCAGGAACTGCTTCCCTAACCCCTAAGGAAACTGGAAGATTCTAAGAATCCACCCTTGAAGCTTATTCAATAAGTGCTAAAAGCAATGGACTGTACAGAAGTACAGTTCCAGAAAAAGGCACTCATCTGACACAAACCTTTTAAAAGATGTAGATTTTGTGTTTTGTGGCCCAATGGTGGTAAAAGGCCTGCTCCATGTTCCAGAAGTCTTTGCCCCTTATGGACACACAGAGCAGAAAATAAAAGCACGGCTGGGCTAACAGATTATATCTAAGGTACTGCAACAGCCTTTGGCTATAAGCAATAAATTTGACTGACTGACTGACTATATCTAAGGCATAGGGGACTGACAACGCAAAGCACTTTAAAATCTAGAACCAGCCTGGCCAATGGTTGGGAATGATGGGAATTGTAGCCCAAAACATTGGGTGGACCCCACCTATTTGACTGAAATGAACACAGTCTCCTTTCTCATCAGCATTGCCCAGCTTCCTACATGACTCTTAGAATCATAGAATCATTGAGTTGGAAGAGACCACAAGGGCCATCGAGTCCAACCCCCTGCCAAGCAGGAAACACCATCAGAGCACTCCTGACATATGGTTGTCAAGCCTCTGCTTAAAGACCTCCAAAGAAGGAGATTCCACCACACTCCTTGGCAGCAAATTCCAATGTCAAACAGCTCTTACTGTCAGGAAGTTCTTCCTAATGTTTAGGTGGAATCTTCTTTCTTGTAGTTTGGATCCATTGCTCCGTGTCCGCTTCTCCTCCATGTTAGCTCAGAGCAAGTATCAGTATCTTCCACTTGTTAAAATCAAGGCTTGCATTTGAAACATAAAGCGAGTGATTCAAGTAGCATCAAAATGTGGCTAACATGAAACTGTCTTATGGGTACAGAGGGAAGAGTAACGCAGTGAAATCTGCAACCAAGTGTTTGAAACCTTGTTTGGCTTTGCATATAAGGCCACTGTCTAGAAATATATGGGTGTGTGGTGTGCAAGAGCTCAGCAAATTATTCAGATGTAGATATAGAGCAGTATTAATATGCAGTTCCTCAGCAGCAGATACAGAACTGTGCTAAAGCCATCCACTTCCTACAAAGTAAGGAGAGAAGCAAGCATTATTCTTCATGGAGGATGGCAGGTGCTTTGGCATGTTCCTGGCAAATATACCTGGAAGCAGTAACTGGCTAATAAAATTAAGCATGGGCAACATGTTAAAAGGGTAATTACACTGACTGGTGCTGGTATTTTTCAGGCTGCATGTGGGAACATTTGTGATGGTGTGTGGGAAGGTGCAAGTATGTGCAAGTGAATTTGGGAACATGTTAAGGCCAGGAAGATCAGGCAGGGATATGCAGGAGAGAAATCTCAGGAATATTGTAACATTCATGACATCCCCCCCCCCACACACACACTCCAGGCTTTAGCAGTTGGTGGGAGAATGAGCAAGGCAAATGCTGCAATGCAGGAGATCACACAAGAAGGGGCAGCTCAAACATGGCTAGCATAGAAGGCACATCATGGGGCATAGTGGCACTCCAGCTCTTCTACACCTGCCAGTTTGCAGAGGTTAGCATTTAGTGGCATCTCATATCCAAGCGTAGACAACCTGTTGGCAGTCATAGAAGATGGACCTGCCTGGGCTCTGAGATCTTCAAGGGAGGCCATTATCAGGCCTGCCACCCTCACAAGCATGTTTGTTTTATATTTTATATTTTAATTCTACTAATGTAAAATTGTTTTTTAAAAAACAGATTTCTTTTCTTATATATGTTTTTAGCTGATTCTGTTTTAGTTGTAAGCTGCCTTGAGTCCTGCCAGAGAAACATGTGGGATATAAATACCGTATTGGCCCGAATACAAGCCGCACCTGAATATAAGCCGCACCTTTAAAATTGGAGGGGGGAAAGAAAAAAAGAAAAAATATTCTAATAAAAGCCGCTCCATTCCTCGCTGCTCCTGGCTGCATATGGGGGGGGGAGCCGTGCAGCGTTGCTCTCTCCCTTTCTGGCCTTGGGGGAGAGGACGGGGGACTACATGTGGGGTGGGTGCTGCTTTGCCGCACTCCTGGCGCTGTTTGCCCTGCACTCCTGGCTGCATACTGTAAAGTCACGAATATAAGCCACACTTTAACTTTTCATGGTTGGAATTTGGGGGGAAAGTGAGGCCTATATTCAGGCCAATGCGGTAAATATAACAATAATTAAATAGAATGGTCTAAGGCTGCCCAACAAGAAGTGAGTTGGGAAATCCACATAACCCATAATGGGTAGCACAGGACACTAACTGATTTCAGGCAGCATGTCTAAGGGGCTCACCTGTGGATTTGTAGCCAAATGGAGGTGGTTGGCTGTTGCTGTAGCTGGCAGACTGGCTTTGAGAGGGGGGGGGAGGGAGAGAGAGAACACAACAACAACTGGTTAGTAATATCTAGTCCCCCTATCACCCATTCAGAAAGAGAAAAATTAAAATCAACTGTTCTAAAACAGAGCATCATTGTCCCAACTCCCTTAAAGAGCTTCTCTCTTATTGACTGTAAGCCACCTCTTCATCAAAGGTGCTGATTCTTTCCTAGTCCTACCATGCCATCTCTCCTAGCTACTACCACTTTCTTGTCTATCCACTAGGAGTACAACCTAGGAGTGTTGAGTATGCAGAGAGCTAGACACAAGAATACTGAAGAGCCCTGTTGGATGAGACCACCTAGCCCAGCATCCGGTTTCCACTTTGAACACCAAGATGCCTCTGGGAACCCTACAAGCCAGGCATGCTATCACCCTCTCCTGCAGTTCCCTCCTCCCCAAGTGACATGCTGCCTCCATAAATATGGACGTCCATTTGATTATCATGGCTGATGTCCACTGAAATCTGTAAAGTTCCCCATAAATTTGTCTAATCTAGCCTTTCCCAACCTGACACCCCTCCAAATGTTTTGGACTCTAAGCATCTGTGGCAATTACCATGCTGACTGAAGGAAGATGGGAATTGTAGACTAATACATCTGAAGGTTGCACCAGATTGGGGAAGATATAGTCCCATTGTAAAGCCATCTCCACATTTTGCCAAATGAACTCCATAAATTGACAATGTGGGGAATGAGTGTGTAAGAGTTCTTAATCTAAGCTCCCTGTCTTTTCTTTGTACAAACATTTTTGCTCATGAAAAACCTTTCTCTCCCCCCCCCCCCCGCCATTTGCAGTACATTAAAACCAATGAAACCAGTATACACAAAATAAAATCCAAATATCTAAAACCCAGGAAAACAGAGAAAAACTAAATCCTTAAATCTCATAATTAAACACCAGCAAAATTCAGGAAATATAAAAAATGCCTGCCTAAAAGCTGTTAGGGGCAGGCCAGTCTAACTTATTGTGGAAGGTTCCATATCTTTGGGGAGGGGGGCTGTCACAGAAAAGGCCCAATCTGCCTTCCTACCAAACTAACCTTTTCTGCTGATGGGACACAAATCAGGACATCACAAGATGACAGTAACCTATGGTGAGATGAGACTGTGTTTCAGATATTCCTGTACAGGTAACAACTAGCATCTAGAACTGGAACCAGGAAAGTGGAGTGGGAGAAAGAGAGAACCAGAAGCCAATGCAATTCATATAAGACTAGTGTAATGTGGCTGGAAAAGTGCTCACCATGAAACATTATGGCTGCTGTATTTTTCTGCAGTTTCAGATGCCTCTTCAAGGGCATCACCACATTCTCTGCACACCACTGGAAAGAGCCACAAATCATCCCAAGGGTTCTGCTCTTAGCAACTCATGAACTGGCAGTCTGAATGCCACTGCTCAGCAGTAGCTGGAGGTACAAACTGCAGGGAGATAAGGCACACTGAATAGGCATGAGCAGTTCAGTTGATAGTTGCTAGCCCCTATGAAAGCTTTCGGGTCAGATTGGCTCACATGGTCTGAGCAATCTGGAATCTATCACCAGAGAAGCTACAGATCAGCTGCCTCTCTCCATCTGCTTTGGCCTCCCACCACTGCCCTCAGCTATGGCTAGATCTGGTAATCTACAAAACTGGGATTACAACCTTCCAGGTGGAATGGAGAAGGCAAATAAAAAAGGGGGGGGCACCAAACAGCCCTAGCCCTATCTCCAAGAACCCTCACTAATATGATAATTTACAAGTAGTGCAGTCACAGTGGATCAATAAACTGACAAAAGACAATGGTGACCAATCTCAGCCTAAGATTAAAAAATGTGTTGATGTGCATTTGAATGGTGCTTCTGCTAATGTCCACAATCATATTCAAAGAGCTCTTTCCCAACCACAAAGTAATGCAAAACCACAACCACAATTCTGCTAGCCTTTTGCAGCCTACAGATGAGACAATATTAAGAGAGATGTCACTGTGGCATAGTGGTTAGAGTGTCAGACTAGGACCTGGGAGACCAGGGTTCAACTCCCCACTCAGCTGTGAAGCTCAGTTGGTGACCCTCGGCCAATTACTGGTCTCTCAGCCTAACCTACCTCACAGGGTTGTTGTGGGGATTAACTGAGGAAGGGAAGATCCACGTGTGCCACCTTGAGCTCAAAAAAGGTAGGATATAAATGCAACAAATAAGAGTGTTAGTAAGTTAAACCCATTTAATTCTCACTTACCCACCATGTGTTGGAATCGAAAGGGGTGGCGGTGAAGCATGAAGTGGAGGAAACAGACCTGTAGACAAAGTCATACTAGTTTAAATGTGTGGAGAAGGGGAAGTGAAGCTCTCAGCCCCCTTGCAAATGCTGCTATAATGCCTGGCAGAGCTGAAGGGCAGTGTACTTTGAGCCTCTCCCATCAATCAAGAGCTGTGGGAAAGCTGTTCTTCCTGCCCCCCCAAAAGAACATCACACCAAAGTGGAGGCCACCCTGGCCTCATTTCTCAGATGAAGAAGGAGCAGCACTTTTAGTGAGCTCACTTGCTGCCTCTAAAGGAAGATCCTGTTGGGTTGAAATCACGACAGACGAATGGTGGGTGTCAAAGGAGAGACGTCTGCCCGGGGCAAGTCCCGGGAACTCTCTTTTATTGAATATTACAAACATTGCCACAGGTGTGCTTGTGGCTGATTGGCTGATACAAACACAAAGCATCTTGTTGCTGATTGGTTAACATAGGTACAAGGCGGGCATTACATATTACATTAATCACTGATAGTTCAAAAGACTGGGAACGGAGCTGGAACTAGACAGGCATGAAACCTCCTAATTAAATTATAACTAAAGATTGATATTGAGAGAACATAACATGAAGGAATACAACAATCACGTTCTGTAGATGTGGTCAGCAATGCATTAAGAACAGGTCAGGATACACTGTTTCATGAACTCAATGGGAACTGTTCAGAACATTCTCAGACTTATGTGCAGAAGCAGAGAGAAGATTATGAGCGAGACTTCCCAGAATGCAAGAATTATGTGCAGTAAGAGAACTGCAGAAAGAGAACTTCACAGTGAGAGAACTGCAGAAAGAAAACTTCCCTTCATCTCCCCCTTTCTTTTCTTGTTTGCGAGGCATTCTAGGTAGATAAGGCAGAAATACTTCGGGATTAGTGGTGTGCCAGCGAATGCCCGAAATAAGCCTGCCAGGGTCGATGGGACAAAAATACTTCAGGATACGTGGTTTGCCAGCGCATGCCCAAAATAAATCCGCCCACATCTCCCCTAAGGTTTACTGTTGGTGTTGCCATTTCGCAATGTAAGCAGCAAGGAGTTTGCTGGGTGGGGGAGGGGGGGGAGAGAAGCCGGGAGAAAAGACTCATGAGGCTAGGAATGCATTGAAGGAAACAGCATAGCAAAATAAAAATACAAATTATGAAAATGGCATATTGAAAAAGACCACGAAGCCAAGTAAGGTTTGGCAACCAAGCGGTAAGCCACTGGGTGAAAGAATCCCAGAGGCCAGGAAAACCAATGTCCTGTTTAATGTGTAATCCCAGAGGCCAGGAAAACCAATGTCCTGTTTAATGTGATGTGTAAGATTTTGCAAATGAGAGATTTGACTTTGAATGGCTCTTGAATTGTCAGTAATATTGAAACAACACATGTCATTCACTTGTTCACAGCCATAATGATGAAGCATGAGCAAATAATCGATAGCACGATTTTGTAAAAGTCCATAGTGGAGTTTTGTAAAAGTCCATTATGTAATTCACTCTGTTCTTTATTCAAAAGGTGAAGGGCTTGAGAAGTAAATTTCAGGGTTTTTGCTGCATAACAAGCTAAAGAAATAATGTTCATTCGATTCCGTACAGCCAATCCAGGGACTCCTAAGAGAGAAGCAACTAAAGAGATATATTCAGACCTACTGAGAAGAGAGACAAAAGCATCACAATCATTAGTCAATTAAATATTGCAGCGATAAAATGATGGACAAACGGCTTAAACAGCAAGGTGTTCCATGGCTGATGTTTGCTGGAATGTAATTAAACTTATAGCCAGGACACGACCAGAAGATTTCCAGTTGAGGGGAAGTGCAAGCTTACTCATTAAATTGAATGGTAGCTTGTAATTGTTGTAGCAAGTCTCTTCCCCACAGATTGAGGTGGATTTTCAGCACACAGGGCTGGATGTAAGCAATGGTTTCAGAGCTATCAGGCAGAGAAACAGGCAGCCACTGTATGCTTTTGGAAGAGGTTTGGGGGCCACCCACACCCCAGACTGCAGAAGCAGACTCAAGGGGCCACGTGGGGTCCCAGCAACTACTAGAAATTACAGAAACGTCTGCGCCTGTGTCAATCAAGCCTTCCAGCACAATACCATTGATTTTATACTTACGAAGAAGCTTCTTCTCACCAATCCTCTGGACTACAGCTAACAGCTGTGGAGGGAAAGAAGAGAGCTCGTGCAAATTAGTATCCATAATAGAAGCAGTAGGATGAGAAGGAGCACCACCAAATGCGCCCAAGACTCACCCTTTTTAATTGCATGGGCATATGGCTCCAGAGTTGAACCATTATTGTGCCTACATAGTCAGGATCCAGAACTCCAGGAATAACCTGGATGCCTTCCTTTGCCGCAGAAAATTTGGGTAAAATTAAACCTGCGACTTTAGGAGGCAGGGGACCTGCCAATTGAGTGGGCATAAGCACAATTTCACCAGGTAGAACAGAGTCTTTGGTTTCTTGATTGATCAAATCAATTGCAAATTCAGAGGGTGTTTTCTTTGAAAAGTTTGCAGCAGCAGAAATTAAAGGCGGAAAGCTCTCTAATTTTCCTGGCCCGAGAGTGGGGCCGCAATGGAGTTTCCCGAACTCCTGCATTGATTAGCCCAATGATAGCCTTTGCCACATTTCGGGCATTTTTTAGAAGGTTTAGCCTTAGAGGGAGAACCATCCTTGTGTGCCCCCCCACCAGGGGCTCTGCATTGCTTGGCAAAATGGCCTGGGCGCTTGCAATTAAAGCAGTTACCAGTAGGCTTAGTGGTTGCTTGGATTGCGCCGGCAAGCAAGGACATCGCATGGCTCTGGCTACCGACATCCGCACAAGCTTGAATCATATCGGCCAGTTCATATTTAGGGCGATGTATGATTGACTGCAAAGCTTTCTTGCAATCAGTGTTTGCGTTTTCAAAGGCCAATTTTTTCATCAATTCATTTTGAGCAGTGGTGTTATCAATCTGCCTAGTGACTGATTCTTTCAATCTATCTATGAACTGATGGTATGGCTCCGATGCTGTTGCTTAATATTCACAAAGGAGCTCAGCGGTTGCCCAGAAACAGGGACTTTCCGAAAGGCGCGTTGTACACAGGTCGCGGTGCGAACAAAATGTACAGGTGTCAGTGTTGCTTGGGCAGTTATATCAGCAAACTGACCAGCACCATAAAGTTCATTGGCAGTATGTTGAGGATCAGACAGGGCTGAAGCGCTATGTTTAAATTCACTCTCAAACACCACATACTGGTCAGGGGAGCAATGCATGCGAATCAGGTCTGGCCAGTCCTGAGGTAGCATAATGTAACCAGTTGCTATGCCTTCTAGCATCCCTGTCACATAAGAGGATTTCAGACCAGAATCAGCAATGGCTTTCCTTAATTCCCTCATTACAGAATAAGGAAGCGATTCATAATAAATCTGCTGTTGAGCAGATCCAGGGTTTGAATAAGAGATAGGGAAAGCAGACGGCATTTCACCTGGCCACTCAGACTCCTCCTCTAAGGACAGGAGTCCTTTTTGCCTTGCCAGAGAGAGCGCAGCACGCACAGCTCCTATAGAGCAAGCAGGGGCTGTGGCAGGAGGAGGAGGGATGGGGGAGGAATCAGGCTGAGGCGGAGGGATGGGGGGAGGATGCAGGCTGAGGAGGGTGAGAAGCAGGGAGGGATTGGCTGGGAGAAGGAGGTAAAAGTTTCGGGTAGGGTGGGGATTGTCTGCAATGGCCAGAAGAGGAGACGCCTGGGGTCCCAATTGGGGCCCTAATTTAGCAACGGCATCAGCACATTTCTGCCAAGTGAGCAGACAATGAATCGGAGCCCTAGGTTCTGCAAAAAGGGTCTTTCCGATCTTTTGCCAAGTCTCTACATCCAAAGATCCAGCCTCTGGATAAAAGACGCATTGGCAATTCATCTCACATAGCAATTGTTCAATTTCTTTTAAGGAAATATTAACACCCACCTCCCGCTGTCTAACTAAATAAAGCAACTCTTTAGCATGCTCTTTCTGGAGCTTAGTCAAGTCCCCTCCCATACTCACGAAGTAGCGCGCTGAGACTTTTCCAGTCGGGTGAAGTATGAGGTTTGGCTGCGTAAGGGATCTGGCACGTCAGGGGTCACCAGATGTTGGGTTGAAATCACGACAGACGAATGGTGGGTGTCAAAGGAGAGACGTCTGCCCGGGGCAAGTCCCGGGAACTCTCTTTATTGAATATTACAAACATTGCCACAGGTGTGCTTGTGGCTGATTGGCTGATACAAACACAAAGCATCTTGTTGCTGATTGGTTAACATAGGTACAAGGCGGGCATTACATATTACATTAATCACTGATAGTTCAAAAGACTGGGAACGGAGCTGGAACTAGACAGGCATGAAACCTCCTAATTAAATTATAACTAAAGATTGATATTGAGAGAACATAACATGAAGGAATACAACAATCACGTTCTGTAGATGTGGTCAGCAATGCATTAAGAACAGGTCAGGATACACTGTTTCATGAACTCAATGGGAACTGTTCAGAACATTCTCAGACTTATGTGCAGAAGCAGAGAGAAGATTATGAGCGAGACTTCCCAGAATGCAAGAATTATGTGCAGTAAGAGAACTGCAGAAAGAGAACTTCACAGTGAGAGAACTGCAGAAAGAAAAACTTCCCTTCAAGATCCTTCACCTACCTCTGAAGCCTTCTCTTTCCTCACTGGTGTTTTTGCTTCAGAAGCAGATAATGTTGTTTCTTTGGCCACAGGATGGGGACAGAGCATGTCCCTTGAGAATACTCTTGTGCTCAGATCCTGCTTGTGGTTTTCTTACAGGCACCTGGTTGGCCACTGTGAGAACAGGTTGCCAGACAAGATGGGCCACTGGCCTGATCCAGCAGGCTCTTCCTAGAACTTCACAATGCCAATTAAAACCCTGGTACCATCTCCATCCTGCAACCTATGGTAATGTGTTGTAAAGCATACACCTGTCTCCGAACTTCATGTTTCATCTCCCAGCACCCCAACCAGCTGCTATCAATAATGCAAAGCAGGGAACACACAATGTGATAATATCAGCATATATTCACTACATATTAGTGAAGGCAGAGAGACTGGACTCAACAATGGACTTATGTCCTACCCATAATGTGCAATTCTGCACACCTGGGGTGTTGGCTATCCCACCTGCAGTTCCCAGGTAGCTTTCCTTCCAGGCATCTACCACATCTACTTCTGTCTCAGGAACTTAGAACAGACACTTTCAGACCTCAGTCTTGCCTATTCCATTATTCTTTAAGGTGTTTCCCCAACCCATAACCATTACACATCAGAGAAGTTAAAGATGGGGGTGGCATACCTAGGCAATAACAGAATACTTGTTAAGCAGGTTTACAAATATGGTTTAGAGCAAGGGTGGAGAACCTGTGGCCCTATTGCTGGACCCATCAACTCCCATCAACCCCAGCAAATGCCACTAACAGTCAGGAGTGATGGGAATCCTGACCTTCTGTCTGTGGCCCAGTCCTTTCACTTTGCTACTGTGGACACAGGACAACCAGTGAGTGCTCTTTCAGGCATTTCCTGTAATCAACTGTCTATGGCTAAGCAGGTTTCAGACAGTGATGGTAGGGTCTACCTAGCTTTCTGGGACAGCCTTCTATACTAGCAGGCACCTACCTGGATGATGGCAAAGTGGTGGGGAAGAAGTAACTGGCATCCAAGGAAGGAAAAAACAAGATAGGGGTGAACCACCTACTGATGGTGGAGGACCCGTGGGTGGCACCAATGGCTGTTGTGGCCCTGGTTGCTGCAGTGACTTTGTGGGATGTGCCTTGCTCCCATTATCACCAAGTACCTTTAAAAGGAACAGAAAACAGAAAAGGGATTGGTTAAAAAGAAAAAAGAAAACACCTGACCTCCCCGTTAATTGCAGCCAAACTGATTCCTATACCAGGCCTTACACAAAGCACACATCCCACGTGGGAGGACTGCATTGTGCCATTGGAGCACAGAAAAATGGCAGAATGTGGTCCTGGATGTGGAGCTGAGCTTAAATGGAATTCTGAACTTCTCCTTACTTTGCTTTTGAGTATGCGGACTGAATTTACCGTATCTTTCCATCTATAAGACACCCCCTAGTTTTGGGGACTCAGACTTAAGAAAATGGGGGGAGATGGCCCCGTGTATAAGACACCCCCTAATTTTTGACTTTTTTTTAAAGGGAAAAAACCTAGTCTTGTACACGGAAAAATACGGTAATAAAAAGGGTATGCAATCAGCCCCAAAGGAGGCTCCTTTAGACGAAGGGTGTGATATAAATTTGAGAACCAGTGTGGTGGAGTGGTGGGACTAGGACCTGGGAGAGACCAGGGTTCAAATCCTCCCACTTGGCCATGAAGCTCTCACTAGGTGACTGTGGGGGCCAGTCACTGCCTCTCAGCCCCCCTACCTCACAGAGCTGTTATGGGGATTAAATGAGAAAGAACGCACCACCTTGAGTTCCTTGGAGAAAAAGGTGGGATATAAATGCAATAAATATATAAACTAATCCACTTGTACTCAAAAGTGAGTTAGATAAGAAAGTGAAGTGCATTCAGTCTGGACAGATTTCTTACCTGAATTGAGTTTTCCTCTGAGCCATGCTTATCACGGCGCCTTCCTTCCACTCTTCTAATAGTGCCTGGCTCTCCACCTATCACATCAATGGTCACACTTAGCTTCCTGGTTAGAAAAGGGAGAGAAGCAACATCTCAGATTCAGCATAAACAGGTGACAGACAGATGGTCTGGTTGCACACTTGCACTCTCCCCCTCCTTCAGCTATGCAAACAGGGAAGAGATGGAAAGCTTTGCGATTTACCAACACATAGGTCATATACTGCACCAAGCTCCACTGTATATAGACCCTTGGCCCTTAGATCTTCCACAGGAAGGACTTGGGCATTCTTACCCAGTCTGAATGAATAAACAAACAAATAAACAAATGAATGAATGAATGAATGAATTCAAGTGCACAGTAAGATTCATGGAGGGAGCATGGCATCCCTAGCAGCCAATTAGGGAGGCCCTAAGACTTAACTGCAAAGCAGTTGGCCCAGACACACGAGCACCTCGTCTAATAACAAGGGTTAAGGTTTTCCCACACCTAAAGCTTTCGCTGAATGTTGTAGGGTTTTCACTGCCTTCTCTTGGGGTCTCCAGGGGAAAGAATAACACTTTAAGGCACAGGGTCAGGAACAAGTCGACAGGCATTTCCTGCTTGGCTTGGGAACTTTTGTTATTTTACTATGTCCCCCACAACTACATCCACTTGGCTCCACCCAGAGGCAAAAGTCATGCTGTGTCTTGGCACAGTACGTGCGGCATTAGGCTACATTCCTTTCCCAGGAATGGGTAAATTCATGGAGGATAAGGCTATCAATAGCTACTTGCCATGATGGCTATGTTCTTATCCTCCCCCATCCTTAACTCAGGAGCTCCACCCCTTCATTTCCAGGCTGGACATTGTGCAACTCAGGTTAACCCTCAGGAACCCTGGTGACTTGAGGGGTTGAGGTTTTCTAAATCCTCCTCTCGGCGCTTTCTTTTCCTCCCCCTCATCTGAATATCACTCTTCTCTTCATGCCCTGCCCCAAACATAAAGAGCTCACAGTGATGCCTGGCCTCTGCTCCTTCTAAGGAAGGACAGAGTATGTAGAGTCTTATACATCCTGCTGCACGTTCAGCATGGTGGGGCAGTTGCCAGCCCCCTGAAACAGATACGTTTGTGGGGAATCAGAAGATGATGGACCATAACTTCAAAGAAAGTAACCAAAGTTATTTTAAAGTTAAAAATAACATAACCTACTTAGTGTACTTGAACTTGCAGATTAAAATATACAATGATACTTAAGCTGCTAAAATATTTTACACAGATTTAACTATTGCAGACTAACTAACTCTGACTCTGAGGCAGACAGAAGCACATCAAAACATAACCTGCTGCTCTGTGAAGACTGTTCAACTGACTGAACCAACTGTACCAACTGTCATAACTGCCTCAGACGTATGACATCACAGAGTTCTACAGCTCTTGCAATGATCCCTTTACCATATGCATTTTGGATACCAACATCCCACAGGTTGTGGCCACCCACCTGCCAAATTTGGCCTGTGAGGTGGATCCCAAAATGGATCTGGCCCATGGAACCTAAAAATGTTCCCTGCCCCTGCAACAGGATCAAGCCTACACAAGAACAGCTTGGAGCCAACCTGGCATAACATAGCATTAAATTAATACAAGAAGCTTAAAAACAAAAAAAAGTGGTTGGTGTACCTGTTTGGGGGAGACCCGACTTTCACCTGCCCACCTACTGGGGCCGTAAGATCTGCTTTAAAATCTGGTTCTTTTTCTGAATTTCTAGTTCTTCCTTGTTGAACCTAAGCAAAATTTTTTAAAAAAAATTAAAAACCAATAGCATAATACAGCCTTTGTTAGCCAAGGTACAAAAAATTGAAGTTGGAAGTTTGCTTTGTTTATATAACCAAAGATGGCGGTTAAGGTAAAGGGACCCCTGACCATTAGGTCCAGTTGTGACCGACTCTGGGGTTGCGGCGTTCATCTCACTTTATTGGCCGAGGGAACCAGCGTACAGCTTCCGGGTCATGTGGCCAGCATGACTAAGCCGCTTCTGGCGAACCAGAGCAGCGCACAGAAACGCCGTTTACCTTCCCGCCAGAGTGGTTCCTATTTATCTACTTGCACTTTGACGTGCTTTTGAACTGCTAGGTTGGCAGGAGCAGGGACCGAGCAACAGGAGCTCACCCCATCGTGGGGGTTCGAACCACTGACCTTCTGATCGGCAAGTCCTAGGCTCTGTGGTTTAACCCACAGCGCCACCCGCGTCCCAAGATGGCAGTTACCTGCAGGGGAACTTTCACCAATCTGGAGACTCTCCAAATGGTTTGAAGCACAGCTCCCATCAGCCTCTGTTGCTGTCCAGCAACATCTGGAGGGCCTCAGGTTGGGGGAGGCTATTTCCGAGTGTGTTTAAGAGTCAAAAGTAGCCACACACACACACACACAGTGCAGCAACTCACCATTCCGAGTGTTGCTGCATGAGCCACTGATCTGAGCATGCCTGTAACTGAACTCCCCTCCCTGCAGTGACCCCTTCACAATTGCAAAGCCTTCTCAGCGTGTGGTGTGGGGAGAGAATCTGCACTGGGAAAGAGATGGGGATATAAAGAGCACTTAACCATTCTCCTCCCAATTATTTTTTTAGCATGAAATTCTCTCCAAGCTGCTTTTACCAAGTGGCTACTACACCATGTACGGAAACTCGTCCTGGCAGCTGAAATGAATTTCTACATATATTGGTTGACTGACTGAGGAAGTGGCTGGAAGCAAACTCTGCAATAGTTTTTTGTTGCTTGAGGTTACCATCATTTGTATATATACATATTATATTTATTTACAGAATTGTGTCACAATGATTTTTTTATTTAAGATTAATAAAATTAATACATTTCATTTAAATATATGTGTGTGTGTGTGTGTGTACACACACACATGTGCATATATGAATAAGCTAAGTACACCTGAGCTCTGTGTGTGTGTGTGTGTGTGTGTGTGTGTATCTCCAAGTAATATTAATAATAGTAATAATTTTATTATTTATACCCCACCCATCTGGCTGTGTTTCCTCAGCCACTCTGGGCAGCTTACAGCATATATTGAAGCATACTAAAACATCAAACATTAAAAACTCCCAGATACAAGGCTGCCTTCAAATGGCTTCTAAAAGTCACATAGTTGTTTATTTCCTTGACATCTGATGGGTGGGTGTTCCACAGGAAGTCTGCCACTATTGAGAAGGCCTCTGCCTAGTTCCCTGTAACCTCACTTCTCGCAGGGAGGGAACTGCCAGAAGGCCCTTGGCGCTGGACCTCAGTGGATGATGGAGGTGGAGACACTCCTTCAGGTATACAGGACCGAGGCTGTTTAGGGCTTTAAAGGTCAGCACCAACACTTTGAATTGTGCTCGGAAACGTACTGGGAGCCAATGAAGATCTTTCAGGACTGGAGCTATATGGTCTCGGCGGCCACTCCCAGACGCTAGTCTAGCTGCCACATTCTGGATTAATTGCAGTTTCCAGGTCACCTTCAAAGGTAGCCCCACGTAGAGCACATTGTAGTAGTCCAAGAGGGAGATGACCAGAGCATGCACCACTCTGGTGAGACAGCCTGCAGGCAGGTAGGTGGAGCTGGTAGACAGCTGCCATGGACACAGAATTGACCTGCGCCTCCATGGACAGCTGCGAGTCCAAAATGACTCCTAGGCTGCACACCTGGTCCTTCAGGGGCACAGTTACCCTATTCAGAACCAGGATGTCCCCCACACCTGCCCCCCCCAAACAGTACTTCTGTATTGTCATGATTCCACCTCAATCTGTTAGCTGTCATCCATCCTCCAACCGCCTCCAGTACACCTGAGTTCCACCACTTACCTTGATCTGGTTTTCAGCACTGACAGGGGCGGATGACTTCAAGCCAAGTTGAAACCAGCGCTGCTTTTCACAATAGACTTTCCATGTTTCCTCATTGAATAAATAATTGAAGTAATCAGAAAGGTCAGCACCTGGGAGGGAATGAATGAATGAATGAGGCAGGTTCCATATACCTAGTAGAACGAGATGGCAGAATCTCGAGGTGGGAGAATGCGTCATCCCACTTCAATCTGCAGTGGAGGACCTCATTTTAAAATGTGTTCCTATGTTTTAAAAACAGCAGAGCAATCTACACACGGAGAGAAAACTAGCATAGACAGAAGCTGCTGATACATTAATTCTCTACTTAATTTTCTACTTACAGAGGAGCATTCATAAATGCTCACTTGCTGTCCAAAGTTGTATTGTCTACTTTACCACTTCATTCTCCTGCATATGTAGATCATTTCAGACTCTGAGTCATAGAAAAATTAAAACAACCTCAAAAAAATTAGCTCTGGGGTTAACACAGCTGTGGTGCTCTTATATGTTGTGGTGGGATACAAAGGAAGTATCAAAATCTGGAACAATCTAGCAACCTCTGAGACAAAATGTATTTCATTACAGTAAATATCAGCATACTCATTAACAGACAACAGATAATCCCAGACAAAAATGGGTGAATTTCTGAGAACCAAGGCACAACATTCCACAGTTAGTGGTTGACCTGTGCTAATTTTCTAGAAAATGAGGTGATGGAACTCAACATGAACTTCTCCCTTGTTCTCTTATAATGGCAATGGCTATGGGGGGCTGGAACTGAGTTCCAGTGAGTTCCACCTGAAAAAAGTACTGGGTTGACCAGGACTAGTCTCTTAACTATGGACTGAAGTAGATTTGGAAACTGTGGTTATGAGACAATCCTAGCTAAAGCAAACTTTGATAAAGCAGAATAAATCCATGCTGATGGGAGGGAGTATTTGAGTCCACTAAACCAAATTGTATTTGTAACAAGCTCCAAGGCGCATCAGTGAACGGCCCTGTCATGATTTAATTGCATTTGTCTAAAAAAAGGAGGAATACTTTAATTTGGGAGCATTAACCAAATCAGTCTGGGATCATCAGCATGTGAACATTGCCATCCTAACGTTTGACTATAGAAATCAATGCCCAAAGTATCTAACTTCTCTTATATAAGCAAATCACACAGAAGGAATTAAATAGCATTTCAGTTTCACAGCATTGTCTGATCCATTATTGCGCCAGAATTATATTTTTGGTGTTGTTCAGTTAAAAAAGAAGGGAGGAAATCCAAGCTGCAATGTAAAACGCCAGGGCTGCCAACTGATTTAAGGAATTGGTAATAGCCAACTACAGTGGTGCCCCGCAAGACGAACGCCTCGCAAAACGAAAAACTCGCAAGACGAAAGGTTTTTTCGTTTTCGAGTTGCTTCGCAAGACGAATTTCCCTATGGGCTTGCTTCGCAAGACGAAAACGTCTTGCAAGTTTGTTTCCTTTTTCGTAAAACCGTTAAAACCCAAGGTGCATTGCTGGAAGAGGTGCAGTTGCGACTTGACTTCGAGGAGCAACACATTGCACGCGGTGTGGTGGCCTTTTTGAGCTTTTTAAAGAGTTTGCTGAATTTTTGAAGCTTTTCCAAAACTTCTTTTGCAGCTGTTTGGTAAGTTAAACTTTTAAAACTTTTTTTGGGGGTTTTGGATTTTGGGTTGGAGTGTTTAGAATTCAAGGACTTGGTGTTGGGGAGAGGTTTGCAAGAATCTGGGAGCTTGTGTGGTTTTTTCTGCATTTTTATGATTTTCTGTGACCATTGGGCCATGTTTATCTTTTTTTGGAAAAAAAATCTGGGTTTGAATTTCTGTGTGCTGGGTGGATGGGGGAACAGTTGAGGAGGGGTTTGCAAGAATCTGGGAGCTTGTGTGGTTTTTTCTGCATTTTTATGATTTTCTGTGACCATTGGGCCATGTTGTTGTTTTTTTGAAAAAATTTTCCGGGTTTTGAATTTCTGTGTGCTGGGTGGCTGGGGGAACAGCTGGGGAGGGGTTTGCAAGAATCTGGAAGCTTGTGTGGTTGTTTTTTTTTTTTAATTTTTATGGTTTTCTGTGACCATTGGGCCATGTTGGTTTTTTTGGAAAAAAATTCTGGGTTTTGAATTTCTGTGTGCTGGGTGGCTGGGGGAACAGCTGGGGAGGGGTTTGCAAGAATCTGGAAGCTTGTGTGGGTTTTTTTGTTTGTTTTTTTGTTTTTGAATTTTTATGGTTTTCTGTGACCATTGGGCCATGTTGGTTTTTTTTGAAAAAATTTCTGGGTTTGAATTTCTGTGTGCTGGGTGGATGGGGGAACAGTTGAGGAGGGGTTTGCAACAGTTGGGGAGGCGTTTGCAACAGTTGGGGATGGGCTGGGGGAACATTTGAGGATTTTGAAGACTTTGGTGATTTTTAAAGCTTTCCCAAAACTTCTTTTGCAGCCATTTGAGGATTTTGAAGACTTTGGTGATTTGCAGCCATTTCGTAAGTTAAACTTTTAAAACTTTTTGGGGGTTTTTGGATTTTGGGTTGGGTGTTTGGAATTCAAGGACTTGGTTCTGGGTTTGAATTGCTGATTGTTTTTTTCTTTTTCTGAGTTTACGAAGGTAAGAGCTGTGCTGCCATGGGACCCAAGAAGACTGCTGCTGCTGCGGAGGCCGGCGAGAGGAAGAAGGAGAAGGTGACGCTGGAAATGAAGAAGGAGATCATCTGGAAGCACGACGGTGGAATGCGTGTGACGGACCTCGCCAGGGAGTACGGCAGGAACCCATCGACCATCAGGACCATCCTGAAGATGAGGGAGAAGATCCTTGTGACTGATGCAGCCAAGGGAGTCACCAGGATCGTGAAGAACCGCCCAGCTGTTCTGGAGGAGGTCGAGAAGTTGCTGCTCATCTGGTTAGAAGAGAAGCAGCGTGCAGGGGACACAGTGACTGAGGCCGTCATTTGTGAGAAGGCCAAGGCCTTGCACGCAGACCTCGTCCGGGAACAGCCAGGAACCTCAGGCGAGCCAGAAGTCTTCAAGGCAAGCAGAGGCTGGTTTGACCGGTTCAAGGCAAGATCTGGAATCCACAGCGTGGTCAGGCATGGAGAGGCTGCCAGTTCTGATGTTCCTGCGGCTGTAGACTTTGCCTTGGAGTTCCTGGAGGCTGTGAAGACAGAGGGCTACGTTCCACAGCAGGTCTTCAACTGCGACGAGACCGGGCTGTTTTGGAAGAGGATGCCCAAAAGGACTTTCCTCACACAGGAGGAGGCCAAGTTGCCTGGCCACAAGCCCATGAAGGACCGCCTGACCCTGCTCTTCTGTGCCAACGCAAGCGGCGACCTGAAGATCAAGCCCCTGCTGGTGTACCACTCGGAGAGCCCACGGGCCTTCAAGAAACACAAGGTAGACAAGGAGCGGCTGAGTGTCATGTGGCGATCCAACAGCAAGGCTTGGGTCACACGTGTGCTGTTTGTGGACTGGGTCAATCTTGCTTTTGGCCCTGCTGTCAAACAGTACCTGCTGGACAACGACCTGCCGCTGAAGGCTTTGCTTCTGATGGACAATGCTCCTGCTCATCCTAAGGGCCTTGAGGTGGACTTGTTGGAGGAGTTCAGCTTCATCAACATCATGTTCCTGCCGCCTAACACCACGCCACTGCTCCAGCCGATGGATCAGCAGGTCATCGCCAATTTCAAAAAACTCTACACCAAGGAGCTTTTCAGGCGATGCTTCAAGGTGACTGATTGCACCACCATCACCCTGCGGGAATTCTGGAAGGACCACTTCGACATCGTCACCTGCTTGAAGATGATCACCACGGCCTGGAACGGGATCAGCCAGAGAAATTTGAACTGCGCTTGGCGCAGCCTGTGGCCGGACTGTGTGGCACCAAGTGACTCTGATGCACCAGAGTCAACAGTGGTGCAGGACATTGTTGCCTTGGGGAGGACCATGGGCCTGGAGGTCACAGAGGAGGACATCTGCGAGCTGGTGGAGGAGCACGACCACGAGCTGACCACCCAGGAGCTGGTTGAACTGCAGGCAGAGGTTGCGCAGGAGCAGGCCTCGCTGGAAGAGGAGGAAGCAACTGAGGAACGGCCGTCCTCCAAAGAACTGAGGGACATTTGCCAGAAGTGGAAGGAGGTGCAGGCTTTTGCAGAGCAGCACCACCCTAACAAGCACGTGGCACATGACCAAGCGAACACTTTTGATACGACGGTCATGTTGCCTCTCAGGGAGCTGCTGAAAAGGCGGATGAAGCAGCAGACCATGGACAGGTTCTTCAGCAAGAAGCAAAGAGTGGAAGAGGAACCTTCTTCGAGTGGTCCCCCAGAGTCTTAGAAAATGCATGTACAGTACACTTTGTTGATTTTTAAATGTTTTTCTGTCATGTTTAGAAACTTAATTTATTGTTCCTTCAGTTTTTGATATGCTCTTTAAAGTATGTGTGACTTTAAAGAGCAGTTAATAAACTATTGTTGTACCAAATTTGGCTTTGATTGGACTTTTTTTGACCATAGGAACGCATTAATTGAATTTCAATGCATTCCTATGGGAAACCGTGCTTCGCAAGACAAAAAATTCGCTAGACGAAAAAACTCGCGGAACGAATTAATTTCGTCTTGCGAGGCACCACTGTACACTTGAATATATTTTGTAGACTAGCATAGCCCCAATTTAGATATCTTTCTGATATAAGTTAGGAAGTGAAAGACAAACCAATCAGTCAGTGTCACAAGGAAAAGCTATCTCTAATATTTGCTTCTGTGAGGGAAAAGCCTGGTTTCTTGCTGCTCCATTTGCCTTGTGGGAGCCAAAACACAACCTAAATCAACAAAATGATTCAGATTGTCACAGAAAGATTGGGGTGGGGGTAGGAATCTGGGCAGTAACTGTCCACCTTCATCTGATCTTAGTGGAGTGTTAATCTTCACCTGGTAAGTATGCCACACTTCTGATTTGCTGGAAACTGCCTGCCAAATGGGGGTCCTGAGCCCCTTATAAATGGACTGTGCTATGTATCCTTTGTTCTCTCACATCAGGATCCACCCCACCCCCACCAGATAATCCTGCAACTGACCATCCTTGCTACTCACCTGATCCCAAGTAGAAAGTTTAGGATGAGATAAATTAGAACCACAGATGCTCCTTTTAGTTTTCCTTATTCTGCTGGGTCCTGTTGACATCTTCATTTCCCTATCTGACTTTTAGAAGACATCTGTGCAATCCCCTCGTAAATGTTTGAGTGAGGGTCCCAAGATCTCCCTCCTGACTTATGTTATAGAGGAGGAAACCAGACAGCTGAGGCATAACTGGCCTACTCTACAAGACAGTTATGCAAGGAAGGGCAGAAACAAACTTTGCTGAGCCTCTTGCTTCCATTACAGCTTTTTCATTCTCTAGTCTAGTAACACACCAGAACCAAAACAGCCCCCATAAGGAAATATGTATGTCCTTAAAAGTTCCACTGATTAAAACTGGTTTCCCCTCATTAATCAACTAAAGGTTTAGTGGATTTGATGTAATGATTAGAGCTTGGACACCTAATCAATTATCCAGTTATAACACTGCTGCTGCAATGCTTTCTGCAACACACGTCAGCGAAACATTCTCCTCAGGAGCAAATATTCCTGAGGGTCTTTTGATTTAGTCAAGACTTCCATAAATTAAAGTAACTGGAAGCTTTAAAAATGTGTTCAAGCTACTTCAAGATCATATCTGATACCACTACACTTTGGCAGATGAGTTTCACCAGTTACACTGTCTACCAAATTTAACCCTTTCACCAGCCTCCCAAGGTTAATTAACTTGCTCAGATCCCTGGTCTGTACCCTTCACACTTAAATCCAGTGAAGAGAGGGAAAATTCAGAGAGGAGCTTCAGTTTATTATACAATGGTGCCATTCTAGTTCTGGGATTTTAATGATTCAGCCAGCCAAATTTCCCACCCAGCAATTGTCCAAGAGACTCATCTTTAACTTTTCACTTAAAAAATCCAGTTTCACAACCGTCTGAAAGAATCCCCCCCCCTCTCTTTTTCCTTATCCCTGCTATCCTCTGCAAAATGTTTCACTTATTTGAGTCTACACCAGGCAAAGGCAGCTTTGAGAGAGATTCATAGGGGAAAAGACCACTTTCTGTTGTCTCGCTCAACGGTCTTGCCAGGGCTAGGAAACTACTTCCTGAAAGTTTGTCCCAAGCACATGAGTATATTTAATTAGTAAATTGGGAGCACTTCAACAGCCAGTATGCTTGTGACAATTTTATTTATTCATTGCATTTATATCCCACATTTTTTCTCCAAGGAGCTCAAAGTGTATTGTACATGGTGCTGGGAAATAACTAGGGAATAACAGTTAATCCTGACGTCCCAACAGCTGACTACCTAAATTCAAAAAAAGGATAGGGCTTGACTCACTGTCTAGCCCAAAGAGCCCCCAGTAGAGTTTAAAACTAAAATATATGTGCAGCGTTTGCAAAGGATGGACAATATAGGCTGTTAGACCTTTAAATGTACAGTATTAAGCACTGACAATTGTGCTCCCCCACCTCAACCCCTCTAGGAGTGAAGAGACCACAACCTTAAGTAAGTTTAAATGTTTTACTTACAATAATCAGAGGTCTCATTCATGCATCGTTCAATGCTACAGCAGAAACAACACAGGTAATGTATTCTTGGTTACAAAATACAGAAGTTGACCTCAAACACACAGACTGAGTCTGGAGCCCCAGCCTCAGATGTCTGCTCAGTTACATGGTTCAAAGAGAAGACAGAGAGAGAGAAGAACAGGAAATAACCCTTGCATCCTCCCTCCCCAATGGTGAGGTGTCATGACCAATCTGAGTCTTCTCTAGCAATTAAGAACTCTGTGATCCTTAACCCCTTTCTTACTGGGAATTATACAGTTATGTTTGGCTGCATAAATCTCCCACACATGGTTCTCCCCCTCCTCATCCAATCCCCACAACAATTCAGTAAAGTAGCTTAGGCTAAGAGGAGTGACTGGCCCAAGGTTACCCAGTGAGCCTTCATGTGGCTGGGAGGAGATTTGAACCCTGGTCTCCCAGGTACTAGCCCAACATTCAACTACAAGTACAAATGACTCTAGCTTGGCACCGATTGGTTCTTGGCCCTGACAATCAATGAAATGGGGGTGAGCACACAGCACAGACACGTTCTGGGGACCCCAAAGGACTTATGCAACTTGGCCCAGAGGAACGAGAACACATGGAAGCTGCAGAATACATTCCAGTGAGAGAGCTGCATCCATTGCCAAGATTCCATGAGGGACACAGAACATGGCACTGGATTCGGAATTCTGCTTCCTGACAATCTCGGGTTCAATTTCATTTTTAAATTAAAAACAAACAGATTTCCTTACAAATGGTTGAGAGATGCTTAAAAGCACTTGGACAAGAACTGAATGAATCTGAAGACATCAGACGAGGCAATAAATAAAATGAAGTATGAGCCAAATGTTTGCAGCTGGGTAATTTTTTAATGTCTGATTGAGGAGCACACTTATAAATCACACATCACACTCTCCTCCCATCTACCCTGTAACTCCTGCTGCACACAGGCCCATGATGTGAAATGCAAAGCAAAAAATAAATCAACTGATAGTATTGACCACAATAAACTTTGAGGCCCCACCTGGTTTCCTCCATGGTTTGTCGTCAGCTGAATCCAAATCCATGTCTGCTTCAGGTAAGCCATATATATTCCCAGGAGCATCTAAATCATTACCTTTGGGTTGCAACTTGCCATTGAAAGAAGGAAAACAGATGCTTAGTGCCAAGGCTCTGTTGTTGTTGATCCATTCATTTGCTGAGCAAATTGATCAGGGTTTCTTTTTTCTCTCCCCCCCCCCCCCCTTTTAAAAATCCCCAACGGATTTAGCTTCAGTTACATTAATTATTCCCATCTGTGAGTTCAATCACAAGTTGTTGTTTTTGTCAAAATTATTCTGCTTCCCCTTCTTAAAAAATTAATGGGTTTCAGCTACTTAGCTAAAGAAACAGATAAGGGGGCAAAGACAGAAAAACTTAAGACATCTTAAGACTGCATTCATATGCAGGGATAAACTATATCATGAATTGAATGAGCCTCAGGTTCATGCAGACAACCTACCGCTCTCCTGTGTAGCAGGAATGCTTTTGCATTCCATTACATTCAAATACTAAACTATGGTTAATCTTAACTATAGTTGTAAAGGGAAACAGTTTCCCCAATCCCACAATGTATAAACACAAATCCAGGTATTTGTGCTACCTTGCTTTTAATATTGCAGGGTCGATGGAATTCCCTCCCACAATAACACAGATTTACGCCATAGGATACTTTCCTGCTGCTGCCCACTCTCTTAGATGCTTAGAATGCCTTTAAAGTTCCTTAGTAGTTAGGCGTAACAGGCTTAGCTGTGAAATTGTTATATTGATTGTTATGTTGGAGTTAAACTATTAACTACTAGAGGGAATACTGGTAATTTATTCTAAGGTCTTCCGTGTGCTCAAGAGAAGCTGTTGCTGCCTCTAAAAAGCTGCTACAAATTCCCTAAACCTCCACTTAAACCAAATTCATTTAGCACGCAGGTCTAGCTAGTGGGGACAATCTGCCTCTGATCCCAGAGTTCCTCCAGTTGTACTTCCGGGTTGCTTTGACAGTTCAGTGACTTGGAAAAACCTCACTTGTACAATCTTCTGGCAGGACAGGGAAGCCTATTAGTCTAACACAGCCACTGGCTTCCTTCTTCTAATCTTCCTCAGCAATGTATGGTTATCACACAAGGGATGAACAGTATAACATTGGGGCCTCCGCTGTCCAGTTTCGCCTCAGATTTCTCTGGGCTTTGCATACAAGTAATGGCAAGGCAAGAGACACAAGGTGCATTGAGCGATGGAGTCTACAATCCAGGCATGCAGAAGTCATGGGGGTTCGTTCATCCAGCCAAGCAAGAGGCACTCTCAAAGTCAGAACAAAGCACTCTAGCAGGGGCTAAGCAGAACCAGTCAGGGGTGGGGCCCAAGGAGCACGAATGTAGCTTGGAGTGAGTCCCAAGGGCCAAACAGAAGGGTCTGGAGGGCGGGCGGAATTCAGCTAGCAGGCCTGAGGTTCCCCATCCCTGCTATATACGGCCCATCTTGACTAACTGCTTCAGAGGAGGAAAAGCCACAGTGGGAGTGTGGTGATCACACAGGGTCCCTGGACATTTCACCATCTATTGATCCCTGTGCCACCACTTTATTTCCCGCTGCCACTACCCAGGCCCTACCTGGTACAATCCTGAGTCCAGTCAGGGTTAAATTGGAACATAAACTTTTGTTTATTTATTGCAGTTTAACAAGCGTGTGGTTTCATAAATGGTATCGGTCAATTACAATCATGGGGTGCCTATCCAGAGCTATAACTTCCGCTACCAGCTCTCACTCACTAAACCACCTCTCAGATATTTACTTGTTTTCCTAGCCCCTAACTATTCCTGACTCAGCTTATTCCACTACACTAACTCAACCTACGCACAAACTCTAGCCCAATTCACTCCAACCAACTCCCCAAGGAACTCGCCACCCCTCCCAGAGCTGGTTTTATAGTCCCTCTGACTCCACCCCCAGGTCCTGATTGGGTAACCTCCAGCACTCTCATATATGTTAACGTCACAGGGAGTAATAGGAAGACCAGTACCAGATGTGGTTGCTTCACAACCTTGGTTGTTTTTTAGACTCCTATTCCTGGGGCGCTCCCTAGGGAGCGAGAAAGGACTAAAACATATCTGCACCAATGGGCATAGCCAAGAGAGCGGCAGCTCCCCCCCCCCCAAAAATCAATAAAATCAATAAAAATACATAAGGTTCTGCCCCCCCCCCCAACAAAAGGCCTGTCCCCCTAACAAATATCCTGGCTACCTTCATGCCTGCATCAGGCAGCTGGAACAGGCTTCTGCTGAATTGCACTGTGGTTTGGCTTCAGTGAGCAGCTACAATAAATTGACAGGCTAAGATGTGAGGGAGAGAAGCAGAAGGCAGCCAAGAAACGTAGCAAGTCTGATCACTTCCTAGTTCTGACATATTACAAGGCATATGACACCTTTATAATTTCACATTCGCTAAAAGCCAGTTGAACAGTTATGAAGAGCATGCTCCAAACCATGGTGAATGGTGATGAGCTTATGTCCTCCCTCCTTTCTTTGCATGCCCAACTTAATCAAACACTTCCTAATTTTCACCAAACCATGTTGATGTCTGAACTGACAATTGCAGTTCAAGCAAGCCCTTCAAACTTGCACTGAAGCTGGGGTGTGGGACTGTATCCAGCTCCCCACTCACTGTGGATCACTTTGACAGGTGGGCAGGACCACCCACCTGTCAGTCACCTGACACCAGGTGATTAAACTTCAAAGGTAGACTCGAGAGCATACTCTGAAGCCACACTTACTAAGGAAGTTGTTTCCTTAGTAGCCCAGGTTGAATTTGAGCTGGCCCGCAAAGGGAAAATTCAGAGCGTACTCAAAGTGTGCTTCAGATTTTTCCCTTCCAGCTATAATTCACTTGCACTTCATGGCTTACTAAAGTTAGCCAGAGGGGTGGATTCAAGGTCTGGTGAGCGTGTCTTCATTTGATGTAGTGGTGTGGATACTCCTGGAAAACCTGGACCTGATGGCATTTAACAACTATCAAGTCACAGATTCCCCTCTCCTTTTGGGCCAAATATTAGAGAAGTTGACACAATGCAGCTGCAGGGAGTCCTGAAGGAAATTGATTATCTAGACCAGGTGTGGAGAACCTTTTGCATTACAGATCTTACTGAACTATGACTTTCATACTTGCTGGGAATGCTGGGAGTTGTAGTTCAGCTCCATCTGGAGAGCTAAAGGTTCCCATTACCTGTTCCAATCTAGGGTCAGACCTGGGTTTGGGACAGAATTCATCTTGGTCACCCTGATGTTTGACCTCTATCAGGAAATGGATGGGGCGAGTGTCGCCAAGTTCTTGCTGGATCTCTCATTGGCTTTGATACCATCAGCCATGGTATTCTCCTGGACCCTCAATGGCAGGAGTCTTCCAAATTTTCAGACCAAGGTCCACTACTACCGGTAAATCTTTTAATTTTTGCTATACAACTCTATTTAGTCTTTCTTCCCCTTTCTTCCCCTTTCCTTTCTAAATATAACAGAAAACAAAACCACAGATAAAACCAAGAGCAGATTCTGACACCTGCAGACGTACATGTAAGATGGCCTTCTTGTTGTGATATTGCCAATCATTACTTGGATGTAGTCGTCACTGTCACTATCACTGTCTTCTTCGTTGTCTTCTCTACCTGAAAGGGTCTAGGAAGGAGACAGAAGACATGCACAATGAGAAGACAGTTTTTAAAAATACAGACCTAAGCAGCAGCACAAGTTAGCTTGTTCCCAATAAAGTTAGCTCAACTTCAATTGCAATAAATTTGATAAGTTAGGGATGACATTACTTTTAAGTCCTGTTGGACTTTGTTCACAGTGCAATCTCAACCATGCCTACCAAAAGTAACTGTCCTGTAACACCATGGGGCTTACTCCTATGGAAGTGAGGTTAGGACTGCAGCCTTAAGCCTGAGAAATAAACATTCAGAGGCTTTTTTTTTTTTAGTTAGTTACATGAAACTTTGAAATAGGAATGCTCAAGAGGTACTTGTGCTGTAAGTATGTAATTTATTTTAATTTATTTGTGCCAGCAATCATGGATGATGAGTGAGTTGAGAAGGATGGGCAGCTATTTATTTATCTGTTGATTCAAATCTAGGAAAGAAAGTCCTTTTTGATCGAAAAGCCACATTTACTTCTGGGTGATCGGAAGAATAGCAACAAATGCAGGGGTTTTTTTACCATTTGCTACTTTCTATACACACTCACCGCTCTATATTCTCCATCCAGGCAAGCAAGAGGCATTAATCCAAGTTCAAGAACCCATCCCAGCCAGGAAGAAGCAATAAAGGGCAAAGCATGGTTGGTAAGCTGATATGTGTTTGCGGCTAGGCAAGAGATATGGGCTAGGAAGAGTCTTGAGGCTTAGAGGGCTGCATTTGGGCCTCTGCCCTGACGTTCCCCAACCCCCTGATTTAAATAAACAAATGCAATGCAATGCAAAAGCACTCTACCTTTATGAGATAGTTGACTGTATTTTGCCAGCAAACTGAACAACTTCCCAACCATTCTGGGTCTCCTCTACTTCTGTTTAGCTTGGCAAAGAGCTAAACCATTATTCTAAGCCAGCCATCTCCAACCTGGTGCCTTCCAGATGTTTTGGACTCCAAGTCCCATCAGCCCTGGCTAGCACACCTGTATGTTGTTGGCTGGGGCTGATGGGAGTTGGGAGATCTAAACAACAGAGGAGCACTAGGGTAGAGATCTCAGCTTGTACTACTCACTTGCTGTAACAATTCTCGTTCTTCATCACTGACAATCTTTCTCTCCTTGGGAATGTCTTTTAAAGGATGAGGTCCTGTGTCCCTGATAAACACAGAACACACACACAGACTAGAACCCATGTTGGCTCCTTCTCAAAATACATCTCAGTCACAATGACCAGCAAGTCTGGCAAGGCAACAGAATAGTGATTGGTATCCACAATCAGCAAAAGAGACCAAATAAATAAATAAATACTGTTTTCCATTTTCTATTCTCCCCTGCAGCTGTGTGTTAGTTAGCAAAAGACAACAGCAATGTTGAGTAGAGGAGGTTGCGAGGGTTACAGGTGGCATACAGGGGTGTGGGGTGTCCTTTTATACAGAGGTTTTTGAGCAAGGTTTTGGGGAAGAAGTATGGAGGGGTAGAACTCCATGTGGTGTTGGTTGGAGGAGGCTGAACCAAGAGATCATGCCTGGCTTCTGCTCTGGACCAAAGCTTTCTGAAGCTATGAGATGAGCAACAAGATACACTACTGGGGTATAATTTTCTGCATTCCCTCCACCTAAACTCAGGTGTAAATATGTATAAATAAACCATATTTCTAAAAGATACTACAGTCTCCAACGTATCTCATTCCAAAGGGGTGGCTGGTAACAGTATGCAAGCCAATCCTGGAAAATGTACTGCAACTGTTCTCCCCCCCCCCCAATGCATTTGACTCTGAATTACAAAAATAAAGTAACATTTACCAAGGAATTGGTCCATCTTCTTGATTACCAGTATCAACTGCAAATACATCAAGAAGAGGAAAATTTTATCAAAGCTTCAGAAACTTTGAGAGAGAGAGAACATACCACTACATTTGCATACATTACTCCCTAACAAAACATGCAAGATGCTTATGTCACTTTTCCCCTTTGAAAAATTCAGTACAAAAAAAACAAAAACCAACTGCCGCTGTAGTATGCTAATGAGACACCCTGCCCAATGGAGGGGAGATGTGTCTGGAAACACAAAGAAGCAGCACTAACTCTGGATTCGCTTCATGCTTTACCTTACTTTCATTTCCCAGGGCTGTCCCTCGCTCTAGGGCACACGTAAACTCCTGTCATCCCTTTGGCTTTCTCTTGGCTACCAAGACTCTTTTATCTTCGTTTTGGCCACCACAGCACCTGTTGCATCCCATTAAAGGCTTCCAGTTGGTCCTTGCTGCCTTCTGTTAGTCATATAGAAATCCTGCTGTCTAACTTTTTCCTTCCCCATCAGTGGTGTCTAAACCTGCAGGCATACAGAGCCAGTGGGAAGCTTCAAGAATGCCACTCTGCCAAGCTGGCTGCCCTTACTAAGCCTCCAGACAAGAATGTTCACCTACTGCCTTCTCTTAGCATACATCCCCTGAACATGACGTTCACCTTCTATGAGAAATAGGGACTCGTATTCAATGCTGTGCAAAGTAAGTGTCCTGCTGGTGCAAGGATTCCTTCTTGCACAGCATTACTCACTCTCACATCTATTTAGTGGTGGAATCCTTGCACTGAGAGCATGCAGTGCACTGGATACAAGGGAAAGTCTTTGGTACACAATCACCTAGGCTGTCCAACTCCTTGGCTGTTAATATTAAGCAGGGGTCATCAGTACTTTGCTTCAGACCCTTCTGCTTATACAGGCCTTTCCTGATGTATAGCTCAATTCATCTGTTATTGCATATCTTAAAGGTGAAATACTGAAGGCACAAATGCAGACAATCCCAACAAGAAGAAAAAAAAGTGGGAGGCATTTAAAGAAACCGGCTCAGAGATGAGCTGAGATTTAAGAAGGAAAAGTATAAGAAACGAAGGAAAGGGAAAATCACAAATGAGGAATATACACAAGTAGTCAACAGTTGCAGGGAGGAAGGCAGGCAGGCCAAAGCTCAGAAGGAAAGAGGTTAAAAATAACTTTAAAAGGTTTATTCTGCTTTGTTCAAAGCAAGAAGCAGAACAAGCAACTAGTAAGCCCCCTAGTGGAGAAGACGGAGCAATACTATTGAGTGACAGAGAAGGTGGAACGGCTGGACATCTACTTTGCCCGTTTTCACCCAAATGGAAAGCAATACTCAACATGGGTGTAGCTAGGATTTTTGTTGGGGGGCAGGCCTTTTGCTGGGGGGGCTGTCCCTCCCTGCCCCCCCAGCTACGTCCATGATATGCAACCTGGTGATAACATAATAAATGATGCAAGGAGGGAGCTGCAGCCCATGATAGGAAAAGAGGTGGTAAGGGAACACCTAGCTACTTTAAATTCATATCTTCAGGGCCTGTTGAGCTGCACCCAGGGGTACCAAAAGAGCTTGTGGATGTAATATCAGAACCTTTGTCTGCACAGTAATCTTTGAGAATTCTTGGAGCTGAGGTCCCTGCAGACTGGAGGCAGGTAAATGTTGTCCCCATTGTCAAAAGGGGGGGGGGGGAGAGACCCATGTAACTACCTACCAGTGAGCTTGACACCAATGCCAGTAAAGATCCTAGAATAGATAATTCAACAGTCTGTGAGCACTTGGAAAAGAAACCCAGCATGAGTTTCTCTGTCACGTCTGATGAAACTTTTCCTTTTTTTAAAATGGAAAAGATCCACCAAGCTTGTAACTCTAACTCTACAATTCTATAATTCTACCAAGACCATAAGCAGTGCCTGCTGGATGAGGCCAATGGCTCATCTAGTCCAGCATCCTGCTCTCACTGTGGCTACCCAGATGTCCCAGAGAGAAACCTTCAAGCAGGATTTGAACACAGGTCTCATCTCCTGCAGTCTCTGCCTTCTTAATCTAATTTTCAGGGGTACCTTCCCATGCCCATTTTAAAGTGCAAGGTCTAACCTTTAAAACCCTGAACAAATTGGAACCAAGTTAATTTAAAAAAAACTGGGCCTTTTAAATCAATGTGGTCTGGATCTATCAGTTTTAAACCTATGTTTTAACTTTGGGGGATGCAGTGAATTTGAGGGTTGTGTGTGTTTATGTTGCTTTTGATTTTAAAGTTTTAGGACATATTTGGTGCTTAAACTGATTACTTACTTGTCAATTGTAATACACCCAGAAAACTTTGCATTATGGGGCAGCTTACAAAAGCCATTACAGCTCCTGTTATTTTAAAGCCTTACTAATTTGCTATTTTGGTTTGCAAGGTGCTGCAAGAGCTTTGGCTGAATACTGCGAACTTTAAACGAATGAAGTTGCAACCCCTGTACTCAGCCTTACCTGGGAGTCTAAGTCCCACTGAACTCAGCCGGGCTTACTTCCAGTATCGCCCTGTAACAAATGTGCTCGGAGAACGAGACCTCTATTTTTTAAAAAAAGTATTATAATTTTTGCTTGTGACGCTCTGGAGTGCCCTGAGGATGGGAGGCAGGTAATAAATAGCCACTGTCACTACACGGCAGGAGGCTACCTACGACTCCGTGAGGGAACCGGATAGCGAAGGAAAGATGCTCTCCCTCCGAGTTGAAGTCCAAAGCGACCCTAGGCAGACGCCGCCCCCCCCCCCGCCGCCTTCTCCTTCTTTTCCTCTCTTTCCCTAGAGCAGGCAGGGCAGCGGCGTCGGGAGCCTGCGGACCGGTGGGTTTTGCCACGCGCTGCATTCCGGCGGCGGCGCAGCGGCTCTATTCTCGGGGCAGCAGTCCCAGATCTCCGGCCCAAAGGGGCGGTGTGGGAGGGGCCGGAGGAGAATTGAACGCGGCGCGGCGGGAAAAAGTTTGCAAAGGCGCCGCTAGGTCGGCATGGCATCCTCCTTCGTTCCACCGCGCGCGCGCGCTCCTTTCCCACCCTCCAGAGCAGCTACAAACAGAAAGGGAAAAAAAGGGGAGGTATGGGGTCGGGGCTGCCACCGCCGCCTGCCAGCTTGCCTACCTCCGTAGAGCCATTGCTCCTCGTCCTCCGTCTGCATGGCACTGCTTCCCAGATTCGTGGCCATGGCGGAGCCGGAGGCACTTGGCTGCGGAGCCCAGGAAGGGAAGCGGGCCAGGAAGAGGTTGCACAAGAAGGGAAGGAAGGGATCCAGCGAGCGAGGCCTCTCAGCAAGCGCAGCACAGGGCTCCTGGGAGGATTTAGAGAGGGAGGTGCGCCTCAACCGGCTCTATCCTCCGCGCGGAGCTATTGGAGCAGTAGCCCCCCACCGGGGGTGCTGGGCCAAAGTGCCGCCATCCATCGCCCTTTCTTGGGCTTCTAACCCCGTAAGGGGGGGGGAGTGGGGGGGGACACCTCTCAACGTCGGAGCAGCGGAGGCAGAGAGGTAGTTGCGGCTGCTATTGCGGGAGGAGCGGCCGGGTCCTAGCGCCCAGCCGGGAATGCCTCTACTTGGCTTTGAGCCAGCTTTTCAAACGAAATTAAAATTTAAGATAACCCGGGGCTAGTGAGTCTGATCACGAGCGCGTTTCCTCCCAAGAAGGCTGGTTGCTGGGTAGGTGGATTTGCATGGGGAAAGATGGTCCCGTAAGAAAGCAAAAGTAGCGTGACAGGCTGCTGCTCTCTGAAGTCAGAGCTTTCCAAACTTTTCAAGCTGGTGACACACTTTTTAGACATGCGTAGTTTCATGGCCCAGTAAATTCAGTTTTACTAGCAAAACAGAGGTTAAACTAACCCGTTATAAGAGCGCGGGGAGCGTTCGCGCGACTTACATACAGTGGTGCTTCAGGTTACAGACTCCACTAACCCAGAAATAGTACCTCGGGTTAAGAACTTTGCTTCAGGATGAGAACAGAAATCGTGCAGCAGCGGCGCGGCAGCAGCGGGAGGCCCCATTAGCTAAAGTGGTGCTTCAGGTTAAGAACAGTTTCAGGTTAAGAACGGACCTCCGGAACGAATTAAGTACTTAACCCGAGGTACCACTGTATATGCACCGCCGCGTTCCTCCACGAGCGCATGATGAAGTGAAGTGTATGCGTGCGCGGACCCATGGATCTTTTAATCTTTAGAATTTATATTGGGCTTTTGAACCAGCCAACGATCAAGGTGCTTCTCATACAACAGCCCCAGGAAGGTTATCCAGAGTCAGCCCCACTTTTGCAGTTCAGAAGGCAGAGAGTGAAAAAGAAATCTTGCTTAAAGCGCCCCTGGCAGGCAGGAGATTTGGAGCAGGGTCTTTCGATTCTTAGAGCAATGTGGCAGCTGCTGCAGTACGCTGGCTCAGCTTCATTAACGTGTGACCCCGAAATTTCAGATTCCCCCCCCCATTGATGCCAAAGTTCAGTGCTAATTTGTGTCGCGAACCCGTTTTGTGCCGCCACTCAAACTGAATAACTGCCACTCAAACCGGGGTTGCAGGTAAATGTCCCAAAAGCCAACGACGATTGATTCTAAACTGGTGCCAAAGTAGTGCACTGGTTTGGTGCTATAATTTGGTGCTGTAATGCCAAAAAATCCAACCTTGTCTACTTGACTCCAAACAGGTGCCAACGTTTTGTGCCGCAAACCCCACATTTTGTGCTGCCTCCCGAACTGTGTAATTGACACTCAGACTGGGGGCCGCAGGGACACCCCCAAACCCAACCTTGTCTGACTGACTGCAAACTAATGCAAAAGTTGTGCAAATGGTTTAGCACTAAACTTTGGCATTGGATTGGAGGGGGATCTGGAATTTCGGGCTCACACATTAATGAAGCTCACCAACTCTGTAAATGACTGGGTGTGCAGCTGGGAAACACACAGCTAATCTGGCAGCCCAGCTGATGTGCCCATCTAGTTTACTATTTTGTGTGAGTTTTGAATACTTCTATATGTAAAACAAACACAAACATTGCAAGAAGAAAATAAGCACAGAAAGGAGAATGCTATGCCAGAAACAGCTTCTGTGATGGGTTTTCTACTTGCATTGCTGGTTTGGAACTAGTGTGTGTGTGTGTGTGTGTGTGTGTGTGTGTGTGTGTTTCATTTTGAAACCATAGGGGAACATTCAACACTGGTATGCCTCACCTCCTGCTGGCTGAAGTGGCACAGCCTGCCCACTGTCCCCTGCCTCATTCTGCTGCATTGGTATGCCTTGTCTTTTTCTCTTCCAGTTTACATACATGAATAGTTGTGTATGTTATTGGAAAGAAGTGGGTATCCTTCTCTTTAAAAGACAAAACAGGCACAGATAAGCAGCACTTGAATGCAAGTTCATTATTGCAGGGGTAAAACTAGGCTCATTTTCGCCTGGGTCAAAGATCCAGTTTGGCACACACACACCCCATTCACATTTACACACACACACACACAGAGAGAGAGAGAGAGGCTAGGAGTCTCAGTGGTGCCCTTCTGGAAGCTTTACGCTGTGGAAGATCACCAGCACTGCATACCAAAGGTCCCAGGTTCAATCCTTGGCATCTCCAGCTAGGAAGGCCTCTTACCTGAAGCCCAGGAGAGCCACAGTTAGTCAATGTAGGTAGGCAGTATTGAATAGGCCGGAATCAGGCCTTCATTGGGGGGGCATCTTTGGAACCCACTCCCTTTAAATTTCAGATACAGACTTTATTTGTTCTTTCCACACCTGTTGCAGATGTTCCTTTCTTAACAGTCCCTTCTAAATGAATATTGGAATTGGTATTGGATTTGAAATTGAATATGTGTGTGTGTGTGTGTGTGTGTGTGTGTGTGTGTGTGTGTAATAGTTGTTGTTGCAGTTGTTTTGCGTGCAATTCAATTATGTTTTTATTGCATTGTAAATTACTTTGTGATGGATGTTCCTTAGGAAATGATTCATAAATGAAATAAATGTTAGCCAGCCTGCTATGCTCACAGCCAGAGGGAAGGCAGCTATCTTGGCAAAGGCCACACAAAGGTTTGGAGCCAGCCTTGTATCGGTGATAAGGCAGAAGCCCCCCTGCTCCAGGCAAGGAGCTTTAGATTAATAATGTACTGTTATGTACAGTAAAGTTGAAATTAAGCACACTCAGTATGGCACCAGCCTGTATGACTGCAGCCACCAAGCAACCAAATCACGTAACTCCAAACACTTGTGCACAATGCAAGATCTCCTTTGATATCCCTGTCTGCCACAAGTAGACTGAGCAAGCTTTGTAACATCTGTCCAGCCCTATCTGTCTAGGCTGTTTTGTGCCCTCGTTATATGCTGATCTTTCAGGTGCTGAAATAAAAATACTCAGCATTTTCCTAAAAGGGGAAGAGCCTTCAGTATAACTTATCCTTACCCTGCATAGTAAATCTACCCTTCTCATTACATGCCACCCTGATATTGCACACACAAATACAACATTATCCCATCAAGAATTAGGAGCATAATGCCTGAAAAAATCATGAATGGCCAGCTACTGGGAACAAGCAGGACAAGATTAGTATTGTGCAATCTATGCCAATGGTGCAGATTTGACTGGTCATTATACTAAGGGCTTTTACAGTCTAAAATAATATCATTGGAAAAACAGGCAGGTGGTGTAGAAATGTTTTAAATATCATATTTTTCCATGTATAAGATGACCTCTATTTTTATGAACCCCAAATCAGTATTTTTGGGTTGCCAAAGTTGTTAATCACCCATGTACAAGACGACCGCCCATTAAGAAAATGCCTTATACACAAAAAAATACAGTAATTGTGGGAAAGCCTTTTAATTTAGTATCAGTAGAATCACAAGCACTTGCTTGATACCAGTGTGTTTTATAGAGGTTCCGTCAGGCTAGGATGGGAGAAGATTCAAGGGCCCACTTAGCCATGAACCTTCAGCCCATCAGTATCAGCCTAACCCACCTCACAGGGTTGCTGTACGTTGATAGAACACCATATTTGTTGCCTTACGCCAGGATATAAATGAAGGAAACTACATTGCAAAAACTGTGTTCCAAATTAAAATAGGCTAAAGTAGTTTTATACAGCAACAGTTGTTGTCGGCATCAATCTCAACAGTGGAGTGTGCTCTCGGGGTGAAGTCAAACCACGGTGTTAGCACCTAAGTGACCTCTCCAGGGCAGTGACCAAGCCTGGGCAGTGTGTGGAGGTCCTGGGCTTCCCAGATGACACGACCACCCTCTCGGTCTCACTGATGTAGTCCAAAGAAAAGCAGGGGAATATGTTTGGCACCAGCTTTGTTGGAGGAGTTGCTGGAATGAAGTGTACAAGGCGCCATCCAACCACTTTAGGGACAGGTTTGTGTAGGGTTAGCCTTTTCTTCTCCCAAAATGTACTGCAAGGCAGCGGGTATTGATTTTTCCTTGGAGTGCACTCCTGAAGCCTTTTCACAAATGAGTATAGCCGTATGGCAGTGGATTAGAGTTTTCCTTCTCCTAGATGGGCTACCTTCCCAGGCTGATGAGCCCCATCTGCCCCTCACTTCCATCTGCAGCAGATGCAGAAACTACCTTCTTGACTGTTGAATCCACTACTGGGTCTGTTCAATCTGCTGGAGCCTGTCTTTGCATGCAGGGGTAGTCCCTAACTCTCTGAGGGTTTGAGACCCATTGGCTACCCTCACCTGGCTTAGCTGGCCAGCTGAAATTATTTCCTATGGTATGGCCACTGTAGCATGCTGACAGCTTCAAGGAGCCAGAGATGAGAGCAGAGTGCAGGGGGGGGGGGATCATAGGTGGACACATCCAGTGTCTACCCCTCCTATACCTACTACATCCCACAGCAGCAAATTTGTATTAGTTGTGCTCCATATAGATGGCCAGGAAAGTTTGACTGTTAGGCTAATTTGGCCTTTGGTCTGACTTGACTAAGCACAGCCATGTTTAGGTCTTCAATGTCAAGGTTAAAGCAAGCATTCAGAAATGATTGAGATGAGGAGGAGGAGGAGGAAGCAGCAGCAGCAGCATTTGGATTTGATATCCCGCTTTATCACTACCCGAAGGAGTCTCAAAGTGGCTAACAATCTCCTTTCCCTTCCTCCCCCACAACAAACACTCTGTGAGGTGAGTGAGGCTGAGAGGCTTCAGAGAAGTGTGACTAGTCCAAGGTCACCCAGCAGCTGCATGTGGAGGAGCAGGGACACAAACCCGGTTCACCAGAGTCACCATCTATTTTCAAGGGCCTCTATATCCTCCAAGCACTAGTCTGGAGGCCAGAACAATCCCAACACCTCACCTTGTGGCTGGTCAGACTTGATAGTGCTGGTTGACAACCCTGAAAAATAAGGTTATCACTTGTATGGCTCAATGAATGATCTCAATATCGTGGATGGAAAGACTGAAGCATTTTATTCAAGAGGTAGATTAGGGCATAACCTGAAGGCACATGAAGCTACCGCTCAAGGAGATCCAGGTCTGGTCAATACTTGAATGGGAGACTGCCTTGTTGTTGTTGAAATGTACAAAAATAAACAGTCTGACCACCAGGGGGCAGCTAAAGTTGCTTCAGGGCTATGTTAAGACTGCAAGTTGACTTTCCCCTTAGTGCATATTAAGTATACATGGATGCAGCACTTGTGAACACAGCCTGTTTACGGACTGTTGTCTGGTTGGATCCTATAAAGAAACCAAAGCATCAGAAAAGCTCTCATCACAAAAAAATGGTTCACCAGTAAATTACTTCCAAAAGCAATTCACAGTGGAAATACCTAGCATCCATATGTTGGCTAAAGGAGACATAGGGCAATGCAGGAAGTCACAGACACAAAGCTTAATTAGTTTTTTATTTTAAAAACTTCAAGGCATGAGATCATCCTATTTAAAAAGTGGCTGTTAATTCGTAAACTGAATAGAAGTATTGAGGACTTAATTAAAATGCATACAGTTTAACAAGTTTCATGAGTTACGAATAATTATAAACAAAAAATTCACAAAATTACAGAATGTGAACATATTTTAATGCAATGTTGTTTACTAAAATGGTAAAATTATTTACACCATGTATCAACCCACTGACCCCCTCCCCTTATTGCTCAATGCTAGTGTTTTCAAGTGGAAGTGATCAGTCATTTTCAGGACACTAAAATGCAATATTCACAGTTGAGCATGTAGACTTTTGAATCTTAAATCAGGACAAGAAAATGGATTTTTGAATTTATCAGTGTTAGTCATATTCAGGAACAGACCCACTGAAATCAATGGTTTTTCAATGGGTCGGTTTCAAGTGTGACTTAACATAGGATATCTATAATACATTCCACAGTTTGGGGTGGGGCAGAGCCTCCCAGTTCTGCAATACTGATGCAAAATGAACAACCAGTATACATATTATATACAAAATAAGGTGGTACACTTCTGGACTGTACCAGAAGTCTGCAGGTGTGCAGTATCCAATATATGAATGCTCTCCCAAATTAAAAGAACCCGTACATGTAGTAAAATAGTGCATCAAGGAGAAAGTTTAGTGTGTCCCACCCCCTGTGGTTCTGGTTTAGTACATGCAGAAAGCTTTGTTACTTATAATTTGGAACAGCGTTCATATGCAGGACACTCCTCACCTATGGAATTCTACCACCTCTCCTATACCATACAAAATGGCTTTAAACCTTGTAGGGAACAACAGCATAAAATCAGTGACAGCGTTTAGCTTGGGTTTTCCAGTTTGCCAATGAAATTCCATAGCTTTATGTATATAGCTCTGTACATCTGAAATGTTCAAGGCACTTCCTCTTCCACTACTTGGGCATGTTACTATAGATCAGAGATGGGTAAACCTGCAGCCTTCCATATGTTACTGGGACCACAGCTCCCATCATTGGCCATGCTGGCTGGGACTAACAGGTGTTGGGAGTCCAACTTCTGAAGGCCTACAAGTTTCCCATCTCTGCTGTAGATCTACTTGACTGTTACAGGTTATGAAAAAGAAAAGAGGAGCTTCTGTCGTGGGGATGGCCCAACTGCACAAAAAAATCAGCTAAAGAGGCAGCATGGAAGGAGCAACCAATTCAAGATGTAAAGCACTCGAAACAGCACTAGGGAATGCTGAAAACACAGTAGGGAATGTGAAAACCAAGGAGATGCTCCACAGAATCATCTGTAAAGCCACTGAGTATACTGGGATGCACCTCTCAGGTGGTGCTTACATTAACTCAGAATAGCAGAACAGCTTGAGCAGAACTTGGGTTTTTACAGAATTAGACTCCAGGGGTGGTATTCTGTCCTCACAATCCTACTCAAAGTAGACCCACTGAAATTAATGAACCCATTAGTCATATCCCTTAATTTCACTGGGTCTACTCTGAGTACGGCTGGAGTTGAATACTACCCCAAATATAATTTACTTTCAGGCTGAAGGCTACGTGGTTCTATCTTACAAACATTTGGATATTAAGAAAAAGATGACCAGATCATGAGCCAAGTAAAGTCTTCCACATTCATGGGTATTGAATTCAATGTTCTCAAGTGTTGGAAGGGAGAGGTGGACAGTAATAAGGATGGGGGTGGGAAAATCATCCACGGGCTGCATCTTGGCTCCCCTTGTGGAACCCTCAATCCTAGAGCAATCTGAAGGTGAAGAGGAAGTAAGGTTTGGGGCAATCTTTGTAACTTTACACAAAGCTCCTGCAGCTTACTGAAAACTGAAAGGGCTGACATCCCCATTCCTCATAACATTTCATTGCTGTTGAATCAGTATGAGGACAAGAGGAAGGGGGGAGGCTCACACTGTGTACACATGCCTCAAATACTACCCCAAATAGGATGAATTGGGTAGTATTTTACATCTGTAAAAATGCAATACTTACATTATTTGAATCAACAAAATTCTGCATGCTACTATTAGTAGCAACACTGTTGGGCCATATTTTTTTCATTAGAAATTGAATTAACAAACATTTGGCTCTTGTACACCTAACAGGTAACACATATGGACCCTTTGTCAGACAAACTTTGGAATTCAACTGAGCTTTTAAACTAACTGAGACTTGGAAGATTTGTAACCTAATCCTACAAAAGAGGAAAAGAAAGGTTAATTGGAAACAAGTCACACTAGTGTCTATGGAATTAGCTTCTACATATATGATCAGAATGGGAAGGTGGAGGTGTTTTTGTACAAGTCTTAATTTAAGACATACTACCAAAATGAAAAAGCTCCATGCCTGGCAGAGTGTTATGATTATTTGAAGCATGAATGGGGTGGGGTGAGAATCCCACTGTAACCACTGAGCAAAGAAATAACATGAATCTAAAAAGACACATGGATAGCATTCAGAATTCATTACAAAGAGTGTCAAACACACACTCAAATCTTCTCGGTGCTAAGAAACTATCCAAAGAAAAACTCACAGGGGGAGGGGAATAATAGTAAGATTTGTGGGGTTTGGGCTATTCTGTGATATTCGAATGTGACAGTTAATGCACTGTAGCATAAGAAGCTTCAGTTATATCAAGCAAGAAACAATATTTAGAGTTACTCTTTTTGGCAATACTGTACAAAACTCTCAACACCCTTTATAATGAATGGAAAAACACTACACTGCATTTCACACTGTGCCACATTATTTGGCTATTCAAATATTCATTCTGCTTTCCAATACTCCTCTGTTCAATACCATGAACATTTTAACAGAATGTGAAATACCTACACTGAGTAATAAAAAGGTCTAAGTAGCAAGCAGCACCTCAAAAGTTCTATTTAACTGATATTCCATTTTTAATACTCAGTGTTCCATTTTAAAATCCAACTGGATAGCTCTTGCCATCAGGAATTTCCTCCCGGAGCCAGAAGCCTGGGCATCACTAAATATTTCAAGGTTCAAGTTATACCACATACCTTAGAATCCCTTGCTTTCGCAGCTGTGCAGTGTAAAGCATACTAAGGAGCACCCTGTTCAAGTCCATGATATTAAGGATTCCACAGGCACTCTAGTACATGCATAGAGCTCCAAGTAAGCAATGGCTCCAACATTCTACCGAATGGGCAACCCTAAACATGCAAGTGGTATATGCATACATAGATGCATGCACGTTCTTGATGAAACAGGAGCTCTGGTCTGCACAAGAAGCTGCAATGAAAGGCTCATGATGGTGGTCTTGCTTTTTTCATCACCGCTGTTACAGCAGAGCCACAAGCAAGCAACATAAAATTGCAGGCACCTTCCGACCCCATTTTAGTCACAATTATAGCAACATAACTGGGGTAAAACTGGAATATGTAGTGTGAAAATACATGTAAACCAAACATTCCAGAGTCAAAGCTAACATATTCATCAAAGAAATATTTCTGATGAATTTTTGGCTTCCCAATTCTTGAATCCTACCCTGCACTCATTAGAGGCTTTTCAGGTATAAGTGGCCTTTTGTGCTCAGTATTATTCAGTCCACTGGACAGAGAGATATTCAGAGATATTCATAGAATCATAGACAAGCTGAGTGCATGTCTTGTACATATAATTATTCAAAGAGTAAGTTATTGAAATAGAGGAACCTGGTGGCTTCCAGATCTGCCATGCTATTTCAGTAGTACAGCTTACCCAGATTCTTCTAACTTTTTTAGAGGGATAGTCTTCATAGAAGGATGAATCATGTTATGTTGAACAAAATAATATTATAAGAGAATACCCAAGTACAACTCTGCTAAAAATTTATTTTCTTTACTGTATTTCAGTTCTGCCACAGTCCTTAAAACATAATGTAGACTCCAATCCTACTCACTACAATGTCTGCTCAAAGATAACTCCCATTGAATCCAATGAGGTTTCAATGGTAAGTGGAGTTAGGATTGCAACTTTAGAGTAGACCATACTCAGGGGGATTTTTGATGTTCTCTCCATGAAAGCAGACACTCACCCCAGTGCCATATCATAAAATGCATTTGAAAGTTTCCCCAGTTTCAATCAATGGAAGCTAAGAGGCATGCTGTGGAAGAATTTCAAGCCAATAATCCCATTGGGTTTGTGACTCCTTGGAGATATACAGGTGTTGCAATAATACCTTTATAAATGTGATACATTTTCACATTCATTTACTAACAAAGTGCACCTGAGAGGGACTTTTGGTAGTATGGACAAACCCATTATTGGCTTCATAGTATGGCACACTAATGGGTCATACAATCAGAAGAATGCTTACAGACATAATTCATAATAAATCTATGTAGAACATAAATGTAAAACAATAGGAATTATATTACATTTTGTAAACCTTCATGTAGTATCACACTTAACATTATACAACAAGGCAATATTTATAGACCCGTTGTCTATATTGCAAATGAACCCTCACCCTGCTTCCACAATGTAAAATGAGCAGCTTTGCAAGGGCAGGACAAAACCAGTTCTGCTGTTCATTGCAAGTCTTATACAACTGGATTATCAAAACTGTATTAATAGTTACTGAAAGCTAACCTTGGTTGTTTCTGTCAAGAATTTAAGGTAGTGTGAAAATGATGTACCGCATCAGAAGGATGTATGTTTGGAAAACAGATGGATTTCAAAATTCATAAGGCAGCATGCTCAAAAAAGGCTACAAGCAGCACTGATTCTATATCAATAGTGGCTATTATATCTGTAGTGACAACTCTGCATCATTAAAGAAGTTTAAAATAATAATTCAGGGTACACACAAAAGCCTGATTATTTAACATTAAAAATGTGCAAATTGTTTTCTTCTTAAAACAAAAGAAAGTAACATAGCAATGAAGCTACTCTACTAAAGAACACCTTTGTGTTTAAAAATCACAGAAAAGTAGACCATCTTCTCTCCAACATCCCCTACAAGGCACTACAGGTAGGAAACGACAGATAACATGAAAGGTAATACTGCTCCTCAGTCAGGTCGAAATATGGGATATTTTGGTAAGAATTCTATTAGTATTACCTATAGAAGGGGAAAAAACACAAACATATATTAACCAATACATTCAGCTCATTAGCATACAGAATATTAGGTAAGCTACAAATAATTAAATATGTTGGGTAAAATCATGGACAGTACTTTATACCAAATCAATCACTGGCCCATTTAATTCAACTCTTCTATACTGACTGTGCTAAGGCTGTTGGGTGCTAAGGCCCACGGTGAAGTGTACCCAATTGACAATACAGTGGTACCTCGGGTTACATAGTGCTTCAGGTTAAGAACTTTGCTTCAGGATGAGAACAGAAATCATGCTCGGGCAGCGCGGCGGCAGCAGGAGGCCCCATTAGCTAAAGTGGTGCTTCAGGTTAAGAACAGTTTCAGGTTAAGAACGGACCTCCGGAACGAATTAAGTACTTAACCTGAGGTACTACTGTATTTCAGACCTTGCTCCCCCTAGTGGATACTGAAGGTGCTTTTTCACTGAATCTAACTTGGCAGTTTTCATCTTCTGAGTTACAGCTGCTTTCCGGTTGTTTATTCCTCAAGTGGCACCCACCAACAAAGAGCAGAGTTATCAGCAGTTTTGTTGCCTTATACAGCACTTGAATGATCAGTGCAATGTGGGAAATGAAGCTTCTGCGACAATGTGGCAAGTCCGTAAAAAGGGAAGCTTGAAACTTCCCTGTTCACAAACGTGGCAGCCACTGTGGCACCGTGCACAACCTCCTCTCTTCCCACTGCTCATGCATGTCACCAGTGAGCAAGTACAGGGTTGGTTACAACAGGTGACTCTGCCAATCTGAAACCTTTCCTGAACAAGTTACGCCCCTAAACACATGCAGAGGTCCTAACTAATCCAGGAGGAGGTGAATAATTCAGCACTAAAGGCTATGGGAATCTGAGCTAAAGGTCTGCACATATATGCATGTAACTGAAAATTCCCTGAGTGCCACAGCACTCTCAGTCTCAAATGTTCAGAAATTCCAATACGGTTCTGTAAAATTCAAAAGATATAGACTTTGTAATGGAAGGTACATGGCTAATACCTTGTTGCTACAACCAGCTTGCTTAAGAGCCACAGCTGAAATCTGTTATTTTAAAAAGGTCTGATGGGCCAATCTGCATCACCTCAGGACCGAAGATGACCACATTTACTTAAATATATATATGAACCAGAATGGCTAAGGATGGGAGGTGGGGATGACAACGGCGACAAAGGTAAATGTAGATTCATGATATCCACAGGACGAACAGACAACTTCAGAAGAAAATCAATCTGCACCATTAGCAGCATGAGGACCCAGTGCCAAAAATGTGGAAGTCCAAAACAGCATGTAACAGATGAAACCAACATATATGGAATGAACAGAAAGGAAAGGAGACGGGGGGGGGTAGAGGGGAGGGGAGAGGAGAGGAGAGGAGAGGAGAGGAGAGGAGAGGAGAGGAGAGGAGAGGGACAGCTCTTTCCCACCTATCTAATTTGCACCACATGAGTAACTGGAGGCAAGGAACTGGACTGAAACTACAGCTTGGAAGCACAATACAGTGGTAACTTGGGTTACAGACGCTTCAGGTTACAGATTCCGCTAACCCAGAAGTAGTACCTCAGCTTAAGAACTTTACCTCAGGATGAGAACAGAAATCACACGGCGGCTGTAGTGGCAGGCCCCATTAGCTAAAGTGGTACCTCAGGTTAAGAACAGTTTCAGGTTAAGAACGGACCTCCAGAACGAATTAAGTTCTTAACCCAAGGTACCACTGTTTCATATTAACCATTCTTCCCAATGCTACTTTCTCCAAATGTTGAAATAAGACAGACTTTTTAGAAAAGAGAGTGCCCCAGTGAATTACACAGACGGATACATAACCAATCCTATCCAGGTTTACTTAGAAGGATTTCCTACAGATTTCAGTGAGGCTTATTCCCAAATTAGTGTGCACAGAACAGAAGAGCCAAGAGTGTTTTGTTCAAAGTACGAGCAATTAATTGACAAATCAGTCAGAAAAATAGGGAAACACCTTTGTAACCAACAATCTGTTAACAGAGAAGTATAAAGTACTTACATACTCCACCATATTGCTAGTTTCGCATTTCCTTTTACTCAACTTCCAGTGCAAACCAAGCTAGGAAAGTAATATAATGTTTAGCATTACCTTAATGGGAGCATAATATTTTGCATAATGTAACATGACTATCTGTGTGTATAGTTATTTTATCTGTCCATTTGGGATATTAGCATTTGTAAGGCTAAAACTGGGGCACATAAGCAATACAGAAGCATCTTTAATCCAGCGATGTGTCTTTGTTAATTGCATACTACTTGCTTATAATAAATGTATTCACAATAAAACTGAAAAAGCCCTGAAACACTCCACCATGATTAAAGCAGCCACTTCCCTTCTTACCTTATGATATAGTCTGTTATTTTCCCATTCTAACAACTTCTCAATTGATCTTCTAGTCTAGGAAAGATGACCAAAATAGCGTTAGAATATGGATTCAATCAGTTTCCTTAAATATGGCCCATAAAACTGGCCCATGTGTCTGTTGCAATTGACAAGGACTTCTGCAAAGGATCTCTCATCTCTTTGGCTCTACACAAATAAGATAGGATGAAGGAGAACACAACAGAATGAAAGACATACAGTCTTCTCCAGTTTCGATATAGTCCGCATTGAACACTGTTTGCTGTGAAGAACAAGAGGGGAAAGTGTTGTTGTGCTCATACCCTGTTTGTGGGCTTCCTAAAGGCATCTGATTAGTCACCATGGGAAAGACTAGATTGGCCTTTGGTCTCATCCAGCAAGGCCATTCTTATATATTTTGTCCTGTGAACCATCCTGAGACTTCAGGGTATAGGAAGGTATATAAATTCAAGCAAGCAAGCAAGCAATAAAAATTAATATAAAATGAAATACATGACCAGACTGCTTGCAGTATTTACAGAAGTTGCACAGGGGTCAGGAATTTTGATGATCATTAGTGTCTAGCCCCAAAGTAAAAAGTATATCTGGACTGTTCCAATTCAAGATAGATGACAGTGGGGAAACTATATTATTGAATGTTCACTATATACTTGTTCCTAGTCATATTGCTAGGGAACAAGAGCAGAAGAGTGCTATTGCACTCATATCTTGCTTGTGGGCTTCCCATAGGAATATGGCTAGCCACTGTGAGAGCAGAATGCTGGACCAGATCCACCTTGGGCCTGATCCAGAAGGGGTCTGATGTTCTTAGGCTGTGCAGGAAGGACTATGAAACAAGAGAGCAGCTTTTTAACCAAGCCTTCTCCAGAAAATTTTCTATATATAGGGACTAGTTTTTTGCTGGAGGGAGCATTCACTCATGCCACCTCTAACTGCAGGCTGAAGTAGTACAGCCGAGAAACATATTATGAGTCATAAGTTTATATCAGTGCTGGGGAACCTGTAGTCCTCCAGATGTTGCTAACTCCAACTCCTATCACTGCATGATCATTGTCCATGCAGGATGGGGCTGAGGAGAGATGGAGTCCACCAACATCTGGAGAGTCACAGGCTTCCCACCCATGGCTTATGCCATATTATGTAAAGTATTTCTATCCTAATCTTTCAGTCTGAAGACATGATACACAAGGGGAAAGGGAGGAGGAGGGGAAAAGGAAGGTGAGGCACCAGTTCTTAAAGTTACAGTTCTTATAAAGACCAGCTGTGATGGAAACAGTACAGATAGCCTGAGAGAAGGGCTCCCACCAAGTGATAGTTCATGGGAGGGCCAAAGGCCTGTTAGCAGGGGCTACAGAATAGCCTGGTGGAGTAACTGGAAATGAGAAGGGGTTAATTTCCTTCATGAGTGTAAATCATTCCATGAATGAGCTAATAACAGGTACAAGGTCAGACAAGCCAGTGTTCTGACTATATCTGTGATATGTCATGGCAGCTCCGTGTGTCAACCTGTAGGTCTGCAGTTTGTCTGTCTGTCTGTTGGTTAGTATGTCGATGTTACCTGTCCACTGTTACATCTTTACATGTTATAAGTTATTTAAAGTTATTTAAAGCAAGCAAAATACAAGTTATTTAAATCAACCAAGATACTGTACTTTGTAGTTGTATGCATCTGTATATATCTATCTGCAAAAACCTACAAGCTGTATATATCTACGTCCATAACTGTTTTACTGGGCCTTATCTTCTGCAACAGTAAACTATCTGAACCTTTCTCAGCTTACATGTGGTTACTGGTACTGGAAGCAACTTCCAATGCGTGGGTATCTCACCTGAGATTCCCATCATAGCCCTGCTTCTTTTCTCCCCCTCCGCTCTATGACCTGATGGAATAGTCCTATGGAATTCAGTTGCGACACTATTGGAGTTTTGGCACAAGTGCACAGGGTGATCTTGGTGGCAAATGGTTTGAAGTGAATTAACACTCAAGCAAGAATATACCAACCAGATTTAATACTGGGCCTACTGAAATAGCTATGACCTTCATTTCTCTAATTTATAGTGAGTAGAGGTTCCTAGAGATCTGCCTAAAACAGGCATAATTCTGTACCTTCCTTATTTTCCAAACCTGTGCTGTCTTCTGCTCTCTATCACAATGAATGCATTATGAGCAATTAGCTAAGGTTTGGGTGACAAGAGCTTTGAAAGCCTCAAGAAGGCAAAACTAAGGCACTTAGGGTTTATTGAAAGGACACCGAACAAATTCAGGCATCTAGAAGTATTGATTGCATTTCTACAGAAATAACTTAATAGGCAAGTAAAGAATTTAAGGCCATGAGTCACACAGGACTGTTTACAAAAGAAAATAACGTATGAATCAATTAATTAAAAGAATAAATTCTGCATATCATGGTGTTGTAATTAATTTTAATCATTTGGATACAAATCAGAGTAACAGAGTTCTTGTTGTTTGAAAAAATAATGAGAAAAATGCTGACAGAAAAGGGCAGATGTTCTAGGGTCAGTACAAGAAAGATGTGAATTATTTTGATATATATTCAAGAACAAAGGTTTGTGCAACTAACGATCTAAACGCAATAAAGAAATTAAGAGCTCAAGCTACTGCAGGTAGCTGCTGGTGACACTAGTAGCCTAGTATGTGTACTTACTCTTTTGTTCAGACAGACAGCAGGCCACAGACTGCAGCCAAGTGTGCAGCAGCAGCACAAACAGCCACAGAGAAGCCATTTTACACTGATAGGGAGATTCTTCTTTAAACATACATTTACACGACTGATACTTGTCTTGAATTCTTCCGGAGCAACCTGGAAAAACAAGAGATAAACCTACACTGGGAACCATGTATATAGAGAGAAAGTAGAAAAAGAAAATATAATTCTGGGATTTATTTATTTCATAAAATTTATATGCTGCTTGATTGTAAAAAAAATATTGTAAAGGCTGTCAGGAATTAGAACTCTACTGCCAGTTTGTGTGTGAGAAAATGCAGTAATCGCTAAGGATGACATTTTTGTTTTAGTTACTCTACAGACACTTTTGGTATTCTTGTGTTTCTTGCCTGCATAAATAGATTTAAATATTTCAACTTCATACTAAATCAGTTATTCTTACTATCATCATCATAATCAATGTTAAGCACAGTAAAAAGTGAGCTCTCTCCCCCCGCCCCTCTGCAAATACAGTTTTAGCAGGCTACGGTAAGCCCCACAGTCCTTAGGATAATGTTGTGAATTATGGAATCCTTTTCAAACATTCTCTCACACAAAGGTCGCAAGGTACGGAAATGTAATGGTCCTCAAGGAGCAAGTGACCACAATAGTGGTCCTCAGTAAAACAGTGTTTTAGGAAATTAGAAATTTTCTGGAGGAAAAACAACCCAAACACCCAGACAGCATTCTAAGAGATTCCTTTTCGGCCCAGTACACCATAAAGGGGAATAAAGGTGAAGGGAAGGGTCATAATATTTTACAACAGGATACAAGAGAGGAAAGGAGCAATGACCAGCAGGCTCCCTTTCCCTTCTTTGGCCATCATAATCACAGCCCAATCAATCACGCCTTGTGCCAAATTACAATACGAAGGGAATGTTTTATGACTTACACCTCCTTGCACTGGACACCAATTTCCCCACAGAAGCCCTTGTTGTTTTAAGATCAGGACAGGAAACTGGACTTTCCCTCTAAAGGATTATTGATTGATCCAGGTGACAAGGAAGTGGCAGATTTAAAGCCATATATCACAAACCAATATTTTCATCCATCAACTAAGAACTGAAAGCTAGGACTGAGACTTCTTGCCTGAACATGCAATTCTGTTGCATGTTGAGAAGATTTCCAACATATCCATTAAAAGAATTAAGTGAACAAAAAAAAAAGTGGGGGACAAGGGTTCGGGGAGAACTCAAAGATTTACCAAGGGAAAAGAATGATTGTAAAGTTGAAGAGGAGGGAAATAAAATTTATTGTTAGGGCCTATATTTTGAGACCTATCCCCATTCTTCATCTTGTCTTTTTAAAGCTAACCATAGGCTTCCTACGTACAAACTTCCTTTTGTACAAATTAAAACACAATCTCAATCCAGTTATCTCAATTAAAAAAATAATTACACAAAATATGTTCACATTCTTTATTTATGAAGATACTTTGTATTATTAACACATATGATCAATAATATAAGAATTCAAATATTAAAAAACAATCCAGCAATCTAAAATGTGGATTTTAAACGTAATTGTTCTGTTGCATCTTAATCCTACAAATATCCTTTTTAGAATATAAAGGTAAAGGTACAGGATTAAATATACTATATAAGGAACAAAACACACTCAGCAGAATATCTTCACAATACTTGCTATAACTCAGCAATATCTTACTATTGCTAAAACTAGTATGTATTGGCATTGTTATAATCCAGAATTCCATGATATTAAAAGTGTTCCATGGTAATTGCTACTGACTTTAACTTAAGTATTTTAAATTATGCCCGTGTTGAAAATGAAATGGATGGTAGTTACAGAACCAAAGATAATATGTGTTCCAGATAGCATCTTCATTTATAATTTGTTAGTGCTTAAAATGTACAAGGCACTTTACATTTAAAAGTGTACAGGTCCCTATTGCACAAGGTATTAGTTGTGTGCCCGGACATTAGAAAGTTGAAGCAAGATTTGTGGAAATTATAGATGAAAGAGAGAAGCAATAAAACAAAATAAGGATTCTGGGACGAGCTAAATGAACCTTGAATCCAATCAGATGAAGTGACTAAGACAAACCTACACCTGGTACTCTGTCCACAACACATTAACTTGAATGTAAATTCCATGAAAATCAGTGGCTGGATCTCAAAATATAGGAATACAGGTCAGGATCACCAGATCTTTCAGTTCTTTCAACATTTAAGACATTCAGCCGACTGAAAGAAAAGCATTTTTGCAATTTACATGGGGTACATGTGCTGACTTACCTTCCCTGTCAGAACAGAGGGAAATTCGGTGTCAAACTTGTTGGTTAAGCCAAACCTTAAAAAACAAAAGAGAAAAAGTATTTCCACCTAACTTGTTTCTAACGCCATAAGTTATATATCGCTGCTACTTTCCACATCAGCTTTCAAGTGTTCATAGTACTTTTTAAAGTACTACTGAAAACGTGCAGAGAACATAGCTCCTTTTATTAACACTTAATTTAAAAACCACATCCAAAGGCATGCACCTTCCTCCCACTTTCATGGTTATAGACTATTAGGGCAATTGATGTTTCTATTTGTATTAAGTAGTGACTATAAAGTTCATCCGTTTCTTGCTTATGCCCACAGCCTGATGAACTGTAAAGAGTACTTTGCTGAGATTATTGCAGAACCTGAAAACTAAAGGAGGAATTCAACATAGCTCTTGACAATTGTTTCAGACAGAATGATCCCCCCTCTTCTCTCCCCATATCCTATTCCAGAGTTTCTCGTGACCCCCATAGAGGCAATTGGGGGGGGGGCATGTGGTGGGAGAGGGTTAAAGCTGTGCAGTCCTTTCTTGGGATTCTGCTACTGAGACTCATCAGCTGAATATGACTCTAGGAATTAGGGGCATAATCCTTTCAACAAAACTGATGCAAAAATTATTGCACTTTGAACACACACCCCACTTTACTGTTGAGCTCCCTTTGGATGACTAAATGACGCAACATCTTAACAGTAATCCCAGTGGGTCCCTCACAGGATGGAATCACAGCAGTGTCATTTTGGCTTTGCTACCTGCCTTGCATACACTCTTCTCCCGATGTCTGGTTTCCAACATCAGGTTAGATATCACCAGCTAAACTTCACAATAAAACAATGTATCACAATGTCTGAAATAAAGATGAAACTATGTGGCAAAGAGATAACCTCCTTCTTTAAAAAAAAATCAACCTTTATTTTTAATATGGAGGGAAGCTATTTATGGGACACCAAAAACGTAAACTCCAGGAAATGGAAATGAAAACACTTCTCTCCTTCTTTTTCACCAGTGGGTGTGGGCCAGAGGGAACAAAAAGGAAGGTGAAGAAGCACATAAGGAAGCATAGGGGGTGTGGGAGGGGAATGTGTGAGAAAGCAAAGGGGCAGGGGAATATTAGGGAGAGTACGATGGTAAGGAGGAGAAAATGGGGAACGTAGAGGGAGAGACACATACATGTGTGTACACAAAGAAGCGGAGAAGAGAGGAAAGGGACAAAGACATGAGGGCTACACAGGCACACATTCATGAAAAGATTTTGGTTCTTCTCAAGCCACCATGGCTTGGCCCCCATTGCAGGGGAAAAAACAGCAACCTTTCATAAAGTGGCACTGTGCACAAGGCCGATATTTGGCGCCCCCAGATGGATTTTCTCAATTTTGCACCGCCTCAGATTTTTGAATGCATGAAATTAACTATGTAAAAACTAGAACAGAAATAATGGACTGCAAACAGTGTTAAGTACCCCAAGGAAGAAAAAACTCTGTAAGAAAAGCAGGTCCTACATGCAATGTATCATATGATAAATGACGCTCTGCTCCTTGAAAACACATGGAGACTGATAAACTAAAATGAGCACCCTACATCAATATAGGTCAGGCTGTAACTAGGGCTGGATGATGTCTGGTTTTAAAAATAGTCGTATATCACCAGCAAAACATCACGATATACCAATATAACACAATGTCTGAAATAAGGATGGAATTATGAAGAGGTGAACGGGGTAATGTCCTGGCAAGTGCTACTACTTAGGGGTCTGAAACTTAATTCCCCCCATGCTTTTAACATATTGTTGCCACTGTTATTTTAAAATACAAATAATTTTTAAATTAGGACACTTTCTCTAAAATTAAAGTTGTAGAAGTAATTAGTAGCATGGATATGAAAGGAAAGGTGGGAGGAGGTTCCCTTACAGACACAAGGGAGACACACACAGAGAGAGAGAGAGAGAGAGAGAGAGAAGCTGAGAAGGCACGAGAGAAGATTCAACTGAGCAATGTTTATTATTATTATTATTATTATTAACTCATAAGTAAATAGTCGTCATTTATTTTTCTATGGAACAAGTGGTGACTTCCAAGCCAATCCCAGCTGAGACCAGCAGCAGTTCAAAGGCAGCACTGGACAGCTCAGCTCTTGAGAAACGAGGCAAAAAAGACTTTCAAGTTTAAGGAGCTGCAGAGCAATGGAGAGTGAAGGAAACCCTCTCTATTTACTCCAACACAGAGAAACATCGGAACCACGACATAAGGTTTTCCCGGCTTTGTTTTCCTGCCTTTGTTCTGTTGTTCCGCCTGCACTGCTCTGGCTCTGGGAAGGAAGGGTTCTGGCATGGTCCTAGAGCCCTTCCCTCCTTCCCAAAGATGGGCAAGCACTTACTATCCTTCGGGGGAGGGGGTAGTGCCAGGGGTCTGGAAGCCAGACAAAATGGAGGCAGTTTGTAATCTTTCACAAAATGGAGCCTTTGCAATGCTAATATCTGGTGCCCCCAAGTGGATCTTCTCAATTCTGAACCTTCTAGGACTTTTGGATTAATTAAATAGCATAGCACTGTGTAAAAATAAGAACGACAATAATGGACTGGAAACGTTAAGAACACACACACCCCCGTTCCCCAAAGCAGATCCTACATGGAGCATCCTACAGAAAGGGAAATGGCTGCAGCTAGGGCTGGACAATGTCTGGTTTTCAACATCGTGATATGTCACCAGCTAAACATTGCGATATTACCAATATAACACAATGTCTGAAATGAAGATGGAACTATGGGGCTATGTCCCGGCAACTGCTATTCCTTAAGGTTCTGAAATATAAATAACTACTTACCTTTAACATATTGTTACAATATTCTGTAGAACACATAATTTTAAAATTATTACACTTTCTCTAAAATTAAAGCTGTAGAAGTAATACGTGGCATAGATATGAAATGAAAGGTGAGAGAAGGTTCCCTAACAGACACAGAAATAGGAACGCAAGAGAGTGGAAGAAAGATTAAACAACAGGACAAGGTTTATTATTCTTATTATTTATTCATATGTAAAATAACCCCAGTCTATTTTTCCATAGGACAAGACTTTGCTTCCAAGCGAGCCCCGGATGAGGGCGGTAGCATGCATCATTTCAGAGATGAGGCAGAAAGTACTTTCAAGTGTCAGGAGCTGCAGAACAGAGTAAATTGATAAATGGAGAACAAAGGAAACCCTCCTTTCCTCTCATTCCCACCCACAGAGACACCTGAACAAAGCTGTGATCCCATAAGGTTTTCCGGGTTTAGGGAGGGTGGTGCTAGAGGGCATCCCAGAGCCCTTATCTCAATTTCCCAAAGGTGGATAAGATAATGGACTATAGACGATCTATTGAAAGATAGAACTAGAAAGATATAACTGTGGAGGAAAACCTTGGGCACAGCTCTGGCTCAGGGAAGGAAGATCCAGGGCTACTGTGGGGTCCTAGAGCCCTTCCCTTCTTCCAAAAAATGGGCAAGCAAGTACTATGCTTCCGTCATTGGGAAGGCAATGCCAGGGCTCTGGCATCCCAGAGCCCCTGCGCCACCCTCCAAAAGCCAGACAAAATGGAGGCACTGTTATCTTTTATAAAATGGCTGCTTGTGAGTCCGCTATTTGGCACCCCAAGTGGATCTTCATAATATTGCACCACTTAGGACTTTTGCATTAATGAAATAGCATAGCGCTGCGTAAAATGAGAACAGCAATAATGGACTGCAAACAGCATTAAGCACTTGAGGGATGAAAAATCCCTACAAAAAAAGCAGGTCCTATATGCAGTGTATCATATATGAGGTTCTGCTCCTTGAAAAAGCATGGAGATTAACAGACTGAAATGAATATCCTACATAAACATAGCCCAGAAAGGAAAATGGCTGCAGCTAGGGCTGGACGATGTCTGGTTTTCAACATCGTGGTACGTCACCAGCTAAACATCGCGGTATACCAGCATAACACAATGTCTGAAATACGGATGGAAGCATCTGCTACTTAGGCATCTGAAACTTATAAATATCTCCTTGCCTTTAACATATTGTTACAACTGTTATTTTATAGTAAGGCTAATATTTAAATTAAGACACTTTCTCTAAAATTAAAGTTGTAGATGTAATTGGTAGCATAGATATCAAAGGAAATGTTAGAGAATGTTCCCTGATAGACATGAGGGAGACAAAGACACACAAGCATGCCCTCAAATACAGAAGGGGAGAAGGGAGAAACGAGGCTTAAGCAACTGAAGGCAGCAGTTATTCAAAGCAGCACTGGACAGCAGCATTCGCATCTCTTGCCATGTGAGACAGAAAGGGCTTATGAGTCTCTGGAACTACAGAGAGAAATAAATAGATAAATGGAGAAGAAAGGAAACCGCTTATCCATTTACTTATTTCCCGCGCACAGAGACATCTGCACAAAGGCATAAGGTTTCCGGACTTTGGGAGGGCGGTACCAGCCACCCTCCCAAAGTCAGATAAAATGGATCTTCTCACATTTTTGCCACCTCGATTTCTCTGTGCTGTTCTTCTGTCTACGAAGAAAGATCCAGGGCTCCCAGAGATCACTTGCCCTGCCCTCCCAAAGTCAGACAAAATAGAGGCACATTTGAGGAAACCCAGAAAAAGGAACACACACACAGAAGGGGAGAAGGGAGGAATGAGGCTTAAACAGCAGGGTAAGGTTTATTATTATTATTATTATTTTGAACTCAGAAGTAAATGACCCAATCTATTTTTCCATGTGAGGGACCCAGCAGGGCTCAGGTGTCAGGAGGTGTGTGTGGGGAGTAAGTAGATTAATTTAAATAAAAGGAAACCCACTCTCCATTTATTTATTCCCACGCATAGAGACACCTGCGCAAAACTGCAATCTCATAAGGCTTTCCCAGCTTTGGAGGGCAGTGTCAGGCCATGGCAGCACCTCAGAACCCTCATACTGTCCTTCCAAACCTTTTGAGGCCAATATTTCTCACCCACAAGTGGCGTTTCTCAGTTATGGATCTTGCAAAAATTGTGGCATCTCAGCCTGGGGAACTGTACTGCTAGCACTGCTCTGGCTGTGGGAAGGAAGATTCAGGTCTCTGTTGTGGTCCTAGCGCCCTTCCCTCCTTCCCAAAGATGGGCAAGCACTTCTTGAGCTTCCGGCTTAGGGGAGGCTGTGCCATAGTCCTTGCGCCACCCTCCAAAAGCCAGACAAAATGGAGGCACTCTGTTATCTTTTATAAAATGGCGGCTTGTGAGTCCGCTATTTGGCACCCCCAAGTGGATCTTCATAATATTGCTCCACCTAGGACTTTTGGATGAATGATTTAACACTGCGTTGTTTAAAAATGGGAACAACAATAATGGACTAGAAACAGTGTTAAGTACCTCAGGGAGGAACCCCTGCCCCCAACCAGAAATGTAGGTCCTACCTGTAATGTATGTTTTGATAAATGAAAATGCATGGAGATTGACACACTGAAATGGTATCCTACAGAAAGGAAAATGGCTGCAGCTAGGTCTGGACGATGTCTGGTTTTCAACATCGCAATATGTCACCAGTTAAACATCGTGATATACTGATATAACACAATGTTTGAAATAAGGATGAAATTATGAAGAGACAAACGGGGTAATGTCCTGGAAACTGCTGCTACTTAGATGTCTGTATTACCTTTAACAAATTGTTCCAACTGTTGTTTTATGGTAATTTTTAAATTAGGACACTTTCCCTAAAATTAAAGCTATATAATTAGTGGCATAGATTTCAATGGAAATGTGAGAAAATGTTCCCTAATAGACATGAGGGGAGACACAGGCGCACAACCCTGCACACATATACAAAATGGGAGAATGGAGGGAGGAGGCTTAAACAAAAAGCAATGTTTATTATTATTTTTAACTCAGAAGTAAATAACCCCTATACAGGACTGCCATTGTTCTGTGCAGGAAATCTGCGGCACTGCTCTGGCTCTGGAAGAAAGATTCAGGGTTCTGGCATGGTCCTAGAGCCCTTCCCAAAGATGGGCAAACACTTCTTAGGCTTCCGTCATTAGGAAGGCAGTGCAAGGACTATGGCAGCATCCCAGAGCCTCCACCCCGCTCTCCAAAAGCCATACAAAATGGAGGCACTTTGTAATCTTTACAAAATGGCACCCTGTGTGAAGCTAATATGTGGTACCACCAAGTGGATCGTCATAATATTGCACCAACTATGACTTTTGGATGAATGAAATAACACTGTGCTGTTTAAAAATGAGAACAGCAATAATGGGGTTAAAAACAGTGTTAAGCACCTCAGGGGAGAAAAAAACCCTACAAGAAAAGCAGGTCCTGTATTCAATGTATCATAAATGAGGTTCTGCTCCTTCAAAACGCATGGAGATTGAGAGACTAAGTAGGTCTGGACGATGTCTGGTTTTCAACATCGTGATATGTCACCAGCTAAACATCACAATATACCAATATAACATGATGTCTGAAATAAGGATGAAACTATATAGAGATGAATGGGGCAATGTCCTGGCAACTGCTGCTCCTCAAAGTTTTTATATTTACTTAGCTTTAACTTATTGTTACCACTGTTATTTTATTGCACAGATAAATTTTAAATCAGCACACTTTTTTAATATTAAATCTGTAGAAGTAATTAACAGCACAGGTATGAAAGGAAAGGTGAGAGAGGGTTCCCTTACAGACACAAAGGAGACACATACAGAAGAACACACAGAGAGAGAAGGGGAGAAGGGAGGAAGGAGGCTTAAACAACAGAGCAAGCTTTTTATTATTATTTTTAACTCAGATGTAAATAACCAGAAGCGAGCCCTGGCTGAAGGCAGTGCTGGACAGCAACATGAGCTGCTTTTGGGAGGCAAGGCAGAAAGGGCACAGGCACCTGTACAAAGCTGTGATTACAAAAGATCTTTTCAAGGGTGTGCCATCTCCCTCTAGCTCAGGGATGGTCCTAGAGCCCTTCCCTTCTTCCAAAAAATGGGCAAGCACTTACTATGCTTCCGTCATTGGGAAGGCGGTGCCAGGGCTCTGGTGGCGACCAAGCCCTTGCGCCACCCTCCAAAAGCCAGACAAAATGGAGGCACTGTTATCTTTTATAAAATGGTGGCTTGTGAGTCCGCTATTTGGCACCCCAAGTGGATCTTCATAATATTGCACCACTTAGGACTTTTGGATGAATGAAAAAGCATAGCGCGGTGTAAAAATGAGAGCAGCAATAATGGTATGCGAAGAGCATTAAGCACTTGAGGGATGACAAATCCCTACAAGAAAAGCAGGTTCTATATGCAATGTATCATATGAAAGATGAGGTTCTGCTCCTTGAAAAGGCACAGAGACTGATAGATTTAAATGAGTATCCAACATCAAGTCTGGCTTTAAACACTGTAGTATACCAGTAGTGAGCATCATGATATACTGATACAGTACGGTGTCTGAAATTAGGATTAAACTATGTAGAGGCAAATGGACTCATGTCCCGGCTACTGATACTATTTAGAGGTCTGAAACATAAATATTTACTTACCTTTAACATATTGTTATAACTGTTATTTTCTGATACAGATAATTTTTAAATTATCACACTTTCTCTAAAATTAAAGCTGTAGATGTAATTGTTAGCATAGATATCAAAGGAAATGTGAGAGAATGTTCCCTGATAGACATGAGGGAGACAAAGACACACAAGCATGCCCACAGATACAGAAGGGGAGAAGGAAGAAACAAGGCTTAAGCAACGGAAGGCAGCAGTTATTCAAAGCAGCACTGGACAGCAGCATTCGCATCTCTTGCCATGTGAGACAGAAAGGGCTTATGAGTCTCTGGAACTACAGAGAGAAATAAATAGATAAATGGAGAAGAAAGGAAACCGCTTATCCATTTATTTATTCCCCGTGCACAGAGACATCTATGCAAAGGCATAAGGTTTCTGGACTTTGGGAGGGCGGTACCAGTCACCCTCCCAAAGTCAGATAAAATGGATCTTCTCAAGAGAGACACACACACAGATACAGAAGGGGAGAAGGAAGAAACAAGGCTTAAGCAACTGAAGGCAGCAGTTCTTCAAAGCAGCACTGGACAGCAGCATTCGCATCTCTTGCCATGTGAGACAGAAAGGGCTTATGAGTCTCTGGAACTACAGAGAAAAATAAATAGATAAATGGAGAAGAAAGGAAACCGTTTATCCATTTATTTATTCCCCGTGCGCAGAGACATCTGTGCAAAGGCATAAGGTTTCTGGACTTTCGGAGGGCAGTACCAGCCACTCTCCCAAAGTCACATAAAATGGATCTTCTCAAGAGAGACACACACACAGGAGCACACACACAGAGAGAAGGGGAGAAGGTACAAACTAGGCTTCAAGAACAGAACAATTTATTATTTTTAACTCAGTAGTAAATAACCTGCCTATTTTTCCATGTGACAAGTGGCAGCTTGTAATTCAGCCTATTTCAGGGCAGCAGCCATTCAAAATGCAGGGTTTGACTGCAACATATGCGACTTTCAGAAGGCTTAGCACAAAAGGTCAGGAGCTGCAGAGGGAAGCAAACACTAAACGGAGAGTGAAGGACACCCACTCTCCATTTATTTATTCCCACGCATAGAGACACCTGCATAAACTAGGATCACATAAGGTTTCTGCTGGCTTTAGGAGGGCGGTGCCACAGGAGAAAAAAAAAACATACAAGAAAAGCATGTCCTGCATGTAGTGTATGATATCACATATGAGGTTCTGCTCCTTGCAAAGGTTTGGAGATAGACAGAGTGAAATGAGCATCCTGCATATGGTAAACCCAGAAAAGAAAAGGACTGCAACTAGGTCTGGACACTGGCTGGTTTTCAACATCGTGATATCTCACCAGCTAAACATCTGATGTAACACAATGTCTGAATACATACAAGTGTGCACACATACACAGCAAGGAAGAAGGGAGGAAGGGGGCTAAAGCAACAGGGCAAGGATTATTTTTATCTTTAACTTTAGAAGTAAATAACCCCAGCCTATTTTTATATGGGACAAGTTTTGACTTCCAAGCAAGCCCCACCTGCGCAGGCTGAGTGAGGATCCGAGAAGGAAGATCTAGAACTCTGGCACAGTCATGGAGACATTCCCTCCTTCCCAAATATGGGCAAGCACAGAGCCCTTGCGCTGCCTGCACTTTTGTAATCTTTCACAAAATAATGCATTATACGAAGTTAATATGTGGTGCCACCAAGTGGATCTTCTTAATATCGCACAGCTAGCACTTATAGTGGAAAGAAAAAGCTTAGCACTGTGTAAAAATGAAAACAGCAATAATGGACTGGAAAAAGAGTAAATACCTCAAGAGGAAAAATCCCTACGAGAAAAGCAGGCCCTACATGCAATGTATTATATGATGACCATCTGTCATGGATGTTTAGCTGAGCTTCCTGCACTGCAGCAAGTTGGACTAGATGACTCTTGGGGTCCCTTCCAACTCCACAATTCTACAATTCTATGATTTATGAGCTTCTGCTACTTGAAAAGGCCTGGAGATTAACAAACTGAAATGAGCATCCTACATAAACAAAGGTCAGAATGGGAAAGGGCTGCAAGTAGGGGTGGGAGATGTGACATGTCACCAGATAAACATCATTATATACAAGTATAATACATTGTTTGAAATAAGGATAGAATTATGAGGCAGAGAATGGGCTAATGTCCAAGCAACTGTTACTACTTTGGCATCTGAAACTTTAAAATATTTACTTACCTTTAACATATTGTTACAAATTTTATTTTACTGTATGGATAATATTTAAATTAGCACATTTTCTCTAAAATTAAAGCTATAGATGTACAGCATGGATATCAAAGGAGAGGTGAAAAAACGTCCCCTAACAGACAGGGAGATGCACACACACAGAAGGAGAGAAGGTAGAAAATAGGCTTGAACAACATGGCAAGGTTTATTTTTATTTCTTTTAACTCAGAAGTAAATGACCCCAGTCTATTTTTCCATCGGCTTCCAAGCTGCCAGGTTGCTCTCAGCTGTTCAATGGCAGGGTTAGGCAGAAACACGTGCAGCTTTTGGGAGGCAGGGTAGAAATTGCTTAGAGTATCAAGAGCTGCAGAGGGAAGTAAATAAACAAATGGAGAGTGAAGTAAACCCCATCTCCATTTATTTATTCCCATGCATAGAGAGATTTCCCGGCTTTCAGAGGTCAATGCCAGGGCTGGCCCTATGCCCCACCCAATGATGGATAAAATAGATTTGCCCTCTGAAAGCCTGACAAAATGGAGGCAGTTTGTAATCTTTCACATAATTGTGCCCAGTGGGAGACCAATACTTGGCACCACCAAGTGATTTTCTCAATTTTGTGCCACCTCAGGCTTTTGGATGAATGAAATAGCATAGTATTATGTAAAAATGGGAACAGTAATACGTAATGGATTGCAAACAGCAAACAGTACCTCAGGGAGGAAAAAATCCTACACGAAAAGCAGGTCCTGCATGTGATGCATTATATAATATATGAGGTTTTGCTCCTTGAAAAGGCTTAGAGATTGACAGGCTGAAATGAGCATCCTACATAAACATAGGTCAGAAAGGAAAAGGGCTGCCACTAATATAGCACAATGTCTGAAATAAGAATGGAACTATGAATGTATTGGTGGCTAGGGAAGGAGGTATGCTGAGCAGAATGCAAGAAAAGCAAGTACTCTGCTGAGTCTGAATGAATATTGGCCTGGTTCCCACATAATGCTAAACCATGGCTAATTAAAGTATCCCCCATCCCAAGCTTTGCACCACCTTCAAGGTTAAGCCAACATGGAAATCTTCCAGTTCCTCTGACTGATACAGCTGCAGCTAATACAGGAGGGTCTCAAAGAGTGACTCTAAAGAAATCTCCGCTCCTTAGGAATGTCAAGGAAAGAGCAACGATAAACATAACCCTAATTAACTTTATACTAGAGGAAATTGAAGAAATAACAAACAGTATTCAAGATTCGATGCGTGACCTCAACAAGCCTAGGGTAAACCCCCATGAACCTGCTCATGTGGGCAGCAGGAATATGAATAATGATAGGTCTGGAAAAGAGGAGATACTGGCCTTTCTACAGGAGGAATCCCCGGTAAGGGACTCACCCAACCAAGAAAGGCATTTGCAGACCAAGGCACTGGACCCAACTATACACTGAATTAGCATGTATGACAGTATAGATATTTCATCCACACTTCTGCCCATAGAACAGACTTTGCCCACAGTTAGGGAGGATGAGCGAACAAGGTGAGAAACTACACAGATGTCTGGGGAATTATCTGAACTCCATCAGGAGATGCACACTGGGAAGCCGGTCACCCCGAGCGCTGAGTTGTGATTCTACCCAGCCGAGGACCAACCAGAAACTTTCCCGATAGGTAACATAATGCCTAACCTGCCGGATGTATCACAAACTACTAAGCAACCTATTCTCCCACCTGTGTTCCAGGACTGCCTCAAAGCCCATCTGCAAGAAGTTAATATCTTAGTACATCAACCTTCATCTTGCTTCGCAAATGCTGACTTGGTTATGCTGGCACTAGAGGACACCTCAACAGAAGAAGAACCCCCGGGAACGATTTCTGGGATGCATATTCCAGTCGATGCTCTCAGTCCTAGCGATCTCGCCCCCCCCCCCCCCAAATTGGCTACTCAACTTCGAACAATGAGTCAACAGCAGACAGGGACCATGGTCTAACTGGCGCCCCTGAGGCACTAGAGGAAATGCTACAGGTTCCGCCCGGGGCCCCTAGTGGTAGCCAATCTAATGACATCTACTTAGACTGACTTTGTGCCAAGGCGGGAAACCCGGTGCAACACTCTTCCCTGAAGTTGCTATCATGGAACGTGGCAGGATGGTCCTCAAAGTTATGCTATCCTGACTTTGTTAAGTTAATAAGAGAGCACAATATAGTTTGTTTACAAGAAACTTGGTCGACACGGCACATTGACTTTGCCGACTATAACGCCTATGCAGACTTCCGGGGTGGCGCCATCGGCAATGGCGGACTCCCTCTGATCTGGAGGGACTAGCTCCACGTGAAACGGGTCTTTTCCGCTACGGCGAAGCGGGGACCCTTTCAAAAATCACAGGCGGATGAAGCCTGTGACCATGGGACTCGGCGGGCACCCTTAGCACCCCCCCAACCCGCAAAGCAACCCACTAACGGGCTCCGAAGCGAAGAGGGGGAAGTGGCGCGGTGCTGAGAGTCAACTGCTTCTTCCGTGGAGCGAAGCCGCATAGCCGTTGTCGGAGAGCGCTGCCTTTTTCCTGGGACAATTTGGCTTCTAAAATAATCAACCGTGAGTACTTAAATTTCGGACAATTGGATTTTAAATAAGGACTTGCGAGCAGAAAGGAATTGGACTTAAAAATTTACTTCAATTTGGCACTGAAATGGGAAGGTCTAAACAGGAAGTCAGCCTTCCGTTTCTTTGTAGACAGATTAAAGCAAAGACAAGGTAAACTAGAGCTCAGAAAATCGCTTCTAAAAGATTAACTTTCATCATTTAAAATTGTTGAACCCCCTTCGGAAGCAGGAGAAGAAGGGGATCTTTTTGGACTGTTTAAACCTGCAGAAGTGAGTTTAAAGTAAAGTAACTTTCCACCGTCTTGATCCTGGAGCGGGGTGTCAGGACTGACATCTTTTTGAAGCTCATTGACCAGAGACAAATGTTTTTGACAGTTAGCTAAAAGAAGAGAAACATAGTGATTCCACTGTTCCCCTTCGCATTTTAAAGGAACAAATATTGACAAGATATCTGAAAAAGGAAACTTTGTTGCTAGATTTGTCCTTAAAAGAAAGAACTAATAGAAGTTTTCCCCCTAGAGGGAGACTGTGAAACTGTAACCAATTCCAGGGAGCTTGCAGCTGTTACAGATTACAATCATGGGAATAGACTTTTGACCTTGAAGGACAATGTATTCAGAAGCTCTGTTGTGTGCTCTCTGTAAAACAAATGCCCTACTGGAACAATTAAATGAGAAGACAGATTTGATGACTGATGCGATCAGAATTTTTGAACAGGCAGTGGGAAACTATATGGAGCCCACCCAGGAATTAAACCAGGAGTGTGCCCTGACAGAACAGATGAGAGAAGAGGATGTTGCTGAATCTTGGGCACCAGAGATGGAGGGAGCTGTGGCCCTGCAGGAACATGAGCTTTTGGATTTGACAAATGAACTTGGTAAAAGCCAGATTTGGAAAGATAAAGTTTGGTTTGGTTTGGAAATGGGGGGTTGGATAGACCCCCCTATGCAGGGATGTTTGGACTTTTCAAGTCTGGCAATGGGCCGTGAGGTGTTTGGGGCTGTGGGGGCTCTTAATTTTGGAGGGATTCTGAAACATGTTTTTAAATACCACATGGAGTTTAGTCTGGACTATGGAAAAGGGGCTGATTTGTTGAAAAGGGTCAAAAACATTGCCAAGCTGGAGTTCCCATGAGTGAAAGGAGAATATGAAGAAGAGCCGCGGAAGGGACATGGAAGGGACTTAAGGGCCTCAGATATAAGGTTACCAGGTTAATGCGCTAGATTAATGGGATAAAAAGGACTGACAAAACCCGTGACCAGGAGGAAGGGATGCTGGATGAAGATTGGATTGTTTTTCTTGCTTTTTTTTATTACTAGGATTGTTTTATAAAATTGATGAATGTTAGAAAAATGTTGGAACGAAATTACTTGGCTTTAGCAAAAATGTTTAAAGAATTAGGTAAGAATATTATGGTTATGAGAAGTTGGTAAAAATAAGATTTAAGTTTTAAGCTTTAAGGTTCTTTATAAGATAAGATGAAAATAGATTAAGGTAATGTAATGACAGAATATTATGAAATATGGAAAGGATTTGCTGCGACAATTAACAACTAGGATACAAAAAAAGGGAGGAGGAGGAGGTCAAAGAAAGAAGGTAATGAAAGTTGAGGATTCGAGAATGATGGATTTGTTTTTGTGTGTTTGCTGTGTATTTTTGTTTTTTGAATATGTATTGTTTGATGTGGTTTGTTTCTTCTTTGTTTTTTTTCTTCTTTTTCTTTTTCTGCTTTGTTCTTTTTTGTAATTCTAAAAAATTTTCAATAAATATCATTTGAAAAAAATATATATAACGCCTATGCGGTTCTGGCAGTCAAACTCCACAAGAAAGGCAGGCCCTCGGGTGGCTTGCTAACCCTGGTGGCTCCCCATATAAAATGTGAACACATTCTCTTGACTAATGCAAATTGCAAAATTTTAGCAACAAAGATAGAGCTGGAGAGCCAGGAAATGTTACTAGTCAACGTGTATAATCCTCCCACCTCTACTGTCATAGCCAAGAACCATCAATGAGATCTCCTTGCACATCAATGAGATCTCCTTCCCATTGTCTTGACAGGCGATTTTAATGCCCGCCTATGCCAAGGGCGGGAAGTATATACAAAAGCTTGGGAGATCTTGGACTGTCCTGCCCTCCCTGATTTCTGCTTATGGGAATGAGAATCACGGGACTTAGAAATCAACCTGGCAGGATTACAGCTCACCAAGCTGACTACCACCAGGGTTTTGGTGTGGCTTAATGGGCTGCCAGACTAGGAAGGCTCTGGGAACTTTACCTTCCTCTCCTCACAAGGAAATAGTGTGGTAGACTATATTCTGGTCCCCACTAAATTGCTGCCCCAAGTGGTTGAGTTCCACATAGGTGATCCTATGCTTAGTGACCATCTCCCTCTTCAATGTAAATTTGTCTTTCCATCGAGAGTGCCAGAATATATAATCAATCCACCCCACCCCCAGGTACAGTGTCCTCAGTACATAAGGATTCGAATTAACGAGCATACACTATCGTCTTTCCAAACCTTGGTGCATTCTGATCGTGTGATTCACTTGATCTCGGTAGGGAGTGGTGAACTTTCCCCAATAGCTAGAGTCACTTGGTTTGAGGAGCTTATGGACACTCTAATAACCAAATTGCCCCATTCACACTCGCACAGGCCACCTAAGAAACCAGGGTTTGGCGAGTGGACTGATAACGAAATCAAAGGCATTATAGTAGAGGTTAGGAGAATATTTGAGAGTCTAGAGAGGCAGGCACCTCTCAATTGCCTGACACATATTTCGTTAGGGAGTCTATCCAGCTTAGCCAGATAAGAAACAGCCAGGCTTGCTGGGATTCACTGCTTTCAGCCATCCTTACCAATGACCATAAGAAATTTTGGAAGGTTATTGCAGACCCCCCACAGACCCAAGATCATCGACTGACATTGATTCCATCTATGCCATGGGTAGAGCATTTTAAGATCTTCTACGACGATTGTATTCCATCAGACAGCCAAGATCTTGTCCCTTCTTCGACCCTGGTTGAGTGGCCCCCTGTCTCCATTACTGAAGTCGAAAATTTAATTTCTCAGATGAAACTAGGCAAAGCCGCAGGCCCTGATGCCGTCCCGCCTGAACTAATTAAAGCCAAGCCAGACTGGTGGGCTCCGATTCTAGCAGAACTATTCACTGTGGTGGACAGAATTGGAATTATGCCTAATTCATGGCAGAAATCCATAATCATCCCAATCTTTAAAAAGGGGAACAAAAACATACCGTCCAACTATCGACCAATAAATCTATTGTCAAATATTGGGAAATTCTATGCAAAACATCTATTATCCAAATTAACCACATGGCTTGACGTGAACAACATCATAGGCCCAGAGCAGGCAGGGTTTAGGCCAGGCAAATCCACTTTACATAACTGTATAGTGTTATCCCATTTAGCCGCCAAGTACAGTGGTACCTCGGGTTAAGTACTTAATTCATTCCGGAGGTCCATACTTAACCTAAAACTGTTCTTAACCTGAAGCACCACTTTAGCTAATGGAGCCTCCTGCTGCTGCCGCTGCTGCGCCACCGGAGCACGATTTCTGTTCTTATCCTGAAGCAAAGTTCTTAACTTGAAGCACTATTTCTGGGTTAATGGAGGCTGTAACCTGAAGTGTATGTAACCTGAAGCGTATGTAACCCGAGGTACACTGTACACGCAAGTCCATAAAGAAGGCCTATATGTGGCCTTTTTAGATCTTAAGGCTGCTTTTGATTCAGTTGATAGAGGGCTGTTATGGTCCAAACTGGAGTCATTGGGCCTAGACCCTAGGTTACTTTTCTTGATTAAAAAGCTTTACTCAAATAATACCTGTCGTATAAGAATAACCCCAGGGGACGAGGTGTCAGACCCTGTTGTTATAAATAAAGGTGTGAAACAGGGCTGTGTTCTTGCTCCCTCTCTTTTTAATCTCTTCCTAAATGACCTTGCCCCATTATTAAAACTGGTGGATGCTCAGAGCCCAAAACTCAATGCATAAAAAATTCCCATTCTCCTATATGCAGATAATATGATTCTGCTCTCATGGTCAGGAATTGGCTTAAAGCGTCTGCTAAATGCCTGTATCGACTATCTGTCTAGAATGAAAATGAACATGAACTTCGATAAAAGCAAAATAATGGTTTTCAGGAATTATCGTAAGAGCTATAGTTGGGTTTTTGGTGGGAAACATATCCAGCAGATATTCGAATTCAACTATTTGGGGATCACTTTCCCATCACATGCTCCGGTGGTCTTCGCACTGCACAGAGGCGGCAAACGCCAGCAAGCTGTCTATGCAGGCCTTAATGCGCTTCTTTGCAACAAGAGGTAACCAACAGATCACTTCTGCCCTTAAGGTTTTTAATGCCAAAGTTAGAGCTCAACTGCGCTATGGAATTTCAGTCTGGATAATAATAATAATAATAATAATAATAATTTTATTATTTATACCCCGCCCATCTGGCTGGGCTTCCCCAGCCACTCTGGGCGGCTTCCAAAAAAAAATGTCAGGGTTTACCCCGTCAATGGAATGAGTGCAGGCAGCCTTTCTATTTAAGATTTTCGCTGTCCCACGCTGTGCACCTTACACAGCCCTGTGTCTAGAGGGAGGCCAACATAAGCTAGAGATCGTTGCCTGGATGAGTTTTCTTTTATGCTGGCTAAACATTTGTTTTTCAGCAGACAAAGATACTTTACTTTGCAAAGTTCTGTCAGACTCCTTCCCTTCCCCAGGGCTACAATTGTTTTGCACAAAGATACGGCAACTAGGGCTTTCAGAGGATCTCTTGGGTGCTGTGGCTTTTCCAATCGCCAAGGCCATGTTAAAAACTAGGCTGTGGGACATAGATCGCCAGGAACCAATTTCAGCTGTGGAAAAAATATGTTCCCTTCTTTATTTTCAACTCTCTTGGGTGCAGGAATTTAACCTCAATTATCTACAAATTTTGTTTAACCCGCAAGAAAGAAGGGCTTTTTCGCTGGCTAGGTTCAATTCTAATCCTAACCTCCTTTGGGGTAGGTTCGCGGAAGGAGATAGGATCTGCTCATGTGATGCCCACCTGGTGGAAACTCTAGCTCACATGGTCCTTAAAAATGTATGATGATCTCCACCAACAATTTTTAGACCAACTATGTATCCCAATGTATGTATCCCAATATGGAAACCAGAGACAGAGGTCATTCGCTTCTTATTACAGGCGAGAGACCAGGAGCTCACCAAGACAGTAGCTAAGTTCCTCTACAGTGGTACATCGGGTTAAAGATGCTTCAGCTTACAGACGCTTCAGGATACAGACTCCGCTAACCCAGAAATAGTGCCTCGGGTTAAGACTTTGCTTCAGGATGAGGCCCCATTAGCTAAAGTGGTACCTCAGGTTAAGAACAGTTTCAGGTTTAGAACAGACCTCCAGAACTAATTAAATTCTTAACCCGAGGTACCACTGTATTACGCTACAGGACCCTGCCCTTGCTGGAGACCCACAGAGGTGAAATAGATTGCTCGCCTCTTCTTTCCTTTGGCAAATGACTGTACTGCTGAAATGGCAACGAGATTGCACTGGCCTACAGTGGTGCCTTGCAAGACGAAATTAATCCGTTCCGCGAGTCTCTTCGTCTTGCGGTTTTTTCGTCTTGCGAAGCACGGCTATTAGCGGCTTAGCGGCTATTAGCGGCTTAGCGGCTATTAACGGCTTCGCGGCTTTAAGAAAAAGGAAACAAACTCGCAAGAACTTGCAAGACGTTTCGTCTTGCGAAGCAAGCCCATAGGGAAATTCGTCTTGCGTAATGACTCAAAAAACGCAAAACCCTTTCGTCTAGCGAGTTTTTCGTCTTGTGAGGCATTCGTCTTGCGGGGCACCACTGTATTTATTCTGAATGTTTGTAAGTGATGCTAATAAAGGTTTGATGATGATGATGATGATGATGTTATTAAACTATGATTTATTAAACCCCAGTTAAGCATTATTTATGAACCAAGCTCCCCACCTCAGTAATGGTTTGTTTACTAGCAGGCCACAATTTGAAGATGCAGTTTGTGAATGGCTTTTGAATCTTGGTTTGCATTAGCTATGGCTTCATTATGTGTGATTACATGTGAACTTGGCACTCTTCCTTAACCAAGGTTTCCTCAGACACTCACTGAACTACAAGCCACAAGGCAAGAGCGGTTGGACAATAAATCAAATTTGGGAAAAACAAGCCATGATTTGTTTGTCTGTGGGAAAATTCATGATTTGTTCAACAAACCACGGCTTAACCATGCAGACAGTCTATTCACCAAACAACCACAGGAATTAATTAGTGTATTAATTTAAACATTAAATTTAATGTAGCCAGTGTATTAATTTAAACATTTTTTTGTAAATAATTCAGTGATTTAACAAGAAATGAGATGCATAATGGGGAACTGAATGTATTCATATTTCTCAAAATGAACCAAGGCACAGCTTAAGCCAGTGATGGCCAGACTCGGCCCTCCAGCTGTTTTTGGACTACAACTCCCATCATCCCTATCTAACAGGACCAGTGGTCAGGGATATGATGGGAATTGCAGTTCCCAAAGCGCTGGAAGGCCGAGTTTAACCATCACTGGCTTAAGCAAACAGGATGGGAATACAGAAGAAAGAAGGAAAATATACTGAGATGACATATAGGACAGTAGGAAAACAAGAAATACAAGATGCAAACGCTACTCCCAAAAGGAGTAGATATAGCAATAATGTGTGATAAAGGTTTATTAAATAGAGTAGAAAAAAATGAAATACAGAGTGGGTGCAATCCAAAACATCCAACCTGATGTTTGTAAGAAAACAGCTGAGAAACAAATTGACAAATACTGTGCAAAGTACGCTCACTTATTTCAAAGACCAAAGAGTCTAAGTGCAAATCCAATAAATATAAAATGATAAAACAATGCTTATGGTGTTTAAAAGACTACAATTATTAAGGATTAATAAAAGGTTTAGAAGATGCTTTTTAAAATGATATGGTAAAAATCAAAAGTACAGTGGTACCTCAGGTTACATACGCTTCAGGTTACATACGCTTCAGGTTACAGACTCTGCTAACCCAGAAATAGTGCTTCGGGTTAAGAACTTTGCTTCAGGATGAGAACAGAAATCGTGCTCCGGCGGCGCGGCAGCAGCAGGAGGCCCCATTAGCTAAAGTGGTGCTTCAGGTTAAGAACAGTTTCAGGTTAAGCACAGACTTCCGGAACGAATTAAGTACTTAACCCGAGGTACCACTGTATTTCTTAGAAATAAAAGATGGTTCCCTTGTTGTATTAAGATGTTTCTTTTCTATTCAGTAGCACAGTATACAACACTGACTATCATGAACCATTTTTGGAGAAGTGTGAGTAAAATTCAAGAGCAATATTAACAAAGAAGTGTAGTTTTCATAGCATAAAATATATTTTTTAAATAAACAATACATGTAATTTTTTTCAAATGACCCTATTTGTGTAAACTATCAGCAGTTATGTGAGACTCAAGAGTTTTTGTTCTAATCCAAAGAGAACAAAAAGCTTTACTGAAAGTATCAGCCCTGTTCAGTTGCTAAACTTTGCAATATTTAAATAAATTTTATGTACTGCTCCAACCTATTTTTAATTTGTATATTGCTTTTAAAATGTTGGTTGCTTTTAATAAACATGCTGCTAACATTAAAATGGAAAGGTGGGATCAAAATGCCGTTATGAATAAAACATGCAAAACCCATATAGCTGTGCCTTTTGCCTTTACTGCAGTACAGAACTCAACTGGCTAAATTAAGCTAGACGAAAAGTTAGCAAACCAACCAGCCTAGAGGGGTTGATTCTATTTTGCAGTCATTCAGAAAAACCCAGGATTCTTATGACAGCATGACCAGATTGTTTGGAGCTGTCCGTTTACTAGTCCTGCAGGCCTCAAATCAATCTAATTTTACTTGCCTCAATAGTGTTTTATTGGAGTAATATAATTATGGGTCCTCTCCCCAGCCCAACTTAGCAATTTTTTAGAAAAAGGTTTAAATTAACAGGGTTTTTGTTTTTTAATGCAACCAAATGAGAGAGAGCCATAACTGAATCCCAAGGCATCTAAGGGGATGTGGCAGGTGTCTGTGTTGTGGGGTGAGGAGTTGTGCTTTATACAGTATTTACTGTAGGTTGACCACAACTCATTCAATTAAGCCTCAGTATGTTATCTCCAGATTTGCTTCATTCCGCAGCAAACCTCTTTTCCCCCTTCCAAGCAATAAAATTGGGCACTTGTCATATATCCATTATCCACACGTGCGCGTATAAATCTGTACCCCAAACACCTTCTGATCTGAAAGCCCTTCTCCCGTTCCCAGCCCGCCTCCTCTGCTGCACGAGGATTTGCCAGAAAAGGGGCGACAAATGAAAACACAGTACAAAGCTGCTCATGTGGATCGCAGGGCCCTAGTGCCGAGTGAGATATTCCAGGAGGGATCCCCCCCCGCATAACCCTCCCGAGCTGCAAGCACTTCCAACGAGAATGAAATGAAATGTGCTGCAGGAAGGGACCTCTGCACCTCCTCCTTCGCAAGGTCTCATCCCCACGAAAGAAAACGAAAAAGGGCTGCACGAATGGCTCTCTGCACACACTCAGGGGCTCCCTCTGCTTCACGGAGTTCCGAAGCATCTGATGAGTTGAATGAGGAAACTGCGCTCTCTGCACCACAGCTGTCAACCTTCCCTTTTTTTGCGGGAAATTCCCTTATTCCAGTGCCGTTTCCCGCTGCTATCCCGGATTATTAGATATCCCATAGACAGGTGAGGCTGCTGATCCCTTATTTTCAACTTTTCAAGTTGACAGCTATGCTCTGCACTCCCTCAGAGGCACCCTTGGCGCCAGGCAGGCCTGTAGCCAGCGAGCCCAAACCCCTCCTCCCCCACAACCCTCACCCGCGTCACCGCCGCCCTCCCCTTCTTCCCTCGCCCCGCCCCCTTTCGCCCCGCCCCCTGCCCAGTTCCGTCAGCCAGCAGCCGCCCTCTCCCTCTCCCCGTCACCCCCTCCCCAGGTTCCTTACACAGTGATTTGCCCGGCGCCCCTCACAGCCACGGGTTCAGGCGCGTCCCGGAGCCGCGGCAGCTCCTGACTCCTCACCACAGTCTCGGACTCCTCCTCCTCTTCGTCTTCCTCCTCCTCCAGCTCATAGATAGTGTCAAAGTCAGCCATGTTGGGGAGCAGGACGCTCATCGCCCCCCCTCCCTCTCCGGCTCGCGATCTGGAAACGCGCGTGCGCCCCGCTCGCGGGAGATGGGGGGGGGTGGCCCAGGTTGGCGGCAGTTAGTCGCTGGCTCGCGGGAGGCCTGTGGGCATGCGCCGAGTGGGGCCGCCGCTGCCGCCGAGGCTTTTGGAGACGAAACCGAAGCTGAAGACAGTTTAGAGGCCGGGAAGCACCTGAAGAAGTAAGAGGTGGTGCGATTTCGGCTGCGACGACTCACATAGCCTGGTCCTGTGAATGGTTTCCCGGCTTTCTGGGTTGAGAAGTTGTCTTCATCACCCAGCAGTGGAAACACGCAGGTGGTTTGACAAGGGATAAGGAGTGCGGAAAAAATCGTTGGCTGGCACGTCAGATGAAAGTAAAAAGCAGCCAAGTGAGAGACTGAGCTCCTTGCCACGTGGAAGAATGGAGTTTCTTCGTAAAACCCACACCCCCAAAAGCAGCGGTTCTCAACTTGTGGGTCCCCAGATGCTGGACTACAACTCCCATCATCCCTGAGCTCTGGCCTTACTAGCTAGGGGTGATGGGAGTTGTAGTTCAACAACATCTGGGGACCCACAGGTTGAGAAAGGCTGCCCTAAAGGCAGTGGTCTTTAAATTATTAAACAGAGACTATACCTATCTGTATAAAAAGCAAGTAAATGCACAACCCCAACTGCTAAAGGAAGGGCTTGTGGAAAAAATGAATAAATATCCTCTTCAAGGTCTCCACCTTCTCACAAAGCAATGAGCAATAAAACTATTCCCCCCCCCCAAAAAAAAATAGAAACCACAAATGTTGACTGAATTATTGTATCTTTATTATTATTTGGTTCATTTAACTATTTGTTAAATGCAAGAGAGGGAGAGTTGGCAGCAACAGAGGTGCAAATGTGGACTGCTGTGGCAAAACTTGCCTCACTGTTCATGAGAGAGAAGAATATAGAGTGCAGTCCTTTGTGCAGGATCCACTGGTTGTGGAGCTACAGGATTTGACAAAAGCCCTGCTATGACAGCAAAACAATAGTCTGCCACCAGTGGAATATATTGGCAGCACCATTCCATCAGTGAAGGTATGTTGACAGAGGGAAGTCAGCAGCAGCATAGAAAAACACTCTGCATCCAAGAGATTGCCAATGTGATTCCCAGCAGGCACCAGTGTGCTTGCCAGTACCTCCTATGGCACTTGCTAAATGTCTCAATAAATATCACCTCAAAAATCTATAGAGCACAAGACACTGTTTGCTCTTCTTGCTTGGTTCATATTTGCACTGGCTTAGCATCCTCTACAAAGAACACTTCCTTAACGTGCCCACATTTCATTAGGTGTCATTAGGCAGAAGAGGCATATAAAAAGCTTTCCTCTGAGTGCAGCAGCGGCTGACACTGGTGCCTTTCCTTCATTAATGGCGTGGGGACATGGCTGCACCATTTTGTGGGCCCTTTTCTGCTCTTTTAGATGTGGCAGCTATTTTGTGTGATGTCACACATCCCACAACGGCCAGTTAGTGGTGCCACACACCCTCAACAGCTGTTATGTGACCAGGGTCTACTGCACTAATACACCCATTGGCCTCCAAACATTGGTGACTCCTATTTGATGTATGTTATACTTCCTTACTGCTTGATAATGCCTTTATGGATGACATAACTTTATACAGGGAAGCTCTTTCCCATTGACTTAAAAATGTTGCATAACAGTGCATAGGATATGGTGTAATTCAGCACTCAAGAGCAGCACAACGCCACCAATATATAAAACCCCACACAAGGAGACTAAAACTCAGGTGACAGGACATCTGCCATATTGCTACATCTCTGGCCTCACTAGGGATAACTTTGGTAATGGGAGAAAGGTCTTCACAACACATGGGAATGGATGAGTTTGCTCTGTAAAGAGCCCTTTGCCTGTATTGCAGCTGCAGGGGGAAAGCAGTCAAAGTGGATAATAAGGGTGATCCGTCTAATTTTGTGCCACATTGGTAGGTTCAGGCCCCAGGCTGCTAGTTGGTTAGCCCTTGTTCCAGACAGAAGTAGAGAATTCAATACAAAATGACTGCATTTATTTAGGAACATGTTATTTACCACTATAGCTGTAAATCTGTAATAATGTGGTAGTCTTCGTCTTTGACAATCACTCATAGCTGAGTAAGATTGTCTTCCATGAACACTGTTTTAACTGAGACCGAAAGTGACTGTAGAGGCCAATTCTGGATCCACACGTCCTTCCACAGTGGGGAAATATGTTTCCGGCTGGGAGTTGATCACAGTGAGGGTTTGCCAAGCGTACCTTCCTCTTAGCACATTTCTCCCTTTCGTCCTGTGGTAGTCCAAGGTACATAGTATGCATTTTATAAGTGTGTTGAAATGATATTTTACAATCATAATTATTTTGACAAAAATAAAACATTTCCTTGTCATTACGTATGTAATCCTCCAAGACATTGCTGAAGAACCACAAAGAACCACAAATGAAATAACATAATTGCATATTTTAAAAAACTATTATTAACTCAGAAATTCATCAGTTTATCCATGATACAAATTTATAATAAAAGTTGAGTCAGTTGAAAATACAATCCTGCAGGATTGAGAAAATATTGTATTCAAAAGATTTTAATAATCTCCATACGGTTACTTACAGTGTGGAAAAGTACTTTCATTTGATCATGTACAATCTTATCAAAATGTAATCCTAAACATGTATACTTAGCTCAGAAATAAGTCCTGTTGCATTTAGTGGGGTTTACCTCAAGATAAATGTGGCTGGATTGCAGCCTGAGTGTAATGTACTTCTATTTTAAACCATATTTTAATTAACTGTTTGTTTGTTGCTGTTTTTTCTATTACGTTTTATTGTAAGTCATATCTGGTGTTAGCCACCGTGAACCCGGCCCTGGCGGGGGTATAAATAAATTTATTATTACTACTACTACTACTACTATTTTACTTCTCATGGGCACAATCTACAAGGAAGCTCTTTTGAGAAAAGCCTCTTCAACACAAATTTCCAGTGGACTGGGCTCCATGTATTTAGAAGTCACTGTTCAGACATTTGCCTGAACACACCAATGCTCAACATTTCAAAAGGGTAGGATCCATACAAAAATTCTGCCTGCAATATTTGGTCCCCAAATATTTGGCATTGTGTGAGGAGGGGCCTTATTCATTTACTTTAAAAAAAAAAAAGAGGTTTACAACAGTATAAAATAAAACATTAAAATTTCTGATAAAAAGTTAAAAGCAGATATTAAACATATTAATATTTTTTTTGAAATCAACACTGACTAAAAATAAATAAAACACATGTAACTTCTACAGTGTTGATTTGGGTTCTTAACAAACCTTTCTGATCTTTCCAGGTTGTTTTGATGTGAAAGTTTTGGAACAAACTGTAATGCAAAGTATCCTTTAAAGTAGTTCCCTAAACTCCATTGAGGTGTTAAGATGAAGCACATGCCACACAAAAGAGCAGCAAGAAGTTCTTATTGAGACCTCATTTCACATTCAGACACACAAACCAATTGGTTTGGAATTTACAAGCCCTAAACAAATGTCAACTTCTCTTTCATCTCCAGGAAAACAAGCGGACAGAAATAGATGGATGCCTAATTTCTTTTACTGATTTCTGCAAAATCTCAGAATGGAACCCTGTTCAACTGAATCTGGAAGGTTTCTTTAAATAGTGCACTGAGACATATTTCGCTAAAATAGCTAAATCCTTTTGAGTGAAATCCCTAAAGGTGATTGTATAATTTCCGGCTACCTACCTGAATCTGTATAATTTTTTTGTTATTGCTCATTTAATTAAAATAACTTGCAGACCAGTCATATGAATATTTACTTTTAAATCATTGGAACTTAATTCATTAAGACTCCTTAACAAGTCTGCACAAGTGTTCACTTATACACACAGTTACTTAGAAGTAGATTCTTCAGATCTCACAAGGACTTACTTAAGGGTAAGCAAACCTAGGATCAGTCTGTAAGGCTGCTATGCACATTTTATTGGGGTTTAGCCCCTTGAATTGAGTGTGGCTTCTTCGTAAGCATGCATAGAATTGGTATACTTGGGTCATATTTCATCCAATGCTATTCATACTGAAGAGCAAACTAGTTGAAATTAAGGATACAAATAAACATAGGTTTCAGCTGGTTTACTCTGAGTATGATTCAGTTGGATACAACCCATAGTTTGTTCACAGGGCATTTCAAATGCTCAAAGCAGTTCCTATGCATTGGATAAGATTTGTTAAAATATCTATAATTTCTGAGTAAGAAAAACCTTTCTGTGACAGATAATTGCATTTCAAGTTACAAAGTATAAAGTCTTAAAATTGCAAATGCAAGAGATAAAATTTAAGTGCTCTTATTCTAACACCTCTTTAGTAAATAAGAATAACAGAGATGAGGGAGGGGGAGTTTAACCTATTCCCCCCTCATAAAATTCACAGAACATTTCTTCTAAAGACAATAAAGCTGAAAGAAACTTTTTTTTTATTTGCTGTGAAGATTAGCACCCTTTCAGGCAATTTAGCTGCTGAAGAAAAGAGAAGGAAGACACAGTTCTGCATATCAAAGCTGTTTAAAAGAAGTGTTAAAAAGGTCTGTGGCTCACTATGAGAGGTCTTAAAACCAATGGCACACTTGGCTAAGAGAAAGTTGGCACAGCTCACTTGCATTGTGAAATTAATATTCAGATTATACACATTTTAGAAGTATAGGAAGTTGTGTTATATCAGTTCAGACCATTGATCCATCTATGCTGATTTAGCAGGGAATCTCTAGGGTTTCAGCCAGGAATATTTCCCAGCCCTTAATGGAAAGGCTAGGGATTGAACCTGGGACCTTTGTCTGCAAAACATGTGCTCTACCATTGAGCTATAGACCTTCATTTAACATACAGGAACATAGGAAGCTGTCTTATACCGATTCAGACTGTTGCATAATCTAACTCAGTATTGGCACTGACTGGCAGTGGCATTCTAGGGATTCAGACACATTTCTCTAAGCCCTACCTATAAATGCTGGGGACTTGGCCCTTTTGCATGTAAAACAGTTGTAGCACTGAGCTATAGCTCTTCCCCTATTTCTTGTACCTTTGCATTTTTATAAAAAAATAGAGGAGGGGCTTTTTATTTCATCTTTTCAGCAACCCATTGTATATGCTCTTGTAGCTGTTTTTTTTAGAGAAACCATTTAGGTAAGGAGTTTTGTTTCTCACCAAGCTTCCCATCACCTGTGTTTATTCCTATACCTATATTTCTGATGATTCCTGGTTCTAAAACACTATTGTTGCAGGCCATATAGAATCTATGCAACACATCCTTGCTTAACCAATTCCTGGCAGCTTCTTCTATTGGGCAAATATTTTCCCCTCCTGATGCTAACTTCTTTTAAATTATTTTTTTTTAAAAAAAAAATGCTATCCTGCCTTTCTTTTAAAAGAGAGCTTTCCAAACTTTTCATGTTAGTGACACACTTTTTAGACATTCATCATTTCATGACACAGTAATTCAATTTAACTAGCAAACTGGAGTTTAAACTAACCCCTTTCCAGCCCCTAGAGGAGTTTAGGGAGTGTTTTTGCAACACACCTACACACTGCAAGCGACACACTAACATGTAGCACAAACACAGTTTGGAAAACTCTGTTTAAAAAAGTAAACCAACCCAAACCCTTCAGGTTTCACATGCATGGTTACCCTTGGAAACAGATGTCTGGCACTCAGACCCTCAGGTGGGGGAGAACTTAGACACCTCCTCCCCTTGCCCTTCTTCATCCCCTACCCCCAGCTTGCTTTGTCTTAAGTGGAGCAGTTATTGGGTTTACTTACACAGTAGTTATGTGAAACATATAAATCTGCCCTGTGCAAATGCCCCTGCGTTAAAAAAAGAAAAGAAAGATTAAGTTGTATCCAATGTAGAGGACTTTTTGTCTATAAAATGTATGTTGTTGATTGTCTGTATTTAGTATTGCATCTTAATTGCAATATGCAAAGCTCTATACAGTGGTACCTCTAGTTACAAACTTAATTCGTTCCAGAGGTCCATTCTTAAGCTGAAACCATTCTTATCCTGAGGCCCGCTTTCGCTACTGGGGCCTCTTGCTGTGTGTGTGCCTCTGGCACGCAATTTCCATTTGCATCTTGGGGCAAAGTTCGCAACCAGGAGCAGCTACTTTCGGGTTAGCGAAGCTCGTAACCTAAAGCGTTTGTAACCAGAAGTGTTCGTAACCATAGGTACCACTGTATTGTAATGCACATTATACCCTCCAATCTTTGTTAGACTCCAACTCCCATCAGTGTCAGTTAGCATTACCAATGGACAAGGATGATGGGAAGCTGTAGTCCAAATCAGCTGAAGGCCACTATGTTGACTACCTCTGCACTAAGAGATAATCTAATAATGGCAGTAAAATGTCTGGTAGTGATTGGTTGAACTGCTCTAATGCCACAGAATCTTAGATCATAAGCAGAACCCACTGTCGTGGAAAACCTCTCATCTCACTAAATGTCCCCCCTCCAAATACACAGAAAAATAAACGAATACCAGATAAATAAACGAAGGCATGCAGCTGGAGGTGTGAACTTTTTTTGCTGCAGGAAAGGGCCCTTTGCTTGAGCTATACCATGTTTATAATATGTATGACATCTTACATAAAGTGAATGAAAATAGAGTGGTCAGATTTGCCTAGAGGAGACATGGATTCAAATCTCTTCTTATATAAAAGTTAAATAGTATTATTTTATAATGAAGATACATTCCTCTGTTTCTCAATCAAAGGAGGCCTTTCAGAGTGTCTTCCAACTTGTTTTCTGTATGGGAATTCTGTTGGTGATTCTTTTGAAAGAATGCACACCGGAAATATTTCATAGGAAAGTCTTCCCCAACCTGGTGCCCTCTAGTTCTCTTGGCCTCCCATCAGCCCCAGCCAGCACAGCTGATTAAAACTATAGTTCAAAACCAGGCTGAGGAAAACTGATGTATGATGATAATCCATATTTCTCAGACTTTAATGAACAATGAAAACAATTAAAGCAGCAAAAATAACTTTATTCTTTACACCAGTAAAGCAGCAGGTAAAAACATCATTCTTCAAATCTGGAACTATACTTGATGATCTGATAAAGTTAATAGTCTTTACTTAGACTTTGTTATTTTAACTCATGTGCAACTGCTTATTATACATGCCTGTTGTATAGTTTTGTTTTTCTTCTTTTAATTTTTGTCTGTTATAATTGCTTTATCTTTTATATACATTGTAAAATGAAATAATAATAAAAAGCTTTACACAAAAATATCAAGTATTTAAAATTCCATAGATATTAAAATCTCAATAGGTGTTTGGAAATATAAGTGTTTGCCTGGGACTAAAAATACGTTAAATTAAATGTCAAACAAGTCTCCTTAGGGTGCCACAACTGATGTGAACCAGTTCTACCAGATCCAAGCTCAGTATCCTATCTTCAGTCTAAACCATGCAAACACAATAGTATTTTGGCTTATATTTTATACTGTTTATTTTTATCTTTTATTTACAGGCATTTTTAAGAACCTGGACTTAGACTCACTTGAATCTGTATTGCCTCCTAATTTTTTTAAGCAAAAGTAGTAACAAGAGAAGTACGAATGTTTTGGCACAAGAACAATCACCAAATGAATCTCAGCGTTGAATGATAGTAGCCATTAGTAGCAGAGTTGTTTTACAAGCTAAATTGATGGGTTTAGCATCTTGTAGGATTAGTCTACTGTAATTGCCCTTCTTCTCCTTGGTACTCAGTGGCACACTTCAGGCACAATTTTGCCAAACTCAAGCACCTTTAAGTCTCAAAAGATTTAATGGAAGATATTTAAGCATGTGCTGAACTCTGCCACTGAAATTAATCAGCATGAAAAAGTGCATAACTTCAGCTTAATTCTATCCTTGCTGTTAACCTTGCTAGAATTGCCAGTGGTCCATTATTCTTAAATTCAACATACACAAAGAAGAGGTTAAATCTGGCTTACAGGTTTCCATTAAAACAACCACAACAACCCTTTCTACTTTAATTTGGGCCTTCAGGAATATATTTTTAAAACAGATGGCAAAAAGTCTTCTGTAAAGCAATAAGTCATAAACAGGACACTATAATGGGGAAAATTACAAATTATGGCAAATGATCTTAAGGCACTTCTTACAGAAGGCAGACATGCTTTTCATTTGCATCTAAGTCAGTAATTTATTGTACTTACTGAGTGATACCTTTGTTGTTGTTGTTTAGTCATTTAGTCGTGTCCGACTCTTCGTGACCCCATGGACCAGAGCACGCCAGGCACTCCTGTCTTCCACTGCCTCCCGCAGTTTGGTCAGGCTCATGTTTGTAGCTTCGAGAACACTGTCCAACCATCTCGTCCTCTGTCGTCCCCTTCTCCTTGTGCCCTCCATCTTTCCCAACATCAGGGTCTTTTCCAGGGGTCTTCTCTTCTCATGAGGTGGCCAAAGTATTGGAGCCTCAACTTCACGATCTGTCCTTCCAGTGAGCACTCAGGGCTGATTTCCTTAAGAATGGATATGTTTGATCTTCTTGCAGTCCATGGGACTCTCAAGAGTCTCCTCCAGCACCATAATTCAAAAACATCAATTCTTCGGCGATCAGCCTTCTTGATGGTCCAGCTCTCACTTCCATACATCACTACTGGGAAAACCATGGCTTTAACTATACGGACCTTTGTTGGCAAGGTGATGTCTCTGCTTTTTAAGATGCTGTCTAGGTTTGCCATCACCTTTCTCCCAAGGAGCAGGGGTCTTTTAATTTCATGACTGCTGTCACCATCTGCAGTGATCATGGAGCCCAAAAAAGTAAAATCTCTCACTGCCTCCATTTCTTCCCCTTCTATTTGCCAGGAGGTGATGGGACCGGTGGCCATGATCTTCGTTTTTTTGATGTTGAGCTTCAGACCATATTTTGCACTCTCCTCTTTCACCCTCATTAAAAGGTTCTTTAATTCCTCCTCACTTTCTGCCATCAAGGTTGTGTCATCTGCATATCTGAGGTTGTTGATATTTCTTCCGGCGATCTTAATTCCGGCTTGGGATTCATCCAGCCCAGCCTTTCGCATGATGAATTCTGCATATAAATTAAATAACCAGGGAGACAATATACAGCCTTGCCGTACTCCTTTACCAATTTTGAACCAATCAGTTGTTCCATATCCAGTTCTAACTGTAGCTTCTTGTCTAGGTATCAAGAGTGATACCTAGATAAGTTATAGAGCTGATCCATTGGGTATGACTAATGCTGGATAGCACCCAATGCATGCTTTTTAGTTTTAGCATGTTAATATGAGGTGAGACTCCTTAAACATTAGAGCATCATGAAACTTAGCCCAGCTGTATCAGTCAACTAAACATTTGGGGGCAGCAAAAAAAAAAGCTCTCATAATGAATATTTTTTCATACATTAAGAATATCATAGGATAACTTTATTGGAAAGACTGTATTCCAATGTAAAAAAAAGAGATGCTATTAAGAAAAATAGAATTTGTTCATAATACTCTGGCTCATGCTGCAAAGTGCTATAGATTCAACATCTTTCAAACCTAAACAAATGTATAAAACTTTGAAACTTGCAACTTTGCGAAGGTGAAGTTATTTCAAGCTACCAAGATTTCAGCCTTTAGAAGCTGAAATTATGTAGATTTAATTTGCATAAGCACAGAAGTTTCATTTCCAAATAAAGGTTCCAGCAAAGAGTTAAGAAGTTTTAAGCTCCACTGATTTCAGTAGGAAAGTTAAGCACTTGCTTAGTGCACTTTCACTCTGTGAGAGGAATGAGGAATAGATATGTGTGGGATTTGAAACTTCAGCTGGATCATGCCAAGAGTTCTACTAGAGAAGAAAAGATTTTTTT